GCAGCCTGTGGCATTGACGGTCGCTCACTCCCGGTTCCATTGGCGGAAGTCCCTCCCTGTTCCAAGTATCGCATGCGGGAGATCATCTGGCAGCTGGGACAAGCACAGTTCCGTTTTGAGCTCATGGCCCTCGACCGCAGGGCCAGCGGATTGTCTCGTGAAGCTCAGTGCATGTCTTGTTTTCCAAGCGGGGCTTTGATCGCCATTGAGCTGAAGGAGAGCAAGATGGGGATGTGCTCGACCATGCTTCGCGATCGACTGCCCTATCTGCGGTCGTTGTTGAACCTGATGCACGATTGGCGGGGTCTGGATCAAAAAAACCTCGAGCGGTACAGGGGGGCCTACACACAGGACGAATGTCCATTTGGAAATATCCAGTCGCTGGAGAAGTTTGTGTCCCGTATCTATTGCCAACAGTTCTACGAATACTTTGGACGCGCTGCTGTTATCCCGACTCGACTGGAACATGATATTGCCACTATGTAATCTGCTATCCTATCGTCCTTGCTTTGAAACGCTCCTGCCTCCTCGCGATGTCGCCCCACTTGTCTTACCTATCGTGTACAATATTGAAAACGCATCATCGTATCAGTCTCATTTCGATATAATCGCTACCTACTGTACATACTTACAATTCATCGTTGGACTACGTACACAAACCCCAGTTTGGGGGTTAATGGCATCAAAGTGTGCTTGGATCTCGCGCTTGTGTCTCACCACCATCACCATCTTACCTCTCCCACTTGTGGTTCCAAGACTTCCACATCCTGGGCTTGACTGAGCGTCAGCCCCTCTTGTCTCTGATTTTGCATCGGGGCTCACTGACTGTATTCACGCGCGCTCACAGCATTTTGTGACGCGAGCCAGGCTCTAAGCTCGCTTGTGTCTCACCACCACCACCACGTGTAAGTCCTGGCCCTGTCATCTGGACACTTGTCCGCCTGGGTCTGACTGAGCGTCAGCCCTTCACGTCTTTGATTTCGCGTCAAGGATCAACGACTGTATCTACACGCAAGCGTACAAGGGCAAGTGGTACAAATCTTCCCGCCGGGCCTGTCCGGTACGTTCATCAGGAGTGTGTTTGCCAATCTGACTCAGATATGGTAGAACATGGATCTGCGTGAAGACGAGGGCGATACGATCACCAGGGGGCCGCGAAAGAGAGTCAGCCGAAAGCGGGGCATTGCGATTGTTGACGATGATGAGACGCTGAATGGAAGCCCGATGTCTGGCTTCTCGAATCCTGGGCCAACAGGGATGGCTCCAGTGACCGACACGCGCAAACGAACTCGCAGAGACGCGCTGGTCCATATGATCGAGGACGATGTGCCTTTGTCGGTGCCACTTGACCGCCAACTCGCATCTAGCACCCACGAATGTATGCAGTCGCCTTGGTCTGGCTACATGGAAGACGAAGAGATGTCAAACCCAATCATTGCGGATGCTAGTTTGGAATCAACCCCGCCACGCAACTATGGTCCAAAAACTCCGCTTGTACGATTTCAGGTAAAGTACTGCGTGAATGCTTCAGTGCAGACTAAGCATGTCTCTTAGGGTGCATCGGTGGCTATTAATCAAGTGCGGCCTCATTTCGATACCATGCAACAGCACATCCTGGACAGTTTCTGCGCGCGGGATTTGGGGACTCGCTGTCGGTGCGGGAAGGCTGAGGCTGGCAACACGTGTGTTCGTTGTCGTGACTGCTTCAAGGCGCCACTGCTATGCGACTCATGCTTGGTTTCGTCCCATGTCAACAATCCCTTTCACGTTGTAGAGCGCTGGACGGGGACTCATTTCGAACGCACCTCCTTGCAGGATTGCGGCATGGTGATATTCCTGTGCCTCAACAGTGCGGGCGAACGGTGTCCACAAGTTACCGAGAGATCTGCCCGACGCACCAACACGGTTGTTGTGGGAGACATCACCGGTTTCCAAACCATCACGATGGAGTTCTGCAGCTGCGTTGCTGCAGGTAGCAGTGTAGTGAGCAACGACTGGCAGCAGCTGATGGCCCTGCGTCTGTATCCCGCTACACGAACCTCGATCAAGACCGTCTTTACGTGGCGAGTCCTCAAGCAATTCCATATCCACTCTTTGACCTCGAAAAAATCGGCATATGACTACGTCGGTGCTCTACGAAAGCTAACAGATAATGTCTCGCCTTCCACTGTGCCGGTCAGTGACGACTCTGACAGTAGATGCAAAGTGACTGACCTGTAACGATCCACAGGACCGCTATCGTGAATTCAAGCTTGCTCATCGGATATGGCGCTTTCTGGCGCTGAAGAGACGAACTGGACAGGTGCATGGCTTCGACAAGTATGTAACCAATCGTCGGAAGGAGTCTCTGGCGGTCAGGTGCCCAGCTTGCCCCGAAGTAGGCTTCAATATGACTCATGAAGCGATGGTGGCAGCCTCCCCAAGTGAAAGGTATGTGAGTGCATGCTACCTAATGACAACAATTGACGGAGGCAGGCACAAGTATACGCTGTACCTATCTGTTGACGGGAACTTCAAGTTGCAGCGTAAAAACAAACGGGATGACCCTAATGATGTGGCTCTCAATGACGGGAACGGCTACTTCGTGCACACGGCAACTTACAATGAGTATGTAAAGCAAGTGCGGCCTGTCGATGAGGTAAGTGTATCATTCTTCAAATGAGATCTGATTCAATGGTGCCCTACACAGACAAGCACTTGTTCTCATTTGCGTGCAGCCCGGATGCAGAACATCGCCAAATTCAAGAACGCGGTTATCAGTGGCGTAGTCGGTGTTCAGTGTGCTCGCCATGGCTTCTACATGCCTCAAGGAATGGTTGATTTGAAGAAAGGCGAAGCGTAAGCTCTGGTCAGGGAGGGATCACACTGGTTACTGAACTGCGTTTTAGATTCAGTCTTACAGATTATGCTCTCGTGTTCGCCCTTGCAGAGGCGTGGACTTTACGCTGGGTCCTAGTAACGTATGATATCTGGTGCCAGTACCACGTCAATCTTCGAAAGCGAATTGAGCATTGGTTTCCTTCAATGGCCTGGCTGTTCACGCTGGTAGTCTTGTCCGGAGCCATTGGCAAAATGCACATCCTCAACCACCAGGCTGAGTGTCAGATCCGGTGGAACCTTAACTGGCTGACATTTGTTTCATTTACAGTCGGAGAGATGATTGAAGCAGGCTGGGCTGAGCATAATCTAGCTGCGGGAAGCTCGAAGGAGGAGAACGATGGGAATTGTCATGACTCTATTGACGACATCAGTGGTTCGTGGAATTGGGACAAAACAGTAAGAATGGGTAAGCAGGACACTTCTTCAGAATCAGTTCTCATGGTAGCCTGTAGCGTCGGCACTTCAACATCTTAGTCGGGTCTGTCATTCCGAGAAGCGTATTCGATCAGATCACTTCGAAGAACTAAACAAGACAACGCCTGCAAAAAAGGTCTGTGAATGGGAGGCGATGGACGTTCAGCCACGTATGGTGGAAGGGAAACTAGTCAGTGTTTTCCAGACCAATTTCAACAAGGGTATGTGAACACTGGGTATCCGGTCCGAGGGGCTTATGGATTGTTCAGGCCCACCCACGCATGCCGATGCCTACGCCAGACTCCTTGCTATCGAGGGAAAGAAGTCTTCCGACCTGGCAGCACTGCCTGCAAGTGATCTGGCCCTGGTGACAAGTGCTTTGCTGCTGGAACGTGATCAGTGAGTGCATATCAGATCACCAGAACGGCGCTAATCTTTTGACTTGCAAAGACATCATGTACGTCGCATGATCGCCACAAAGGCAGAAGAAGCGTTGGTTGATGCTGGGCGCCTCCGTGTCTTCAAGTCCTTGTTGGACTTCCGGGCTCAATATGTGGCCCGAATTCCGGTGTTGGCCTCGCACATGAGGGATGCGGATGCAGAGAAGCCTGAGCTGGAATCCTTGTTCCTGCCATCATGCTTCAGCCTCCCTGCACGCACAGACATGCAGATGATGGCGTTGGCAAATATCGAGTACAACTTGCGTGAGGGCCAGGCATTCGATGCCTTGGCGGAAGTCAGAACGGCAATCCAAACACTCAATTACAATATTCAGCTAAAGAAGACACAGATTCATGGCATTGGGGCAAATACAAAGACGCAAAACTATCTCAGAACCCTGAGCAACAATATCCAGATTGGGGCGGACAAGTATCGCCGGAGTCGAAAAGCCCTCATCGAACTGGGTCTTCCTGTGGATGATGGGTCGCTGCGACCTCTGGAGAAAGAACATCTGGTTGGCAAGAGCGGGAGGCAGGTCAGGATTGGAGACGCCAAGACGCATGAGTCGTGGATTTGGACAACCGGTCGAGGGGCAAATATGGATGAGAGCGATGTGAAGGAATGGGAAGCAGAGCGTAAGTCATTTGCTGAGCTGCTGAAGGAGTGCTTACGCGATTGTTCAGTCCAGCGAGTGCAATGGTTCCAGGCGCGGGCGCTGCGTGACAGGGCCGTTGAGGAGGGAGAGACTCTGCACGAAGAGTGGAATCGCACCATTGCCGCTTTCGAGAACTATGCTGCTATTTGGGTCAGTCTTGCTCAAGAGCAGACCCGTCCGGGAGGGAAGGCCTATGGTTACAAACAAGCTGCAATGTACACGAAGCTGGCAGATGGGTGTAGGGAGGCTCGAGCAGCATTAGAGGGTCTATACAATGCTGATTTCAGAAGAGAGGAGGAGGAGAGAGTTCAGCACTGCGCACAGATAGAGAAGAAGCGACAGTCCCGGGGTGATGGATTTGACGAATACGAGGTGAGTTTTGTAGGTATCAAGCCGCGTCGCTGACACATGCAGTCCAGGCATACTACGAGACAATCGAAATCTTGCCGGTGTGATGGATCACAATCCCGTGTTCTGAGCTGCCGAGGGCGGATAATCCCAGTTGTGGTCACGGGGCTCGTAATCCTCGAGTAGTCGACCGATAATTGATCATTCGACTGTTGTCTATGTTATAATCCTATTGTAATCCATGTCATAATCCCACAGGCTATTTGTCTGGGCTTAAGGTGAATCTATTAGGCTACAGGATTATGAATCTATTAGGCTACGGGATTAATCCGCATCACTGATATGACTGCCAGGCAAGCTGTTGTTCGCCGTCCAGTCGACGACAGCGACCGGCCCCCGAAATGGATGGACGGGATACTCGTCGGCGGGGACTGGTTCCCGACACCTAATACCTCCGCAATCCTATTCGAAAAACATGTGGAAGTGTTCATCGACGGGCCCCGCACCAGACAATTTTGTACTTATTTCTAGCGGAAGTGGCTCGCGGTCAGCATCTTGCTGCACCGTCATTCCATGTCCGATCATCTGCATATTCTGCTCGTTACCTTTCCTGCGTGGGGTAAGTATTGCTATCTAGCGAAACAGTATGAACATTGGCCACGCACTGACTGGGCGACAGGACACATCCGCCCTCTCTGCGCCCTCGGCAATCGGCTGGCTGCGGCGCAGCCAAATGTGCTGGTGACCATCTTCACGACGGCCGCGTTCTACGAGAAGATATGTGCCGAGGTTGAGGGGCATTTCCTCGCCGATAAGGATGGTTGTTATTCTCATATCCGGTCAGTGCAGCACGCTTTCATAGGACCCACATAATAGAACTGAACGCTTATCAGCGTGGTCTCTATCGTCGAGGCAACAGCGATTCGACCCTCGGAGCTGGTTGGACAATTCGGTGAAGCATATCCAGCGGCGTATGAGCGCCTGTTTCGCGGGGAGGAGGTCACCTGCACGAGGACGGGTATCGTCGGGGGCACGATCCCTCCCCCCCGGGCCATCATCATGGACGTGCGTGGAACTCGCCGCGTGTGTCTAGCCGCTGTATGTACCTAATGCCTCCTGACAGTTTTTCTCGGTCATGCAACTGCATCAGACACGCACCATCAGTGGACCCTGCGTCCCGATTTTCACACTGGCGTCGTGCAGCACCGCTGCTCTGGTTCGCCTATTCGGGCCTGAGGAAATTGGTGGGTTGGGCGATTTTGGCGCGAGGACAGATGCGGAGGCTTTGCGGACGGGTAAATCGACAGCGGAGATTGGAGATCAGGTACGTGCTGCACCTATCTCTCGGTGGCAATTGATCTAGGCTCAGTCTTTCAATCTCGCCAGATCTTCAAACATACAGATGGTTCGGTCATTCGCCTGCCCGGTATTCCTCCGATGTATGATTATGAGTTTTTCCCGCAGACGGTATGTCTACAGATCTTCATTCTCGTGCACCGAAACTCAAAAAAAACCTCTTTTAGCTACCCTGGGATATACCCATGGCCCCCATAGTAAGGGCTGGCCACGAGTATGTGTGCCTCTCATCTCTCTACGGCCTCGGTCTCATTGCTCTTCAGAATGTTTACGCGTTGCGACGGTGTGCTGATAAATACTTGTCGGGCATACGGTTCCGAGACTCTAGATGCTCTAGAATCCTGGGTAGTCTCCTCCCTGGAAAAACCGCTCTTCCCAGTGGGACCTCTTCTCCCGGCGACACACGGCCGAGATGCTGACTGCGAGAATTTCCTGGATAATGCTCTGGCTACCTCCGGCCCTCGTTCAGTCGTCCTGGTAGGCAGATCATGGTTGCTTGCTCGGTTGCTGTGCTTGATATGGGATGCAGATCTCATTCGGAACCCTCTTTTGGCCGCGAGATACTGCTCATCTCGAACAGCTAGTGGATACATTGATTGAGATGAATTTCCACTTTGTACGTGCATCGAGAGTCGCGAGAGTCCTGATATCAAGGTGTTGACAGAAAGCAGATCTTGGCGCATGCATCCTTCGCAGCGCGAGTTCCACACTCGCTAACGGAGAGAATCGCTGCCTCGCCGCTTGGAATGTCGACTGCTTGGTGCCCCCAACAATTGATCCTCACGCACGCAGTCAGTGAGCCGGATCTCTCCGTATATTTCATCGCCTTACGAGTGCCCAGGCAACAGGATGGTTTGTCACACACGGCGGCCACGGCGGGATCACCGAGTCGCTCTCAGCTGGGGTGCCGATGATCGTGTGGCCGTTTGACGGAGACCAGCCCACGGCCGCAGTCCTGCTCTCGCAGGTTCTCGACGTCGCCTTCCACCTCATCGAGATCCGATCGGGTGAGAACGGGATGCGCCCTATGTATTCCGGCCAGCAGCCTTCCGGCGCGGTCAAGGAAGAGTTTGCGCGCGTTTTGGCCGCCGCGAGAGAGGGAGAGGGCTTGCGGAAATGGGAAAACGCGCGCAAGCTTGCGACCCAGTTTAGGCTTGCCTGGACAGAGCAGGGTGAGGCGACCAAGACAATCGCGTCGTTCCTGCGGAAGATTTCCCTGTAGTTGACGCGCTGTCATCATGCGGAGGGGCTTCCGCAGGTGACTCACGCGAGATGTGTGGCTGCAGGTACATACGCATACAGGGCATGGCTCCCCGCTGTAGAATACTTTACACGCTGGACGCACAAAAGTCTTTATTCCCAGTCCACTGGAAAGTGACCCAGGAGTCCAGGATAGCTTCTATCGGACGGCGGGGCATAACACCATCCTCTGTGGTCGCGAACTGAACCAGTGTGAAATAAAGCTCGCGCATATTCGCCCCATAGCATCAGCGTCCGCGATACTGAGTTGGGCAATCTCGGAAAGAGTGCGAGAAATAGTCGAGGCATCATCGTCGGAGAGTGTCCTTCACGGGCGATGAATGAAGGCCTCCAGCGTCCCTCCAGATACGAGCAAGGGAGCGATCAACGCCAGAAGAACCCCCCCCCAGCCGAAATCTCTGAGTCTTCGCGGGCGCTTATGCGCCGAAGCTGCCCATCTCAGAGACCTCCCCCAGCTTCCTCCCAGCCTGGATGCTCCGCGCCTTCCCCTCTGCTATGGCCTCCCATCCAGACCGTCGGCGTCGTGCAGCCCGTACGTATCGCGCAACGAAGCGACCGGCGCGGTCGTATGCCTGCTTCCTGTGCTGTCCGTGTGACCAACGACTGGGCTCCAGCCAGTGTCCGTGTGTGTCTGCGTTGTCGGGCGTTCCGCGAACGATGAGGCGGCGGTTTGAAAGCGTGTGCGGGGTCCCTGGTCCGCCACCCTCTAGAGTCGACCCGATCGGTGCATGTGCCGTTCCCGATGCTGTGGCTGCAGAGCATCGTGCGCCTTGCCAGGAGCTGAGCTTCAGGAACAAGAACGGGGAAGGTGATCGGGTGACATCAACTGGTGGGGCGACAGCGTGCCGTAGCAAGGTTGGCAAGAGGTGCACGAGGTTGGATTGCAGGGTGCCAACCAGACATTGCGAATGGAACAGAGAGGAAATAGTACAACGTATGAGATGTTTTGAGACGTTGTACAGGGCCAATAAGACGTAAGACAAGGATATCAGGAGCGTAACGGGAACTGAGTTGGTGGGGCGGGCAAAACATGATTCGACCCAGGTTCGAACTGAGGACCGCCTGTGAACAACTCGAAGAGATGTTAGACAGAAGTGATAACCAACTACACCATCGAACCGATGAGGGGATGGACGGGGAGAAATATACAATTCTCTAGCTCACTGGTACGCTGTGTATTAGAGTTTCCACATTCTGAAACTGTCTCTCACTTTGGGGGGACTTATTTTTTTCCCGTGGAAAATGCATGACAATCTAGAAGTCCAATTCTCACCGCTCGGTTTTCACCCAAATCTGGCTGAGAGTCTGGCTGAAAACCGGACAGTGAGAATTGGACTTCTAGATTGTCACGCATTTTCCACGGGAAAAAAATAAGTCCCCCCAAAGTGTCTAGGTCGGTGTAATTTGATCCAACGCACGTAATGAGGTAGATTTTGGTATGAGTTTCAATTGAACGAAAGCTCCGAGCTCAGATCTTGTCAACTCCGATCAACCGCTCATCCTGTTCTAACACATGGAGCTAAATAACTAGGAAAAGACCAAGACTCCCTGCGAAACCAAATGTACATCTGGAAATCGTGAGAGAGGAAGCGCCCCCCTTCAAGCCAGGAATGGTGGCTGGGCTTGTAGATCCCGACGTGGAGCTTGGAGGGAAGCTGCTCGTCTGAGAGGTAACACCAGTCGTGCTCTGGGCGAGCGTCGGCACGACCACTGGTGTCGAGTCAATCGTCGACGACACCGAGGTTGTTGAGCCTGCAAAGCCAGTACCCGACAGGTCCGTAGTGTCTGGGAGTCCTGTGCCCGCGAGCGAGGCGCCCGAGACGGTCGCCGAGCTGAGCGCGATGCCTTGCAGCTGGCAGCTCTGCACAAAGGCTGATAACGCACGCGAGACATCAGCCGAGCTGACAGACAGAAAGACGGGTAGGAGGCACGATCGGACGCACCGTTGACAGCCAGCTGCGCCGTGTCAGCTGTGAGCACGCCGTTGGATTGCGCGACGATGCAGTCGTAGCACGTGGCGAGATCGGCCACGATCGTTGCTGTGCAGAGAGTCGCCAGGGATGGGCTTTGTGACTGAGCGCCAGGGATCGATATATGCGAAATCAGCATGGAATAACTATGCTGCACGCACGGGATCAGCGAGACCGGCGCACTGGGAAGAGCATCCTGATGTTGGGTTGATGTCACTGAATTGACGTGGAACGAGCGGTGTGGAAGCTGTCGCGGAGACGAAGCCTAGATAGGGGGTAAGACGCAAGGTGAAGACATGACACCCAGACTCAGAGGATGCGAACGCACCTGTACATGCACCCAAAATCACCGGTATCAGACTCAGCATATTTGGAAATCGAGCAAGGAGGGAAGAGTTGAAAGGTTGTGCATTGGTAGGGACTCAATTTAAAGGATCGCGCTTGTCAACATCTGTATCGGTACGTCGGATTGTTACCAGGAACAGCTGTATGTAGATAACTATCTGTGGATTGACCGGGAAATTTGCAAGGTAATAATAGATCCACTCAATTGTCACCTCAAACTCTAGCCTCATTTTGTGAAATCAGTGATGTGTGAAATTATTTGCCGAAATCACATCCAGCTTCAGGTTCTTCCCGATCTACAAAAGGCAGTTTCTAAGCTATTGAGAAACGAGAAAAACAGACGAGTGGGCTTGACGCGAAGCGTCACTCGTGTCTCCGTTGCAAAGTATGTCTTTACAGGAGATGATAACTTGGGTTTCTTGCCGAGAAATCGTCCACTTGATGCATTGTCGCAAAGTTTGAGGCGATTGTGAGGCGAAAGTTTTATGCGAAAGTTTGGGGCAACAATCAAGCGCGCCTACTACAGCTGTCACTGTGTCAGTCAGTCAAAAGTTCGTTCACGTCTCTGCGGGCAGGAACGTCCTTCGCTTGTCAACTTTGACATTGATTAGATGCTCCTTAACTTCGAACAGGAGCTTCAACAAAGAGAAAACGTCCATGGGTAAGGACTGAATCGGCGCCCAAAGGAGTACACAAAAAGCGACGAGGTACTGCGATCACAATGAGACCACAACGCTAAGGGAACAGGGAAAAAGTGATTCGACCCAGGCTCGAACTGAGGACCGCCTGTGAACCATTCCGGAGAATATGTTAGACAGAAGTGATAACCAACTACACCATCGAACCGTGGGAAGCTGATTGGACAGTATGTATATAGACTGTTTCAACCATTAGGATATCCTCAAGATCGCACGAATCAAGGTCGTATCCGTGTATCCTAGGCCTGAGAGTTGCAATTTACGGCACAATGATACGATTAGATGGTTGAATCTCTATCGAGGTCGCCTCTGCCTCTCATTTCTTCCATGCGGAGGGTAGCAGCGAACATTCCCAATCACCGAAAGACTCGGTCATGTGTGAGGCACTTATAGTTGCAAGAAATCCTGCCTACAAGATTAGATGACAGGATCGTGAACAGACTGCACAGATCGAACGAGTGACTTGGGCGGTCTTTTCCAGTGGTCAGTCTAAGTTACACGAATTAATTTCGGAGGGCCGCGACGATATGAAGTACACATAGCGCGACGAGAGAAGGGCCTGTACTCTTGGTTGTTTGCTTCAATCTCCATGACCGTTCGGTTTGTTCTCGTGTGGAAGAAATTTCGGTTATAGTTAGCCTCCGCATTTTGCGGCGGGTGGATCGAGGCCAGCAACTATCAGCTCCGCTGCTCTGTAGAAAAAATCAGAACTCACGATCTGATTGTCTCGGCCGAAAAACGCTGACGCGAGAGCTGGTCTGCGGAGTGGAAGAAAGAGATCACCCAGTCACATACGCATTATGATAGTCGGAGAAACAGCATGACCCTGGTTCAAGTGGCCCATGGTTCTCGGCGTCTGTGATCATGGCGCCGGAAGTTCAAGATGTGGTGCCATAATGCGTGTAACCTCGATCTCAGGACATAAACACCTGATGGTCAATGCGTCGCCTCTATAGTAGGTTTAGTGGAGTCACCACAAGTTTTCGAAACCTCTGACCATAGATTCGATCCGTCTCCTTCGACGGCCGCGAGAGTAGCATGGTGGTATCTACTCGCGCATAATGTCACAACTTCAGAGGTCTGGGATGATTGAGTGCCGAGAGCATGTGTGAATACATGAGGTGGTGTGTCAAGTGTGCGAAACTAGAAGGTGGATCTGGAGTAGATCTATCTGCTTTCACAGACTAGAGATGATTTGCGAGCTGCAAGCGAAGTTCCTAGACTTGAGGCCAGTCCCTACGGGCGAAAGGTCAAGATGATCGATTGCCACGTGTTTCCTTTTTGGGCTATTCAGCGTGTGAAATAGCGACTGGCGCGAGTCTACAGATTCCCCTGTCGCGTGTGACAGGATACAGGGTCTGCCTTGAACGCTTTGTTACACGTTTGCAATGTTACGGCTATACGACTACACTTCGCCAGGTTCGCGCTCCTGAGTCGCAGCATTAGTGACGACAAACACCATCCGTGCCCACTCGTTCTCGCTCGGGTTTATCCACTTGTGGTTCGTGCCGCGCTGCACGATGATGTCCCCCGCGTCCACGGTCTTCGTCTCCCGCCCCTCCTCGTCGAGCGTCAACGTGATGCGCCCGTGCGTGACGATGGCAAGATCGAAGGTGTTTGTCCTGCGAGGGTGCTGTCAGGAACCGCAGTCGCGAGCAACGTGCGGTCAAGCAGACGCACCGGTGGAGAGGGCCTTGGGCACCGGGTGCCATGTCCATCACGCGGCTGAATCGTTGTGAGCAGCTGCGCAGACATGCTTGGTGCGAATCACCCACCAGGTCATCCCGGGCACGTCGAAGAGATCCTTGAGGCCGTTCCAGTTCCGACCGGCACGCTCCTCCGCGGCCCAATCTTTCGTGTCGCGGTTGTTGGCGGGCAACGACGGTACGGCGTAGACGAACGAGATGTTCGTGCCGTTGGGGCGGGAGCTTACTGGCACGGGCCCGTCGGCGGTGAAGACGTCTGCGCCATTGTCACTCAGGCCGGTCACCACGCATCGGACAGGAGCGAGGCTTGGGGCAGACATGGTTGGGGGGCAGCCCACTACCAGGTGCCTTCTTCTCTTATACGTTTTCTACGCATCTGATAGCAGATCCGGGTACAGATTCGTCTCGTCGCAACAACAGTGCTATACATAGTCAGAATCACAGCCGTTCCAACGTCAACGGCATGGCAGGGCCCGCAGAACTCTCGGTCCATGGCATCTGGATGTTCGCCAGCTTCCATATGATCTCTTCCTTCGGGAGACTGAGCCGGAAGTTGTCGAGCAGAACACAGATCATCACTTCTGCAATCGGTGGATCAGCGAGTGCGCTCGGATCTGCGTGCTGCCACCTACTCATTTCCAACTGTGCGAACTTGATGCCGATGCAGGCGCGCCCGCCGCCGAGGAAACTCATCGTGCCGGCGTAGATGCTCGGCAGATGCGCGTTGGCGGCGCTCTTGGGCACACCGTTTGCCCACCGATCGGGTTTCCATTCGTTCGCGTCGGGACCCCAGATCTTCGGGTCGCGATTCGCCGCTGCGATCCCAATGTGCACGTTCTGGTTCTCAGCGACGGGAATCTCGGTGATGGTCTTGCCGTCAGTGCCGGTCAGCGGATAGAGCAGAGGAAGAACAGAAGCGGAGCGGGCTCTGAGAGGAGATGAGAGTTTTGTCGAGGCGAAGGATGCTGGCCACTGCTTACGTGCGAGTCATGAAGGTCACTGCGGCATGCAATCTTAGAGTCTCCCGGCAGACGTTCTCGAGGAACGGTAGCTCCATGAGCAAGTCGTATCCGAGCTCGCGGTTCCCGTGCTCTCTCTCCCATGTGTCCAGCGCATTCTTGATTTCAGCGCGGAGACGGTCTTGCACGTCGGGATAGATGCAGAGGAGGTGGAGAATGTGGGCGATCGTCGAGGAAGTTGTGTCGTGTGATGTGAAAACGAGCGTCGTCAACTGAGCCAGGACTTCTGCGTCGGGCATCACGTCTTGTGTCGAAGCGCCGTGCATAGCTCGCACTAGGTGTGTTCGTCAGGGACGACGCCCAGTGTCCAGATCGCAGCTCTTCACTTACTCAGAATGCTGACGATGTCGCGCCCGTGTCCGACCTGTTCTAGCACCTTCTCGTCACCCATCAGCATCGCCTTCTTCTTGGACTCGAAGATCGCCAGCGTCGTGCTGTGCATCTCGTCGACGATGTCGCGCAGCCTGTGCAGCCGGCGGCTGGGTGTGACGTCGACGAGCCAGCGCCGGAAGCCCGGTGTGCCGATCTTCAGGATAAACGGCAGGATCTGGCGCTCGATCTGCAGCGAGAAGATGGTTGGGATCAGGCCCCGTAGTGCGGTCCGGAAGGCGGTGTTGGGATCGCGGTCCTCCTCGAGCGCCTCGAAGGAGTGGCCGAGTCCACCCTGTCCGATGACCTCGAGCGCAGTTCTCATGATGAGATCGAGCATGTCCATTTCGGCGGGGCGAGATCTGGTCTTTACGTTGATGAGATGGACCATCTTGGGGGTAGCAGAGGAGTCAGACAGGGGAGTCAGGAAGCAAGTGAGACGCGACTGACTTTGTTGGCGACCTCAAACACAGCCGGACAGAGCTCGCGCATGTTCTTGCTGGAGAAGATCGGGTTGAGGATGCGGCGCTGGTTCCGATGGTGGTCGGTCACCGTCGAGAGCAGACCATCGCCGAAGATGACGCTGTTGCCCCTGAGACGTGGATTGTGAGCTAATAGGTCAACGCGAAGATTTTGAAAGTACGCACTGAACAAACATCTTCGTCTGCTCAAAGACGTCCTGGTCCTTGACCGTGATCTGGTGGAGTGCCAGCGGATCGGCAACGTACAAGTGCTCGTCCTGAACGACTATGATGAGCTCATTGCTGCATAAGACAATCCTGTGACACGAACCCCCATGATTCCGTTAATTTTGACGACGCTCCCGTAGTTCTGCGTGAGATCGTGGTGCCAGGACATCCCGGCGGGATTGTACAAGTGGGACAAGTGGCCTGTCCGCCACGATGTTGACGGTGGGCCAGGGAGGTTCCGTAGTGGAGCTTTGACGACGGCGCGGCGGTAGACGAGCCATGCCAGCCGGGACACACCCAGAACGGCGAGAACAGCCAGTGCTTTCCACATGTTGAGCTGGATATGGGGGGTGGGATTGTGTTCTTGCCCTGGAGTGAGAGTGCGTGAGAGTTTATGTGGGCTCGAAATGAGTCCAACCAATCTAGATCCCTAGCTTGGAGGGATGACGGCGAGGTGAATTGAGATTGAGAGGACGCTCTGATGGATGGAGAGCGTCGTAATATCTTCGTTTCACATGTTACATACATGTTGTCGAGGGTATGGAAGTCTGCAATCAGGCAAGCTGTGGTGTGGTGTGTAACAAACTCCTTTCGACCGCAAAGCGGAGCAGGAGAAACACGACCAATTGCCGACCGGTATCGAAGCACTAGAGCACGCTGAACGGTTCTTGGGCTAGCCGCGTGACACTGGACCCTGCAACTCCGATCAAATTCATAAATAGGCCATGTTCGCAATGTGATGGTCAGTCCAAGATGGACGAGCTGAGCTGGGCGATGGCGATCGAAGATCTCGATCGAGCGTTATGCATCGACGAACGCTTTGTAGCCGTTCTTCGAAGATGCCGTGATAACCGAGAGGGTGCGGCTGTCACACCGAGTGGGGGAGGAGTCCACGAACGATCTATCCGATCGTGGCATGCCGCCCTCCCCGGGCAGCCCTGAATCACAGGCCTAATGGTTCGACTCGGCCATGTTGCCGCCAGAGGACATTGTTCGCTAAAGAAGACATCCCTTGTAACTAGAACTACTCTGCGGCGGATTTGGGCTTCTCCGCCGTGATATCCTCCTCCATCTCTGGTGGCGCTGGGGACGACGGTTTCCGGAGGTTCATCCCGCCGGCCCATCCCAACCAGGTGTGCCTTGGCGCATGGGGTCCCCTCACGAGAAGCGCGAGCAGCTCCACTGCGGCGAAAACCACGCGGATGCCCGAGGAAAGCTTGTATCCGCCAGAAACATAGAGCTTGGTCCCGATGGCGGTCCCAGCGACCTGCCCCAGAAAAATGGATCCGACGAGCAGTGTGTTCAACCGCGCCCGAGCATCAGGGTCGATCCTAAAAAAAGATGTGAGGCAGATTTTTTGGATGATGCAGGACCAAGTACCCGAAAATCACTGCGGTCATCGAAACTTGGGTAGCTTGAGCGCCGATATCGAGAACTACGAATGCATTAGAAGTCGCCAGAGAATTCATGATTTTTCCCTTACTTATAGTCGCAAGAATAACAGCGGCGACGCTTTTCTGGGCTCCAAACGTCTCGATGATCTGAGACGCCAGCACAAGAGAAATCGCAACCAAGGTCGCAGCCCACGGGACAAGTTTGTCCACCGCCCGTCCGATAATGGGTGACATGGCGATTCCCGAAAGTCCAACGAGACCGAACATCCCGATGACCAAACTGCAAGATCTGAGGGCGAGGGACGACAGGATAGAATACACAACTCACGTTGAATAGTGGTATGGCGCGCCGTCGAGCAGGAACGTCATGGTCACCCAGAAACCCGAGAATATCGCTGCGCTACAGAAAAAGATGGCGCAGCCTTGGATCAGGATAGGCTCTGTCACTGCGAACTTCGCCATCGTTTTCATGATCTGCCAGTACGACAGGTTGGTGTTCTTTACCGGCACGGGGGGCGTGACCAGATAGAGGACGATGGCGAGAAAGAACTGGCCGCCGGCACCCATCCAGTACACATTGCGGTACGACGAATACTGGGCGATGATCCCGGCGAAAACACGCGCGATGAGAACACCCGTCAGCAGACCCGCGAGAACGAGCGCGATGAAGGTCGCGCGCCGATTTGCGGGGGCCAGATCTGCGGTGAGCGGGATCAGGATCTGCGATAAATGTGCGTGTGAGCGGTGCGAATAGATCGAGTTCGAAAATTCGCACCTGGGGCGTGACCGTCGCGATTGCCGTCAGAAAAGAAAGGATTTCAAAGACGATCAGGGATTTCGTCACTGCCAAACCGACAGTGAGGGCACCCGAAGTCACGATGAAGATTAGAACAAGCTGTCGTCGTTGCAATATATCTCCGAGTGGCGTGATAAACAGCAGACCCGTCGCATATCTAGCGCGAGAAGTATCAGCAGAGAATACAGAGAGTCCAGACTCGAATGGCACTCGCCCAGCTTGGAGAAGAATGGGAATTCTCGAGACTTGGAGATCGTCGACTTTAAACGCCTGCGCAAGTTGGACTGTGAATCGAGGTGAGATAGCCCCATTCGAGGAGTCGAGGTCGCCGCGCACCGAGCAGGGGTTGAGAGTAGTACAGATTCATCGCTGCGTTGAAAATTGGTCGGTTTCAGAGCACAGGCATACTTGAGATCCATACCAGCTGAGAGTTCAGTGAGTATGAGGGTTTCCGTTACAAAAGCTGGGAACGCTCACTGAACGTGGCCGCGACTGCGAACGCGAGGACTCTGCCGTAGCCAATCTCACCAGAACTGCCCAGGTAGGCGCATCGAGGCACAGGGAGGAACCCGAAGTCGCGTCTCGCGGTAGCAGGAATTTTCGAGTCAGCCGCGAGATCGGGGCCGAGGATTGATGGCATTGGCTCAAACTCAAGGTGTCTGGGTAAAGGATGGGGGGGAAAGGAACGGCGTCAGTGACGGGAACGCCGAGAGAGCGCAGAGACTTTGGAGGATGGGACGTGGCGACGGACGAGTGCGTGCGTGACTCTGGAATCTAGGTGCCACGGCTTGACACGTCCACCCGACCCATCTCGGCGCGAAGCTCCGCCCGCATCTGCGCCGAAGATTCCTTCCCGCAACCGATAACCCAATCTGATGGATGCGCGACGCGATACTCGACAACTGGACTTTTTTGCATGTTCTCATCGAGTGTATGCACGGCAGGTCCGCGATGTGGGTTTGTGAGAAATTTCCCTTTACGGAAAGTGAGCTGGTTCGACAGCTTCGTGTGGCACGTGCGCACCGTGCCGTACTACCCAGGTCCCTCCTCAGCGCTGCCGTCATCCTTGTGTCGTTTCTCCTCTCCGGTCATCGTTACAGCTGATTTCAGAGTAACACGGCATTCCGCATGCCTCGGAGAACCCATTACGGCGCTCAAGAAGTTCCAGAACTAATATGTTGCATGGCCGGTCACCCGAGGCTTGACCGACTGGTCAAGTTGTGATGTTTTGCATGTGGTGCTTACGGCGCCCAGAGAGTGAACATGGAGCGACGAAACAACGCCGTGCATCCCACGGGACTCCTCAGGGAGATTCGGGTAGCACAGCACCAGGAAGGGACTTAAAAAACCCATTCAAAGACTGCGAACCCTACGACTCCACACCTCACCCTGAACCACCATGGGATCCGCTCCGTCGAAAGCCACTGGCCCTTACATGTCCATGTACCCCGCGCCCCCTCTTGCCCCCGAGAACGAGAAACTCTCTGCTGCTGCTGTTAGGCCCGAGCGCGAGCTCGAGGACCGGCTCCAGAACCTCACGATCGCTGCGAGTGCGCCCCGATCGCTCGATGGGGCACTCACCGCGTCGAACATCTCCACATGGGAGTCGACTGCCTCTGCGCCCGTGCACGCCGTGACGCGCGCCGTCCTGGCGCGCACCGATGTCAATGCGCTGCAGCGCCGCGAGGCGCACCGCGCGGACCACCACACGTTCAACACCGTGCTGGACTTCAAGACGGGGCCGATTGCGAACCAGCGCGGCAGCGGGCGCTGCTGGCTGTTTGCGGCGACGAACGTGATGCGGTACCCGGTCATGCGGAAGCTGAACCTCGACAAGTTCGAGTTGTCCCAGGTCGGTGGTTGCGGAAATGCGTGATCAGAGGACGAGTACTGATGATGATGATGCCGCAGAACTACTTGTACTTCTACGACAAGCTGGAGAAGGCGAACTACTTCCTCGAGCAGGCGATCACGTTCGCGGACGTGCCGCTGAACTCGCGGCTGCTGTCGCACCTCTCGACCGACCTCATCAGCGACGGCGGGCAGTTCGACATGCTGATCAACCTCATCGAGAAGCACGGGATTGTGCCGCAGGACGTGTACCCGGAGTCGTTCCACTCAATGCTGTCGGCGCCGATGAACACGATCCTGAAGACAAAGATCCGCGAGCACGGGCTTGTGCTGCGCCAGGCGGTGCGGCAGCTGCGCGCGCAGGGGCTGACGGACGAGTCGGTGCTTGCGGTGACCCGAGCTCAGAAGGAGAAGCTGATGGCGGAGACGTACCGCATGCTCACGGCGATGCTGGGTGTGCCCATGCTCGCGGACGAGGCGTTCACCTGGAGCTACCACGACAAGGATGGGAAGTACGGGCAGTGGACGGGCACGCCGAAGCAGTTCGCGAAGACGTTCATCGGGTCTCAGGTCTCGGAGAGCATCTCGCTCATCAACGATCCGCGCAACGCCTACAGCGAGGCGTACACTGTGACTGACATGGGCAATGTCTGGGGTGGCCGGCCCGTTGTTTGTATGCCCGGTTTCCTTCCAGCTCATGCCGTGGATCTCACCTACCATTGTCAGACGTGAACACCAGCGCCGAGATGCTCAAGTCCCTGGTCGTCAAGATGATCAAAGCCGGGGAGCCTGTGTTCTTTGGCTGCGATGTGCTGAAGCACGAGGACCGGTTCGAAGGGTTCCTCGACCTCGATCTGTTCGAATACGAGGTTCGTTCCGAAGAGACTCTTTCGGCCACACACTGATTCGCGTCTCGCAGAAAGCGTTCGACATCAAGTTCCCGATGAACAAGGCGCAGCGTCTGGAGGTCGGCGAGTCAATCATGACGCACGCGATGGTCTTCACGGGCGTGCACCTCGACGAGCAGGGCCGCGCCGTGCGCTTCAAGGTCGAGAACGCCTGGGGCACCGGCGTCGCACGCCAGGGCTGGTTCACGATGGGCGCAGACTGGTTCGAGCAGTGCGTTTTCGGTCTCTTGGTTCCTGGTGCCGTGCAGCGACTGACATGGTTTGGGCAGGTGGGTGTACCAGATTGTGGTGCCCAAACGCTTCGTGCCGGCCGAGCTAGTCAAGGCGTTCGAGACGGGCCATCGCACGGAGTTCAAGCCCTGGGACCCGATGTGCGTGTGCTCGTGTGCCCGTGTTTCTTTCTCCCTGTGTGCTGACTGGTGTTGTCCAGGGGAGCGTTGGCTTGATTCGCTTATATTCTATCTACTTTTTTGTATCCATGCGAATGCCAATGTGTTGTTATGTCTTCAGAGCGCGTTTGATCTTCCGGCCCTAGGGGCGATTGGTCTATTCGGCTTGATGGCTGGATGGCTGAAGTCATTTCCATAGCATTAGGACCAATCAATAATTGGTGGTCAAGCCGTGGCGATCAAACTCAACGAATGGAAATGTGAACCAGTCGCTTTTTTCCGACTAGCCTCACAGAGAGGGAAGCCTCATCATGAGCAACGTGAGGAGCACTCTCTTAGCGGTGCCTAGTGGTTTCACGTAAAGTTTCCTGATACGCGGCTCGTTCCGAGCATTTGGCCGTTTGGCATCATTCGTCGAGTTTTGCGACTACGGCTTGGGCACCAACTATCGAGTGGACCAATTTCCGGCCGGCGAGTCCCCTACTTCAGGCTCTGCTGGAAACATTCTGAGATTGCAACTCTCAGGGGAATCTCAGGCATCGCATAGAATTAATTAACAAATATGTATTGGTTTTCGATATCGAGACTCATTCCATTGACTGTGAATCTGTGCAGAGGATGCGTGCATATCCTTTATTTTTTCAAGTTCCAGCATGAAGACAATCCAAATTTCAGGCATCCACTATCGAAACTGGCAGAACCAATAGGAGTATTCAACGATTTGAAAAGAGACACAACTGTTTATAGGCTTTGAAAGCTAGAAGCATGTACGATCCCCCCGCTTTTATATCGGAAGAGATTCTAAGACACCGGCCGGAGAGAGCCCGGGGGCCCGCGCCGGGCGTTGTCAGAATCAGAGTCAGAGTCCTGTGAGCTCAATCTAGGGGTATCTGGACAGGTTAATCGGCGAACGGCTGGTTCCCCCGATATCGATTCTAGACCCCCGAAGACGGCATAGCATACATACATACATACATACCGCCACCACCCTACACCTCGCCACCTCCGTGTCATCGGCGGTGCACACTGCCGTGACTGCGGGCACGATGGACTGCGGGGCGCGTCCCCCGGGCAGTCGTCGATCTGGGCCATACATCGACTTGTAGGGGTGTGACTTACGAGGAGGCGGAGGCGGATGACCGCGACGCAGAGAAAATGAAATCCGAGCACGCCTAGACCATGCGCACTGTCGATAGTATGACAGTGCTATGACAGAGGACACCGGCCGGCCATTCTTTCACATTTTCACTTTCTTTCGAGCTGCAGTTCGGCGACCGTCCCGCATGGAGGTGAGGCAGGACGGCGACGATCCAAGGAAGAGGTTATGGCACATGTACAGCTTGGGGGACGTGCTGGCCGGTTGGTGATGCTATCTCCAGGCGTTTCAGGAGGGGACGGATGATTATGGGTATCTTGACAAGGAAAAGAAGTTCGTATGCACTAACAGCAGAGTGTTCAATCGCAAGCCTGATGATGTATTCAGGCGATAGGTCTTAGAATAAGCATGTGATATCTTTGAACAGAGATACATATCAATATTTCTTGGGGTGACAAGTAAATTTAATGGAGGTCGAGGACGGAGAAATGCCGATGATTCTGATCCGATCCGCCATCGCCTGTTCTTTCCTTGACCGACACAATCTCCGTAGAGTGTGTTTCTGGCCCTTGGTCTGGTGAGGCTATGATTTTTTGAATTCTCCTATTGTACAACAATTCGCCATAAACTATTTCTTCGCCAACCCCTCGCGGACGACCTCGTCGACACAGCTCACGACCACGTCGACGATCGCCCTGACTTCGTCTGCGGTGATGTTGTACGCGGGCGCGAACATGATGTGGTCCCCCTGCGTGCCCTCGACATTCGCGCCACCGACCATTCCCATGATCATGAGCCCGGCCTGGAAGCACCGCTCCTCGACGACAAACGCGAACCGCTTCCCGCCCAGATCGAGCGAGCTCACATCAAACTCCACAGCCCAAAACATCCCCGCGCCGCGGATCTCGGCCACGTAGTCCCGCGCGAGCGCGCCGTCCGCCGCGAGCCCCTCGCGCAGAAGCGCGCCGAGCAGGTCGCCCTGCGCGGCGCAGTTCTCGAGCAGCTTCTCCGCGACGATGACGCGCTGCACGGCGAGCGAGGCCGCGGAGCACAGCGGGTGCGCCTGGTACGTGTAGCCGTGCTGCCAGACGCCGGAGCCCTCGCTCAGCACGCGCGCGACGCGCGGCGCGATGAGCACGCCGCCGATGGGCGTGTAGCCCCCGCCGAGGCCCTTGGCGACGGCCTGGATGTCCGGCGAGACGCCGTCGGCGACGCGCTCCCATGCGTGCAGCGTGCCCATGCCTGGATTGGGGCTGTCAGCGGGGGGAGACGGAGGGAGGAGAGGGGGGTACGCACGGCCCATGCCGCACATGACCTCGTCGAGGATGAGGAGTGCGCCGTACTTGTCGCACACGGATTTCACGGCGGCGAAGTACCCTTTCGGGGGGATGACGACGCCGGAGCTGGCTCCACCGACGGTCTCGGCGACAACTGGGGGTGTGTGTCAGGTCACTCTTGTGTTGTTGCAGGACGAGCGCTTACAGGCGATGACAGTGTCTGGCCCTAGTTCGACGAACTTGGCCTCGAGCTCGGCGCGCAGGCGCTCAACGAACTGCGGCTCGGACTCGCCCTCGCGCTGGTAGCGCCGCGCGTAGGCGGGCGATACGTGATGGAAGCGCTTGCTGTCGAGGATGTCGTCGTACGGCGCGCGGCGTGCAGCGTTCCACGCGACGTTGAGCGTGCCGAGGGACGCGCCGTGGTACGACGACTTGCGGCCGATGTAGTTCACGCGCTGCGTCTGGCCGAGTTCCCAGAAGTACTGTGGGTGTGTGCTGCGTCAGAACGACTCGGGTGCAGATGGAGATGCCGACGCGGGGCTAGGTCACCTGGCGAGCTGTCTTGAGGGCGCCTTCGACGGCTTCGCTGCCCCCGGACGCAAAGGCGATGTGCGCAAAGGCACCGTGCGACCTGTCGATGATGTTCCGTGCGAGCATCTCCGTCGGCGCGTTCGTCAGCTGCGTGTGGAACGTGACTGCGAACACGGCGTCGGTCAGCCAAACGATCGAGGCACGCAGCCGGCTGGCACCACCCACAGTTCAGCGTCCCCGCCTGCTCGCGGATGGCCTCGACGACGGCAGGGTGGCCGTTCCCGATGCAGACGACGGCCGCGCCGCCGATCGCGTCCGTGATGCGGCTGCCGTCCTCGAGGTCGTAGTAGATCCCCTGCGCTTTCACGGCCAGCGGCGGCGTCTTGTATGTCTTGTGCAGCACGGCAGACTTGCTGAAGGACCGGAAGCTGGCGATATCTCCCATGGTGCAGTGGATTTGGATCTGGGTGGGTGTGGGTTTCCTGCCTCGATTTCCCCTCCCCTTACATATCTCGCACAGACGACTGGGAGTGACGAGGGTGTGATCCTCTGCATTCCAGGATCACATTTCGAGCCACCGTATCAACATGTGATTCCCTTCTCATACATAATGAACTTGTTGGCAAGCGGAAGTAGGACATTTCCTGCATTCGATGCGACTCGAGAACATGAGCGCGCGCGTAACTTACGAGAGAGTTCCCCAGATTGCGATTGCGATTCCGATTCCGATTCGGGATCTGAACCGGTTCGAGAGCGCGCGCGGCGTTTCGCCGCGTCGACTCGGTTCTCGGGGTGAACTTCAGGGTGACATCCTTCTTGATGGAAATCGTCCGTCGATCTGGAGATCGCTATCGCTCCGTGATCCGAACCGGTGAGGCTGTAAATTATATCAAGTGAGTCCTGTGCGGAACGCGTGATCTCGACAGTGAGGATGCTCGGTGTATTGAAAATGCTATCATGTCAGTTGAGGATCTCTATAGGGGCTGGGCCCGCGGAGACTTGCCCGGCCCGGCGTCAGTGATCCTAGGAGTTCGGTGTTGGTCTTGGAGAATTTGAAGCGGCTCCGGCGCAGTCAGTCTACAACCTCTCCCCCCAGCTTTCTACCTACCCTCCCATCTAAGCTCTAGACAATGTCGAACAAAGCTGGAGGAATGCACGTCTCGGTGTTCATCGTCGCGCTGCTCACCATCGTGCGCCTCGCTCAACTGGTGGTTGGAACGTGCTGCTGATCATCCGCAGGGCTCGTGCATGTCTCTGTTGACGAAATACCAAGCGAGTCGTCGAGGCTATGTCGACCAGAACCGGCTGATTTAACCCGCGCACAGGATATGCAATGCGTTGCGAACTGCGACGACGGAGACGATCCGGCTACGCGCGTGATTTACGAGCAGCCCGTGCTGCAGACCGTCTTTATGTTCTGTGAGCTCCGTCGTTTAACGATCATCTGAACAATGCTAACCACGCTGATGCGATCCCAGGCGGCGAGATACTGTGTTGGTGGAGGCGCTTGAGCCGCGGGACCGAGGCTGATGTTCGCGACAGGTGTCCTTCCGACGGTCTACAGCTTCCTGATGGGGCGATTCGCGCGACAGAACAACGACGACTCCTCCAACACTTCCCGGGAAGGCGCGGTTCGCCTGGTCGAGGACGATACGGGTGGTGCCGCGGGCATCGCCAAGCCTGCGATGTCGTACAGGCGGTTCCTCTGGTTCTGGATGCCGGCGTCGTGTGACTTGGTTGCGACCACGGTGAGTCTGATTCGGGGTGTCGTGCGAGGGGTGCGCTGACCACGGGAACGAGTGCATGAACATGGGGCTCATGTCCCTGCCCATCTCGATCTTCGAGATGACGCGGGGGTCGATGATCCTGTTCACTGGTCTGTTCGGCGTCATCTTTCTCGGGCGCCGGTTGTTTGTGTTCCAGTGCGTCTCCGGAACCGTTTCTTTTTTGATCCGCGGATTATGACGGGGTACATAGATGGAGCGCGCTGTTCCTCGTCGCGCTGGGCGCGTTCTTCATCGGCTTCAGCACGCAGCTGAAGAAGTACCTCGCCTCCAGCGCTGGTTTCACCGAGACGAACTACGCCGCGCTGATCGTCGGTGCGTGGCCCCTCGTTAGCAGCCAATCTTATCTTATCACATGGCAGGGATCATGTTCATCCTCACGGGCCAGGTCTTCACCGCGCTCCAGTTCACAATCGAGGAGTGGCTGATGGCGACCTACTCTGACATCGACTCCTCGCTCGTCGTCGCGGGCGAGGGCGTCTTCGGCCTGCTCAGCGTCCTGACGCTCGTCCCCACGCTGCGCGCCACGCACCTCGTTTCGTCGCCGTACTTCGACCTCGCCGCGGGCTGGGCGCAGACGACGAGCAACCCCCACATTTGGCGCGCGGCCATCGGCCTCACGATCACGATCGCGTTCTTCAACTACTCCGGCGTCAGCATCACGCGCCGCCTGAGCGCGACGAGCCGCGCGCTCGTGGATGCGTGCCGCGCGCTGATCCTGTGGACGGTCAGTCTGGTGCTGGGCTGGGAGGCGCTCAGCTGGGTCGCGTCGCCGCTGCAGATCCTCGGGTTCTCGTTGCTTGTGTGCGTGGTTGCTTGGTTTCTCGGGTTTCGTAGACTGTGTGTTGAACGTTTTTTTTTTGCAGGTATGGGACGGTATGTGGTTGCATTTGGGCTGTGACGTTTTGTATTCTGAAGCGTAACCCTGCGTGTCAAAGCTCCTGTACGGCGGACTCGTGCCGGTTCCCTTCCGCCGCGGTGTTGTCTTGGAAGGGCCCGAAAGCGCGTAGATATATCTTTTTAGGGGTTTCGAGGGCTGTCTGCTCTTCGAGCAGTCTGAATGAAATTGGAATTTGGATTTGTTGACATGTCTGTGATATTGGTTTCCGCGATTCAAGCCGTCCTAGGGATTCAAGATGTGATTTGAGCGATTTCTTCGTAAATGACAGGCAAACAGACGACACTCAGCTTCCCCGTGCATCGCAAATGTACTCTTTCGGTGAAAAATTAGAGTTGGAATAATCGGCCGCAATGTGGCATTATTCAAAGCTGCTGCTTCGTAAAATAGCCATGCATAGAAACGCAAGACGGGTGTCACCAGTGTGCGATTCCATAATGTGGCGTTGCGGTGCGAGACAGACAGACAAAAGGGCAGTTGATAAAGGGTCACAACGGGATCCTCACGTGAGTCATGTTCAGTCGCTGAGGACAAACTCTGATTCAAACGAATGTAACAGTTTTGATTTTGGATGACTAGCACATGTAACCCTAAAGCCAGCCAGACACGACACTCTAAAGACTTCTTCGCTAGTTTTGCTCGCTCTGCGGGACTTCCCAGAGCGTCTTTGGCAGGTACGCCGTGGCGCCGAGGGCCAGCGCGGAGAGCACGACCATGACCAGGTACACAAACGATCCGCCGAGTATGTTCTTCTCCAGCGACAGGGAGAAGAGCGAGGTCGACGCGACAGGGCCGATGGCACGCACGACGGAAATGCACGTCTGTGCGATCCCGTTGGTGGCGCCGAGCGAGTGCTGGTTCGGCGCGGCCGCCCGGACGTAGATGAACGCGCAGCCTGGATGCAAGGTCAGTTCCCTGAACATGTCTGACGAGAAAGAGAGAACGGACTGAATCCCATGTCCATGATGATGTACAACACCATCTGCAGAACCAACTGCACCCACGTCAAGCCGTCGACGCGGTCCGCCCGCAGCGCCGACAGATTCATAAGCGGGAAGAGCAGGAACATGGGCACGAACGTGCCCATCGCAGCGACGAAAACGTTTTTGGTCCCAAAGCGGTCGTACACGGAGGAGAACGCCGTGGCCTGGTAGATCCCGCTGAACAGCCCGAATGCACCGAGGCACAGACCGACGACAGCGGGCGTGAATCCCAGGCCGCCGAGGGTGATGGGCATGGTGTAGAACAGCGGCTGCAGCGCGCGCAGTGCGATATCGAGCAGTGCGAGCAGCGAGTAGTTGGATACTGCGGTGATGACACGGGGAGTGAGCAGTTCGCGGAGCGGGAGGTCCTTATGCTCTACAGCTGCTCCGTCGGAGGTGCCAGCACGGCGCGGTTTCACAGTCTGCGTTGGATGTGTCAGAGAACAGCTCAGATGGGGACAGCAGATGTGCTGCTTGCCTCTTGGAGGAAGAAGAAAGCCAAGGCCCACGAAAAGATGCAGTAGAAAGCAATCACAAAGCACGGCAAAGCGTAGGGGTACGTTTTCCAGAACTCAAATTTCCCAAACGTGTTGGGGTAGTTTTCGTATGGGTTGGCAAGGAGTCCTCCGATCATGGGACTGTGCATTCTCCGTTAGAGCGTTCGTCAAGGCAGGACAGCCAGACGTACCCGATGGTAGCACCCGTAGCCCAGGTCACAGGCATCAGCGCCATGGCCTGCGCGATGTTTCCCTCTCCGAGTTCACCCATCATGCTCTTGATCACGCCCACGTTGCCGTTCAGGAGGCCTGCGAGGCAGCGCGAGACCACGATCGCCCAGTACGACTTGGACATCCCGAACGAGATCATCGAGAACGTCAGGCCAAAGAGGCCGACCAGGAGAACGGGCTTGCGGCCGATGCGGTCCGAGAGGCGGGACCAATGCAGGACCGTGAACGCCTCAGTCACGAAGAAGAGGGATTCCTTGCCGGGCGTCAGTGCCTGCGCGGTGTATCGTAGGAAGATGGCTCACGATGAGGCCGGCATAGTATCCAATCTTCTCTGGGTCGCCCCCGGTGATGGGGAGTTCTCCAACGAGCTGCGGGGTTGCGTGAGCGGACCCTCATCCCCAGACGACGGACCCAAGCGTACCTTGTTCACGAATGGGTATATAACCTGTGATGCGAGCGGCTCGGCGAGCTGCACCCAGAGCAGGATGAACAGCTGGAACTTGGGAAGGGGGGTGTGCTTTGGGGCAAGCAGTGGGGTGTTTTCGGACGCTGTAGAGCCAGTCATGGTTCACAGGTGAGTGGGGTGTTAGTCTAGAGCGAAGATACGAGGTGGGGAGGATAAGAGGGAACAAGGGAGCGAGAGACAGAGGGCTTGAGGGTATGACATGGAGAGCGATGAGTTAGAAGCCACAATCACGTGCTGCTGAGCTGGCTGACGATCCTGATCAACCCTCCGACCGGGCTTAATTCGGTGACCGGCTTAGTTTCTGTTCATTCATTTCGAAATCCCATGCCAGCCTGCGTTCGAGACACTGTGTCTTCGAGACGAGCGCAACTCGATATGTCGCCATGCCGTGCGGGAATCGGTCTTCTCGCGTCAGGGACGACTCCACCGCGGCATGTGTCGTAAGCAGCGCGAGTGCCGTGCTACCGGGGAGATCGGAAGAAAGGTGTAGCAACATTTTACATCTTCTGGTGCGGAGATGTGACAGCCCGCCGTGATTGTGATGTAGGAAGCTGATTCTCATTAGGGCGCTTCGACGTAGGGACATCACTTGCGTTCATGGACGCTCAGTGTGCGAGGGCAGCTTTACCCAGGCGAAATGGCCGCATAGAGGCAATAGGACGATCCTAGGCTCCTCCAAGCCAGTTGCCAGCGGATTTCACGCGTCTGAGTCAGGCGTTTCTGCCTGATTGGTTCGACGACTCGGAGTGTGATTTGCAGCAGGAGCCGCATCGGAATGACACACACGTTGGACCGGGAACCGAAAAAGGAAAACGGGGCGTGGAATGTTCCTGTTTTCTTCCTGCCAGTGGTTTGGAACGTCTCCGAGTTGCAAGTGCCAGACGTGCATCGCATGGAAGACTCCGAAATGACTAAACCTTGGGTGTTTCTTTCCAGATCATTATATGTGTATCTGGCTTCTTTTCGCGCTCGGCGGCACGAATTTCATATTCGGACATCCCAACATTCCTGTCTCGATCCCACGTTTTCGGCAGTATGCTTGCGTTGGAAACTAAATTGCGAGAGGCTCCATGTTAGGATCTCGAGTCACGCTCTTCGGGCCGCCATGCGGGGGGCTTTTGACAGTGTCTTGGAAATGTTCGGCGGCGCTTACGTCCACAATTCAGTAACCTGGCGAACTCGCATCGACGATGTGCAAGGGCACATGGGCCGCCGGCGGAGCTGCGTGCATCTGTCGAAAATACCTCCTTGCCAGCGGTGAGCCGGCTCAAGAGTGAGGTAGATCGGCATTTGTCGTTCTCCGTTCTCCGTTAGGACAGAACGAAAGTATTCACGATCTACGAACCCTCCCAATCTCTGATTGCATCTCCAAGATGGGTGTTACGGTCTTTCTTCATGGAATAATGTGGTTCATACGCCGTGCATTGAAACAGCTTCGCGGCCTTGGTTGCTGACATATGGTTCATGGAAATACGCCTGTGGCTTTTTCACGGATCGCATGAAGCCCAGAAGTAATGCGGACGAAAGATCTCTGCCCGAGCACTCGGACAACAGCCAGATCGGGGCGACACCGAGCCCCCGCTCTGCGCGATGCTGGAATCAGATCATGTGCGGCCTTCCATTGCCTACTGGCTGAATTGCAGTTGAAAAAGATTAACAACGGCTCCACATGATTCGTCCGCGGCGGTGCAGCTTTTCTCCGCAGGGAGACGACTTCTGTTGCCGACCCAGAAGACCTATTGCTTGCTTACTTCATCGCTCTTAGAACGCATGGAATAGAGTCTGATGCTAGTTCGGTGCTTTACGGACGATGTACCTGCAGATCTGTCTTAAAGCTAGAATGATACATTTGCCGCTATATACACCAGGTCCCCTCACTTGCTACCGACCAGACCAGACCAGACCATCCACACGGCATGCAGCTCATTACCGGCCCCGTTGTTGCTCCAGGCCGTCCTCAACACACTGATCTCGACCCCAGTGTGACCTCGGTGTACCCGATGACCAGGGCGCAGGAAGGCATTTGGATGGCTTACTCTGCTCAGCCCCAACATACGCTGTACAATCTGACGATGAAATTCACCCTGGACGCGTCGGACGCCTATTCGATGGAGAAAGTTCTTGCCGGTGAGAGAATGCGGCCCTCGAGTCCCTGACTGCGCACTGAGCATATTCTCTGCAGGCATCCAGACTCTGACCGCTCGCCACGGAATACTCCGGTCCACCTTCCACGGCAACAAGTCCGTGTTGCCGGTCCCGTTCGTGGCTGAGTGGGATAGCCATTCCTCGCTGCCCTCTGTCCGATTCGTTTCGGAACCGAAGTCTCCTCTCGCCAAAATGCACCTGCAGAAGCTGCTCCACCAGGCTGTGCCCTTGTCGGACGAGTTCGCTGTTCGCTGGATTGTCGTCAAGTTTCAAGGCGCACTCGAGGTCTATGTGATTGCGCATCACATTGCCTTGGACGGAACCAGCATGAGTGAGCTCAGTGGGGAGCTCCTGGGTCTACTCGACGGCAAAGTCGAGGAGAGCAAGTCGGTGACCGAGAGCTTTCAGAAGGCTCATATGATGGAGGTCTGTTTTGTGATCTCCTGTCATTTTTTTTTATGAATCTCAACTTGTGCAGTCTGTGTTCAGGGGCTCTGGCGCCTTCCAGTTGGCCAGAGAGTTTTGGCTCTCGCAAAGCCGGTCCACTTCGTCAATCCAGTGGAAGGGTCTCCCGAAATCATCCGGATCTGAGAACTACCGTGAGATTTCGAGATGGTCCGAGTTCAGTAAAGACGTACGGATGTTTCTTCCACTGTGTCCAGGATTGTTTACTCACCGCATCATACACACAGGAACTGGCGCAATGGAGTGCACGGCATCGGACGTCGTGGTTCAGAGTCGCACTAGCCGTAGTCGCGCTCCTCACCCAAGCGCACTCAATCCCAGGGTCATCCCGCGACCAGACGCTGACCGTGGCGTTCGGCGGCCGTCCCAAGGGCCTTGATCGAACCGTGGGACACTTCGCCAACGCGCTCCCGATCCGCGTCCCCGTGACTGAGCTGATCCGATCATCGTCCACCATCACCTTCGACGCGCTGCTCCGCCTGCTTTCGACCACCGTGTCGGCTGCGAAGAAACATGAGCGCTTCTCGTTCACGGACCTGTCGCAAGCGTGCCTCGAGGAGGGCTGCATGCCTCCGCGGGCGCAGGTTGCTGTGACGCTGTCTCCGAAGCTGGAACGCGAGGAGTGTGAGCTGTACCCCGTCGAGGGCCCATATGATCTCTTCTTCTGCTTTTTGGAGGGCGCTGATAGTGTCTCTCTCGGGGTACGTGTTTCTGATGCCGATTAAACAGTGAATCTGACCAGCTTTCCTCAGGTCATCTACGACCCGACTTTGTTCGATCAAAAGTCCATTGCGTCTCTCAAGGTGGACTTTGAACAGATCGTGACCCAAGCCATGGCGGAGACACCGTTCGATCTCAAACCGCTCCTGGATAGCCGTATCCCATGTCTTCTACCGACCGTCGACCCCACCGATCTGGTCGAGGTCAGCAAGCGCCGTTTCCATGTCATGTTCGAGCACCAGGCCGCTCGCAACCCCGACGCGCTTGCCATGACTTGCGCAGAGAGAGAGGAGTCCATGACGTATGGAGAGATGAATGGGCGCGCGAACCAGATGGCGAATGGTGAGTTTCCTGTCATCCGCGTCTTTTCGCGTGTCTCATGTCTTCGTAGCGCTGCGTCAGTTGGGAATGGGCCGCACCAATGTTGTACTCTTGCACTTGCAGCGGGGACTCTCTACCCTGTGCTGGATCTTGGCCGTCCTCAAGGCCGGTGCGACATATGCCATCGCTGATCAAGGCCACCCTCTTGAACGGACGCGAAGTGTCATGACGGTCGCCGAACCGGACCTGGTTGTGGATGACGGCATGGGTGTCGATGTTGGGTTCTTCTCAGGGACTGTGAAGACCTTGCGCACGCACACTTGCTCTCTCGACGGGTTCTCGAAAGATAATTTGAACGATGTATCGCAAGACGAAGATCTAGCGTACATTGTCTTCACTTCCGGTAGCACCGGTATGCGAAAATCATCTTTTCTACAGACGTTTCTTGCTTAACGTCCCGCACAGGCCAGCCGAAAGGCGTCGAGATTTCCCACAGCAACCTTTCGAATTGGATCGCTTCTGCTCACGGGTCGGGATACTTCGCCATGGGCCCCTTTTCACGTGTCCTGCAGTTTGCGACCTTTGCTTTTGATGCAGCCGTGCTTGAATGGTCCCTGGCGCTTTCTCTGGGATCCAATTTGTGCTTTGCCAATACACCCCAGGCCCTGATCGGCGACTACCTCGCGGACGTCATCGACAAGAATCTCGTAACCCATATGCACCTCACTCCCAGTGTGCTTGGGACTCTGCCGGCGTCGAGAAGGTTGCAGAGCCTAGAGTGCATCAGTGTAGGCGGAGAGATGGTCCCGGATAACCTTATCGAACGTTGGAGAACGAGAGTGACCCTGCAGAATGCTTATGGGCCGACTGAAGCGTACGTCCGTGTCCTCGCATCTACTGACCGGCGTCCTGACGGAGTCTTTGCAGAACGGTCGTCATGGCTCACCGACCTCAGCCCAGTTCCCCAGGCGAGGTTGCGCCCTCCGCGGCGAACATCGGCAAACCGCATTCGCCCATGGAGGTGTTTGTGTGCAACCCTTCGTTCGACCGACTGCTGGCTGTCAACGAGATCGGAGAGGTCTGTCTGGCCGGCCCGCAACTTGCCCGAGGGTGCGCATACATTGCAGTTGTCTCAGAACATTCAGACTGAAACCGTCCTGTTTAGTTACCGCAATCGGGCCGACCTTACGAGCGAACGATTCGCAGTCCATCCCCAGAATGGCAAGCGGATGTACAAGACGGGGGACCGCGGCAAACTGTTGGCCGATGGCACCGTGGTCTTGATGGGCAGAATGGATCGTGAGCTGAAAGTCCGAGGGTACAGGTGAGTCGATTGGCACAAGAACCGGTTTTTGCACTCACAGCAACGTTGAGGATCGACCTGGATGACCTGGAACGCACCATTCTGGCTGTGATGCCGTCCATCATCAGCGTCTCGGTCCAGTCATCTCCGTCGGGCAACGACTTGTGTGTGTTCGTTTCGCCACAAACTGTTGATGGGACCGAGCTGAAGCGGCTCCTCGCGCTTCGGGTTCCGAGCTACATGGTTCCGAGGAATGTGTACTGTCTGCAGCGGCTGCCCTTAAACACGAGCGACAAGACGGACCACAAGGTGATCAAGCTGCGCATGGATGAGCTGATCAGGGACGCCAAGTTTCCTTCCGGAGGCTCTACACCCATCAGCACGAGCTCAGACGAAGACGACCTGAGTTCGATTGAGGATTCCAGCCGTAGCTCGACCTTGGCAGATTCGACCTTGCTCCAGGCCGATGAATCGATGTCGCATCAGGAACTGACTAACATCTGGATCGAACTCCTCGAGCTGAAGTCAGCGCCCTCTGGGAAGAGCAGCTTCTTCGATCTCGGTGGGAACAGGTAACACTCATCCGTCTTTGCCTATCGTCCCATGTCTGACGTCTCTCAGCTTACTCGCGCAGACGCTCATCGAGAGGGTCAGGGGACAACTCCCTACGGGGTCCTTGACGGTGTCTGTTTTGGACCTTTTCACCTACCCGTCGTTGGAAGACTTCATTCCCTTCGTTCAGAGTCGTGCTCCGCCCAAAATCGCAAGTCCTGTGGTCAAGGGTACTCGGATTTCCAGGCAGTCCTCCACCAAGTCGCTCACAGTAGCCAACGATGTGGACACCATCTCGAGCCTGACGAATATCTGGAAGTCAGTTTTGCAACTGGATCGGGTGAAAGAGGACGCGAGCTTCTTCGATGCTGGCGGAAACAGGTGCGTGTGTTTCTTGATCTCTCCGTGTCCGTTGACCGACTGCGTCCAGTTTGTTGATGACAACTTTGCATCAGTCTATCCTCCAGTCCTGGCCAGGCTGCGGCGTGCAGCTCATCCACCTGTTCCAGAACGCGACTATCCGGAGCCAAGCTCAGTTGATCACGGTGCCGTCGCCTGCCAGTCGGTCCGCACCTTCTCTGAAAGCTCGCAAGAAGAAAGCAAGTGTCACTGGGAAGAAGGAGCGAGCAGCTAGGAAGGATTCCACCAGTCCAGAAGAAAGCAGAGACATCGCAATCGTCGGGATTGCCGGCCGGTTCCCTGGCTCATCATCGCCCCAAGAGCTCTATCAGCTTTTGCTCGACCAGACTGAAGGTTTGACACATCTGTGTCCGGATTCGCCAATCGAGGTGTTCCCCGGCGGGGTATATGTACCGCATCGAGGTGCATTGAAAGATGTTTGGGAGTTTGATGGTGCTCGATGGGATATCAAAGCCGAAGAGGCTGAGTGGGTGTTTGTCTGATTAGTGACCTACGGCGGCTGAACAGTCCTACAGGGAGATGGATCCGCAACAGAAGCTGCTCATGACCGTTGCCCAAGAGGCTCTGGAAGATGCCAGTGCGGTTCCGCCTGCTTCCGGACCGAACAAGATCGGGCTGTTTGTCGGAGCTGCACCCTCGACCTGGGTTCCCAGTTGCGTGTTGCATTTCATCTGAGGCCAGCGAACTGACCTTGTTCTTAGGCAAGCCAGACGAGGATGCGTTCCACCATGCGCACCGAGAGGCGCTGACGCCCTGTCTTTCAGCCCTCACGGCATACCACCTGAATCTCCAGGGGCCGAATGTGACTCTCCATACCGCATGTTCTAGTGGCTTGGTCGCCATGTCTTTGGCTGTAGACAATCTCCGCTCGAAGACGTGTGATGTCGCAGTCGCTGGCGGAGTCTCAGTTGCATTCCCACAGTGCGTATTACTGATGTCTCCCATCGCCGGTGCGACCGCTTACCGAATGCAGAGCTGGATATATTACTGCGCCCGCACGCTTGTTCTCGCCGTCTGGGCACTGCCGACCTTTCGACTCGCGATCCGATGGCACACTGCCGGGAGACGCTGTCTGTGCGCTGGTGCTCAAGCGGCTAGGTGACGCTGTTCGTGATGGGGACGACATCTACGCCGTGGTCAAAGGGATGGCTGTCGGCTCGGACGGAAAGCCCGGGAAGGCGGGTCCCGTTGTTCCCAGCCCCAGAGGGCAAGCGCAGAGTGTGAAAGATGCCTGGACAGATGCGGGGGTCAGCGCAGGGAAGCTAGTCTATGCTGAGTGGGTGTTTCGCTAGGTTTACCCGAGCTCGATCTTATATTCAACCCAGACTGCACGGTAGTGGGACACCTATTGGTGACGCACTCGAGCTGGAAGGCTTGAAGATGGCTCGACGAGAGCTCGGAGTAGAGCAGATGCCGTACATCGTCGGATCAAACAAAGGAAATTTGGGCAACTGCGAGGTGCGTGGTTTGGTCGTGGTTCCGTATTTGCTCATTAGAACCTCCTCTCAGGCAGCGTCTGGATTGGTCTCTGTGATCAAGCTCGTGAAATCCATCCAACATGGCGTGATCCCACCGCTCCAATCCTTCGAACAGCCCAACCCGGTCATCGACCCGACACTCAAGATCTCGTTTGCCAAGAACCCGGTTCAGTTGTCACCTGACGCCTTGCTCAGTGCATCGAGCATCGGTCTCGGTGGCGTCAACGCTCATTGCGTGCTGGCATTCCCTCCAGCGCAGCATACGAGAAAGGCGTCGGTCGAGGTGATGCCCATCAAGGCGTCGGTCGATGTGTTGCTCGAGGTGCCTGGTCCGAAAACGAGACTCCCAGAGGTCGCGTCGGCTGGACATCTCGTGCTTCGCCATGTTCGAACTATCCTCGGTACGGACGAGATTGATTCTACGACAGTGTTGAGGGATGCCGGGCTGGACAGTCGCGGCCAGATGGCTCTCTTGCATCAGCTGCAGCAAGGAGGGTGCCACATTCCGTGCGTTCATTCATTGGGAGGCTGTCATTCAGGTACTAACTGGATCCCCGCAGCCTCTCGGCGTTCATCGACCCAGCGTGCACGGTCGAAACCATTGTAGCATCGATCAGTGCCTCGCTTCCTTCCTACGTCTCGTTCTTGCAACAAGCGCCGACAGGGACTACCTACGTCCTCATCGCACCAGGGGGAGGCAGCTGCCTGTCGTATGCTGCGCTGGCGCGTCATTTACCGGCAGACTCGACCATCATCGCGCTCGATCACCCTGCGTTCCACGGCATCGACTCGGATTGTGGCATCAACGAGCTCGCCGGGAGATACGTGAAGGACATGCCGCCCACTTGTCGCGATGTCGTGCTTGTAGGCGCCTCGTTCGGTGGACTGGTCGCGACGGCGATGCTGGGCCCCATGCAGGAGGCCGGAATCCAAGTGCGGGCGGTGGCCCTCATCGACAGTCCGTTCCCGGGATCCACCCCCGCCGACGTCTTGCTGACTGCGGGCGCGTTTTTGCGCAACGTGTTTGCTCCGGAGACGAGACCTGCGCTCTCCGCCGAGGAGGATACCCTCGACCTTGTGACGTTCGCGGCTCGACATGGGATTGATCTCCGTGCGCTGGCCGGGACGTATGACAAGAACGTGAAGGCGATGGCCGACTGGTTGCCGTCCGGATCCCACGCCACTCCTGCGCTGTACGTCGCTGCGGCAGCTGACGAGGTCGACGAGCGCTGGCAGGCGGTATATGCTGGTATGTCCATCGAGCGAGTTGAGGGCGAACATGCCAGTGCCTGGATCGGGGACAACGCTGCCAAGGTTGCGGGCTGGATCGAAAAGATACTCAGCGCGCACTAAGCCAAATCGAATGTATTGTTAGTTTCAAAGTTGTTTCTTGTACAGCATGTGCTCGTATTCCAATGTATATCAACTATCACTCTTTGTCCTTGCGAGTGCGCTGAGGAACTGTCAGGTCAGGACGCATCTTGTGACTCGTTCGCAGATGTGCTTTGCGCTAGGGTGCACCATCTCATGGTTCTTGACGGGGCTCTCTTCTTGGGAGCGATATACTTCCCGATCTCCAAGCGCCAAGAAACGACACGTCCATACATGAGTTGCAGATGGGACTCGACGCGGGAGACTTTATGAGTCTGTATTAGGTGCAGGTAGGCTGACGATTGCAGCTGGTATGTCAGGACCACTTATTGCCTGCTTTTTTCACACATAGTGAGACAAAACATGGACCTCATGGAATTTAAGCTAATACAGATCCCATTTCTGGCTGGACAACAAAAAGCTTGTCTTTCATTGATCTTGTTTTCATACTTATCAGGAAGCTTGTTTTTGGCACCGATATCTCATACATTAGTAAAGATAAATCAGGCTCTTTTTCTTTAAATATCAAGGTAACTATTCAAGGACATTTCATAGGGCCCAATGCATGCAATACTGGTAATTTGTTGGTGCTAACCTGATGTACAATCCCTCAGGGTGTGACCGATCCTGTCTTCCTGTCATCTGACTGAATGTTTCCATCAAGTCACCTGATAAAATTATGTGAGTAATACCATCACCGATGCAGCTGATCAGTTAATCAACTGCTAGTCATTTGATCCTATCTATCATCAACCGATACAAAGATGAAGAAATGGTCACAAGGATCACACTTGTGACCCAATAACGCCTGTGACCATTTCACCATAATTGTTGTAGTTGATGATATCAAGGATTAACTGATCAGCAGTTCATCAACTGATCAACTTGAACTGTTCATCAGGTAATGGGATCACTCACATGAGTCGGTCACATCACAGGGAGATAAGATAAGTTAAGACAGTCAGCTGACAATATGAGGCTGTGAAAGGCAGGAAAGTGGAAGCAAGTGTGGGGATCACAAGCAAGAAGGGAGAGCTGAAATCTGATGAGGCCAGTTTTATGTATGGTAGAGCGGTGGCTGTGCCTTGTCACATGACTAGGAGCATGTGATCTGATACCATCAAAATCTCTGTCCCAGTTTCTTCACTAGAAAGTGTCGGCTCCGCCGACATCATGCCTTGCTACTCGATTACGGTACACTATGGTTGATTTCAAATCAAGAGGCAAGAGCAAGAATGTACAAGTAGAATGAACGGAAAGGAGCAGATAGCCAATGCACATACGAAAGAAACGACCCTGTATACATAAACCAGCCTTCCCATGGAATGCACTTGACGATATGGCTTGGAACAACCTACCACGGTGTTGTGCCGGACTCACACCAAAGAGCGCACAGCGGAAATGAAAGCACGGCGGACGCATGCGTATATACTTACAAGAGTAAGATCAATCAGATCGGATCAGATTCTGGAACAATCACATGAAGCGGCAGTGTATTTTGCATAGGCACATGATCGGATCAACATACGGAACTATTGCATCTGATTCGTGGAATATAGGGTCTGGAGAGTGCCTTGACAAGCAAGGCAACCCTGGTGAAACTCAACTAGAGCGCCGCCTCCGCCGGCAACTGCCTTGCTTGCTTGTGCATCATTCACAAACACAATACATACATCAATACGAGTCACTTGGTACATTTGTTACAATACATTTGTTTACAACGCACTCGGGTGAAAACCACGGCTGAAAGCGCACAGCGCAAACGAGAGCACGAGAGCACTAGAGACACGTGCGTACATACAACGGTAAAGACGAGTTGATCGGATCAGATGCAGGAGCATTACATCTGATTTGTGTGCAACAATTTAGGGTCTGGAGAAGCTTTGACAAGCAAGGCAACTAGTTTTAGCTAAAACGAAAAAGTGTGGCATTTGAGATATGGATTTTTTGGTCAGGGAATTCGAAAATGACGTTGATTTTGATTTCTCTCACCAGCCATTGTGGCTGAAAAGACAAATTTCTTTGCAAATGGCTGTATTTCAAGGAATGATTGACCATATCTTGGTACCCAAGACACGTATTGGACAGATCTCTTTTGGTGCATGAGCGTGCATATTTAGGACACTAGAATAATTGCTCATACTGGCCACTACAGATCTCCAAACAGCAAACGTTCGGGATTCTTTCTAACGGGCAAATCCAACATTTGCTTGCAGCATGGGAAATATTCATCGGATCTCTTGGGTCTCTGTTGTATTGAACTCGGCATGGGAAATAGGTCTATTCCACACTTTTAAACATACAAATCCATGGGGTATTGCCTGAGCTCCAGAGGATCCTTGCAAACTTGTCGTGCTTGTTTGGGCCGTGTCTTAGCAATGGCTGATCGGATCGCTTCGGAAATTGTTCCATGCAATTTCTAGGGGTCGAGTACCCTACCTCCCTGGGGACTTTCTCTTGGACTCCTCACCATGAGCGAGATAGGCGACATTGGCCGGCGAATTTTGGAGGTAAATGTGCACCAAAGATGGTCGCCGGAGCGGGGATATATTCAGGGAACCCCTGGGGGAGGTGTTCATGTAGTTTCCGATATTTCTTAATACTAAAGATTGGTCAGTGACCACCTTTTCAATAGGCTTGCAAATGAGTTGCTACTAGCAACTAGGTCTGTCTCGTTGAACTCTCAATGAATGGGATAGCGAAGAACACGATCGCGGCACGATTTTGCGTGCACATCAATGTTACGGCTGTTGCCCACTCCCAAAGTAAATTGCTTCAGACACGCTCACGTGCTATCACGGGATCCTGCGCTTCTCCTGACCATTCGTGAGAGACTCCTGAAAAGCTGGCATTCTGGAAATTTGATTCTGATGTATGCAGTACAAAGACGATCGGTAGTTCAAGCGAACCGAGCACAAATCGCCCAACGTGATTGAGATCAAGCTTGAAATATAAGTCACGTGCGATGGGAGCTAATCAACGCGGCTACTCCGCTCTTGCTCAACTGGGCACCTCGTTCAGTTGACACTCGAGCCTCAAACTTCCAACTGGAAGCATGGAGAAGGGACTTATCCTACCTCTGATTTCAGGACCCAGTCGGAGCAGCGTGTCATCTGCTTCCGGCATATCTTGGAGGTGAGTACTACTATCAGCCGTGGTCGGGACGCGTCATCCTCATTTTGACCCGTTGGTAGACGTGCTATAGCGCTAGCGTGCACCATCGTATGGATCTTGACTGGCCTCTCTTCTTGGGAGCGATATGCTTCCCGATCTACAAGGGCCGATAGAAGAAGCTTTCCGGACCTGTATGACGCGTCCATACATGAGCTGCAGACTGGACTCGACGCGGGAGACTTTACGAGTGTGCATCTCGTGCAGGTGTGTTGAGAATTCAAATCCTTCATGCGCTTCCGCAAAGCCAAACATTCGCCCCCTCCAGGCCTACTTTGCGCGCATCGCCGAAGTCAATCCCACGCTGCATGCTGTGATCGAGACGAACCCATCTGCGCTACGGCAGGCTGCAGAGCTGGACAAGGAAAGACGGTTGAGAGGAAAGAGGGGCTGGATGCATGGGATCCCGGTCCTGCTCAAGGTGTGTCTGGTGGCACCTCACATGTAGTCCATGTCGCCTATCTCGCTGGCTGGATGTAGGATAACATCGCCACGGTAGCCAGTGAAAGTGAGTGCCTCCGAGAACGAAACAAAGCCATGCTGAAGACACTTTGTAGGGATGAACACGACGGCGGGATCGTATAGTCTCTTGGGGTCTGTAGTGCCCGAGGATGCCGGAGTCGTCAAGAGACTGCGGCGAGCAGGAGCCATCATCCTGGGTACAAGAAATCACCCTCTGGCATCCTCGTTCGTCGTTGATTCGTTCATCCAGGGAAGAGCAACATGTGCGAGTTCGCACATGCCCGCGGCTATCTTGCTTCTGGCTGGTCGGGACGCGGCGGCCAGGCGACCAGCGCATACTTCCCCAACGGCAGTCCCGGTGGATCATCCGGCGGCTCGGGCATCGCGACTTCGATTGGACTGGCAACGGTGTCGTTGGGAACCGAGACTGACGGGAGCATTACCTATCCGAGCAGCATGAACAACATCGTGGGCGTGAAGCCGACTGTGGGGCTGACGTCTCGTGCTGGCGGTGAGTAGCATCCATGTGCTGGGATGTGGAAAGGTTACCGAGAATCCATCAGTCATCCCGATCTCCCTACACCAGGATACTGTTGGTCCAATGACGCGCTCTGTTGCGGACGCCGCGATTCTCCTGGGCTCTATCGCAGGGATAGATCCCAATGATAACTTCACCCTCGCACAACCGTCCCCGCTACCAGACTACATCCAAGCTCTGGACCAGCACGGGATCCGAGGCAAGCGTATTGGTGTCCCGCGTTCTTTCGTCAACTCCAGTTTGGCTGCCAAATATCCGGTGATCATGTCGCAGTTTCAAGACGCCCTCCATGTGATGCAGACGCTTGGAGCGCAAGTCGTCGATCCCGCCAATGTGCCCACTACCGAAGAGATCTTGTCGCTGCCGGAGATGGAGCGATCGCAGCCAGCCGTCGTCGAATTCAAGGTCTGTATCGTGCACCACTTTGTGTTTACCTGCTAATTCCTCTTTCCAGGTGACCTTGAATGAGTATTACTCCTCACTGATCTCAAACCCCTCCGGGGTGAGAAGCATGGCTGAGTTGATTGAGTTCAACGATGCGCATCCCGAACTCGAGAAACCGGAAGGCTACGAGGGACAAGAGCTGTGAGCAAGTCGTTTGACAGCCCCCAGGTCGTTCTCAACTTCAATTCTAGACTCATTCGGGCCAATCATACCGATGGATATGATAGCGATTATTATGCAGCCAGATCCAAGAACTACCGGCTTGGATATGGAATAGACACCGTGCTGAAGGAGCTCAAACTCGATGCACTGGTCCTTCCACACTTCGTTGCACCTGTCAGTGCCACCCCTGGTGAGTTCTATCTCGATTGCACATGGTCGTTCCTCATGGCTTGTGTCCAGCGATGGCGGGGTATCCGATTGTGACTGGTTCGTCTATGCCACTATTCCAATGTTTTTCCAGACAGATCGATCGTCTCTAGTTCCTCTAGGATTCTTCCCCGAGTCAAGCGGGTGCGCTTCGCGGCTATCTCCGTGAAACCGAGAGCTTACCCTGGTCATTCGCAGTACTGAGCCGATGGGGGCCGGGACATTCTTCCCAGCACCGGGCATGCCTTTTGGCTTGACTTTCTTCGGCACGGCATACTCTGAATTCACCCTGATTCAGCTAGCGTATGCATTCGAGCAAGAAACGCGGGTGCGAAGATTGGGTCCGCGGGGTTATTCGAGTGCTGTTCCCAAGACACAGCTAGATGATGTCGTACAACGAGCTCGAGGCAATCCAGCGTGTTTACATTGAGAAAGTCCTTTGAACAGAAGCTCTAATTAGGATTATAACAAGTCCACTGCAGAAAGAGGGCAACTAGGGGATACAAATGGTTCAATCTAAGCGAGACACTCGAAACTCGATAGCGAAGGAGGGAGGAAGGATAAAGGAATATTACGAATTACGACGGTCACTGCGAATACATATTATAATGGTTATACACATCCTCGTAAACGGGCTGGTAAGTGGCGTAGTCGGTCGCACCCCAATATTGCGGCGACTGCTGATACCGCGGCTGGCGTGTCTCGTCCACAGTGTATCCTGGCCCCATCACCGCTGTCGAGGGCGACTGGTAGGCCCCCGACGACGCCGAGGCCGAGGCCGACCACCGATTGGGAGCATATGACGTGGGGTAGTGCTCCAGTGCGTAGTGACCCGCGGACGTGTACGCGGCGAACGGACGGAAGTCGTCGAGCGTCTGCGTCGCAGACCGTTTGCGGTGTCGCGGCGCAACAGTCTCGCCCGACATGTCGTGATCGTCGTGCTCGAACTGCACCCCGCGCAGGAGCTCCAGTGCGCGAGCGGCACCGGGCCACACAACCTGCATCTCCCGTAGCGCGTCCATGCACTTCCCCAACCCGATCCGTGCTTGAGGGTTAGCCGGGAAAAGTGTCGCAGAGCTCACGTGCATGATCGCCGCAGTGAAGATGTAGTAGCACAGAAACGCGGCGCAGTGCTTAAGGGTGTATGTTTCAGAATAGAGTCCAGCGATCGTGGTGATGTGGTTGGCGGCACTAGCGCACTGCTCGTAGCTGCGCTCCGCTCGACCCCGAGACTCGGTGTTCTCCGGTGCAGGACTCGGCATCCTCGACCCCGTTTTTCGGATAAATGGCCGATGAAGCAACAGCACAGCACACCAATACTGCATATGCAACGTCAGGACATGCGGTAACGGTGCAGGCCGCGACCCTGGCACATGCTGGAGATGCGAGGGAAGCGAGATTCTCCACTTGTCGAGCTCCGCATCAAGCACAACCAGCTCCGAGTGCCGGCTGCTGGCGGGTTTGAGCGCATAGATGCTCTCGACGACACGCCCAAGAATGTTGGAAAGGCGCGCAGACGCACTGAAGCACGAGATGGCATAGCTGGGTCGTGGATCTTGTGGTTTCCACTCTTCGCTCTCCTCGGCTTCCACTGTTTCGTCGGGCAGTGGTGTGTCAAAGTCGCGCTCGAAGATGGCGAGCGGTCGCCCTGTACGTGCCATCAGTACGAACCATAGACGCCTGCACTCGACCACTGACCAATGTACGTGCTCACGTACTTATCCAATACAACACATGCATACCAGATCCGGCGCCGCTCGGATATCTCCGCCGCCGAGAACAGCTTCCCATCCGAATCCTTGACGCCAGCCCGTGCCCACCCGCTGGCATCCCGGTGCATGCCGAGATCCTGCGCCATTCGCACCGCCATGCCGATGTAGATCCACGCCTGCGCCATGGCTCCGATCCCGATCTCCCGGAATCCCATCAACAGCATCGCCTGGCATGTGCTGGCGCGCGACGACGCGTACGAGCCGTCCAGCAATGTCTTTGCGCGGAACAGAAACGAGTCTCCTGCGGGCCACATCTTCGCGTCGTTTTCGCTGAGCGCAGGGTGCGGACCGTGCCGCGCGGCAAGCGAGAACATGGCTAGAAGAAGCAGAGGCGGAACCTTGCCACGCGAGAACGAGTCCAGCAGCGAGATTTTGTGAACGACTGGGAAGCTGGGGTGCACGAACGAGAAGTAACGCCCCAACAGCGTCTCCTGCACCGTGCGAGAAGGTAGTCCGTCCCCGTCGCGCTCAGAATCGGTGTCCCACTCCTCCGGAGCCGCCGGCCATACTCGAGCTTTGGGGAACCGCCTAAGAACGTGCGTTAGTCAATGAACTAGGAACTGAGAAGAAAAAAAGCGGATGTACCATATTCCACCAATGTTGCGCCCATCTTCAGATCCTTCCCGCTCTGCAGGCCGTCGGGCAAGCAGATGAAGCCCGCTGGCTTTCCCATGATACCGAACTTGTTTATCCTCGTTCAGACTGAGTTGGCCTACAGCACCCGCCAGACCCGCCATTTCTTCACTTCGTCGCCGACGGCCCCGGTGAGATTCGTCGCGCTCGGCCCCAACATCGATGTCGAGTTCGGCTTCGCTCTCCGTGTCAGGGGGTGATGGATCTCTGCTGGGGCTGTACAGTGTCTCGTCGATCCGGCGCCGCTGTCGTCTTTCTGTGCTTCCCGGAGCAGTGAGTGGTCGTGCCTCATTCGAGACAGCGGCGCCTGCCGAGACCGGATAGGACCGCGGATCAGGTCCGAATGCTCCGCGTGGCTCAGCTGCTCCAGCTGAAGCGGGATAGGAGGGTCGGGCATAGTCTCCCAAAGCAGTTATGATGGCTGGCAGTTGGTTTGTGCGCTGGTTGGGCGATGAGGCTGACTGGGGATATGCGTATCGGTATGGCGACAGGGTTCCGTTGGGTGTGACAGAGCCGGAGGCCCGTATGGAGGGTGGACGAGAATGGTGCCGCTCTCGGGCTCGGAGAAGGACATGTGAAGTCACGCGATCCATCCATTCATGTGAGGGACTGGTCGTCATGCATACATCGTCAGTCGCGCGGAAACTGGGAAACGAGCGGAATACGCACTGTGTGCTGGAAATCTCGCCGCTGGAGTTCAGACTGGGTGTGGCTGGCCCTGTGCTTCGTGCTCGACCACTCGGACTTCCTCGGCCGGAGCCTCCGCCGTTAAATCCGGTTCCCAAAGTGGCTCTACCACCTGGTCCATAAGCGCTCTGGTCGATTCGCGTGAGAATAGCTCGTGCAAGTGGATCCTGGAAGACGGTCAATGAATTCTATGATCGTTTCGGCGGAAACCACAAGACGCACTTCTGCCATGTCCATCAGCACCGACCGTGCCATGCGGTCAATCTCCTTCCGTGCGCCACCGTTCTCCTCTTCCGACGCGTCTACTAGCCCCGTCGGCTCAGCACGGACACCCGCTGCCGTAAGAAGAATGCCGATGAGCGCCTCGGTTTGATGCAGCCGTGCTTCAATTGCATCGATATAACCCTTCGGCGGACCGCGTTTGCGACTCGGACCGAGGAATGTGCATGCTGGCGGGAGAGTGCCGTGCGTAAATGACCGAGGATGATTTGAGTTTAGCGCGCGGTAAGGAAAGAGAAGTGAGCAACGCGTCAGCCGAGCTTGCACGTTGAGATCCCGCGCACGCACCTGTTCCCATCAGCGCGCAACTGCGACAAGCCTCGCCCTGAGCGGGTCTTTCACACTTGCACTTGCTTTTGCGGCATTGATCGCATGCTAGAAGAAGAAGAAAGGGTGGGTGGATGCATGAGACCGCGAAGATCCGAGCGAAGGGAGGCGATGTCGGCGTACCTTTGCTACTCCGCCTCCTCACCACCTTGTCCTTGCCCGTCGGGCCAGATCCTTCCTCATCATCATCATCATGATCGAGTTCGTAGTCGGCAAACGGAAGGGTATATGCGGGTGTTCCCGCAGGCCAGGCCATGGCTGGCGTTGGCTGTGCGCCCGACGCACTTGCACTGCCGCCAGCGCCGAAACGGAATGCGGGCAATGCGAGTCCAGGAGTCTGAGCGCGGGAGGGCGGGTGCGACGCGGTTTCCGGCGGAGAGTGCAGTTGGAACCGGAACGTGGGGGCGATGCTAGAGGACGGTGAGGGTGAGCTTTCTAATTTCACCGCATCGGAGCTGTATGCCATAAGGAGCGCGAAAGAAAAAGAGACTCACCAAGGTCAGCGTTGAAATTATAGGTCTGTGTTTCGGTCACACGTTTCCTGCATTTGTGACTCCTGCGTCAGCTCGCAACATTGTCGATCCGTTGATCGTTTACACCCGCCAACAGCCGTCAACTCTCGGCAAACCCCTCTGTTCCTACTCCACGGCTGAATCCTCCGAATTTGAATTGAGGATCGATCGTGAAAAAAATCCTCCGTGTGAATCGTGCATTTGGCCCCTCGCAAGTAACAGGAGTGTGATAAAACTTCCGTTTGCGTGAATGCGAGTTGATCCTTGGAGGTGACAACCACGCTGTTGGACCTTAGCGCTGGACCACGAACCAACGTATCTTGGAGATTGGAAGATCGAAGATCTCTGTTCCACACAGAAATGCTTCTGCGCCAAGCGCAAATGGCATTGGCCGGCCAAGCGTCTGCATATTTATGTAAGCACATTATCGATCGACTCGAGACGTCAGCGTTCGGGATTCTGGCCGGAAAAGGATTCGCCGCACGTTGTCCGTTCTGGGACGTGATCGTCGGTTCCGACTGGCCGTTTTCGCGGGCACATTCTCCTTGATCCCTCGGGCCCCGACAGGCTGGTGACCAATTATCGACCAGTACCGATCTCGGTTCGCCGCTGCAAGGGCTCTGGCTGGCTCCAGACCGTTCTAGACTGGTTGTCCATCGTGCGACATACATGAAATTGCTGTGACAACAGCATCATCAGACTCGGACCAATCACTTCCAGAAACTGGGTCTGCCGTTGTCATCATCTTCAGTGACTTTCAGCTGCTTCAAAGGAAGAGAATGAGGGTTTTGTTCCAAATTACGAGTGTATCAGAATTTCTGGATCAATATTCCCTCGTTTAACCTCAATTTAATACTCACGGAACTCCATCCGCGGAGCATTGAAACCGATTCTGTCGACAATCATCATTGCTTGTTCTCGTCAAGCTTCCCAGTGAAGTCCTTGTCTGCAAAAAATATAGGCGATAGCCTGGTACGACCGAGATATTCCGACTCTTATACAAGGTTTCTACGATAGCGCCCTCTGACTTGGACTATCCAATTTCTCCTGGATTCTTCGGCTACTTTGAGAGGGAATTGTAAAGTACCACTCGTATGGCGCCAAATATCGGACACGTGCGTCTGTGACCAGCGTGAAAAGGCTGGCTAGCGACGACTCTGGAAACGAGAGCATTCTGATCGAAATTGACCGTGCAATCCTATCTCGGAAGGACAGAACTGGGCAGCTTGCCAGTACAGGAACGTGAATCACTCGTGCCGTAGCGATCCGCAGGTGTTGCAAAGACATATACCGCTAATTTCCTGGCGAACCTGAGCGAACAACGGACGCGGCACGCGTCTGCAATGAGACTATGTCGGAAAGTTTATTACTACACGAAAGGGGTCGCTGCAAAAACGATTCGCTTAAGCGTCACTCTAGCGAGCCAGGAAATTGAGACACGAATGAACAGCATGTTGATGCTCACGGCACAGACCTCCTCTGGCAGTAGTCTGCCGATGGTTGAAAGGTCTTGAAGGGAACCGTGTTGAATTGATTTCGTGATGGCACGTGGCCCTAAATACCGTCTCCCGAGACTTCAAATGCCGCTATTTTGTCCAAGATGAATATTGAGATATTTGGATTACTGTATCGATTGGTCAGATACGCAGGTTAAATTTGGTCCTAACATGAAATTTCAACAGTCAAACCGCCACCTATCTGATCATCATCACAAAGGTCACATCTGCGGCCTACGTTGTACCTGTCATCTACAAAGCACATGGTTTTCAAGTTGCTTGACCTCCATTTTAACACGCCGGATCGGCCCTAACTGCGAGGACTGGGGGACCATGCGGTGCGGCTGTCGGAGAGAAACGGGGAACGGCGACGTCAGAGCCTGTGGAATATGGATCAATGGCTGTGGCAGAGCGTTCGTTCAAGATTGCCATGTAAAGGTATCACTGATCTCATGTTCTGTGTCAGAGGTACCCGGAATTTCGACAGAGCCGGAAAGGATAAGACATTGAGTTCAGATCAGAATGGAGAAATCCAGTACAGCACGCATGATCACGTTTTGCTGTGCACCCTCAATGTATGCGGCGGCCGAGTCACTCTTCAGCCCGTTTAGAGAATGCATCCGGTTCATCAGATATCGGCGAAAAGAAGGGAGGAATTGGAAGTATCGTTGAGATTAACAAACGGCGAAACAAGTAACTAGACGAACCCTGCGGTCGTCGATCCCTCGAGTCTCCTGAGATCAGTCGTTGCGGCCCGGAGTTGCACAAAGATGCCACTTTCCGTGGTCCGGCTTGAGGAGCTATTAAACATGTCCAGGAAGTGACAAGTGGATGCGTCTTCCTTCAGAATGTTCCACCTAAGCTTCTCTCAAGTCAAGCTTGGACTAGATGGGTGGCCGAAGTTGGGAGATTATAGATATTAGTCACGTGAGGACAGCGTTTTTAATTTGTGGTCGCGAGTCACTGGTCGAGACCAGGAAGTCAATGAATGGATAAGGAAGATGTTACGAAACGGCCATATGTGCGGGCTTGCCGTACTAGTAAATGAAGAATGGATCGGATGAGAACATTTGGGAGGCCAGACGGATGATTTTTGCACAAAGGAACCATTTACCCGAATTATCCATTCACTCCCGCTGAGACTGATCGATCAAAGTAGAAGATTTCAGCTGAATCGGACGCACGAAGACCATAGTCTGGCATTGAAACTCGCTGAGACCCCATTCACGCGAGTGATCAAAATCACGGATCAGATCTGCTTTCCGAAACAGTGGAATACGCAACTACGGTCGATCTGAACATCTTCGGTGCACGAAAATCGTTCCGATGTTCTGTTCGCAGATGCGATATTCGCTCGTTCTGTTCTGGCCGTCAGGTGTGTTCGTCTCGCGTAGCGTCAGCCAACCAATGGCAACTGCTGTTGCTGCTGCTGTCCCCGCGGATGAGCGCACGACAACGTGCGGCTTGTCACGATTTGGAAGGAGCTGTGTCTTCTTTTCATTCTGTCAGAGATCGGCGAGGTTTCCACCGGTGACGAGGCCCGCTCGACACGAGATTTCATGTATCGGTGCCATAAGACGATGAGTGCTGCTGTATACGAGCCCTGCTCGCTCGACAGATCAGAAGATGGAGTGTATCGCATGGAAGTGGGATTGCGGCGGGGAGATGCAAGACGGTGACGCTGGGCCGAATGTTGATCGGCGCGTGACAGCCCATCATATTGAGAAACTTCCCCTCCATCCGGCGCCAGCGCATCTCCGTTCCCAAAGCAGTCGAGTTTTCTCCGATGCAGACCTGAGCAGTGAGCGCCGCTGACTGGGGGCTGCTTCCTGAGCATTCGACGCTTCACAATTGCGTTCTCTCCACATTGTTACCGCCACGTCTGCTGCTCTACTCACGCTGCGCCTCGGACGCTTGAGGCGAGCGTCGAAGGGTGTTGAGCTTCAGCTCTCGAATAATGTGTGTCTTTGGAGAGCACAGTAACGCCCATCCTTTCTCGGTGCTCAGAAGATGCTCAGAAAGGCTCAAGCGGAGGCTTGGCATTCAAGTAGTTTGTTGTCTCGCTGTGTCTGAGCCTCGGTTGACCTGACGCACTAGACTTTGCCCGCACGCTGAAGTGCGATCTCCTAGGTCATGTCTTGTCTAAGCGGATCTGAGAGGCAACAGAGCCACTTAGAAACGTCTGGCGAAGAGGCGTCCAGGCTCGACTGGCCCTGCTCAGGACTGGTACCTCAGGCGGCAAAGCGAATGCCACTTTTAAGCACATCTCTCGCGTCATTGGAGCTCATTATGAAGAAGTTACAGGCTCAACGAGCTTGGATCAAAGCGCGGAGCCGACACATCAGCGCTTTGGAGGCCCATTCGCAGGACAATGCGCGACGTGATAACTGAAGTGCATTGTTTTTGATGAGCAAGACGAGTCTCTTCCTCTGCCCACTACCATCGCCCTCTCTAGCATGTCCGCCAACCAACTCCAGTCCTCCTCTTTCTCTCCTGCGCGCACCAGGAAGGCCGAGTGGCCACTGTGCGCCCTACAATCCGCAGTAGCTACCCAACACAGTCACCGGCCCGAAGATCTGTACAGGCTTCGCTCCCTCCGGCCCAAACCGCGTGCTACCAGTCCAGTTGAGACCCTCGTCGGCCCGCGCAATTTCACGCTTCCGTTCCACTTCTACAATCCACCATCTGCCAAGCGGATCATGGCCGCACTGCGGAACCGGCAGTGCCCCATGTACATACGCGCGGTTATGGCTGGCCCACATGCGATGTACATCGTCTGGGGTGGGCAGCAAGGGATGGAGACGTACAAAGTCATTGTGCGCAGAAAGGTGCTTGCGACTCCGACGCCTGCCTCCGTGCGCAAACCCCGAGGTGCGTAGGCCGAATGCGCGCGGAGAATGCGCCCTCATCTTTCTGTGTAGTCCTCCCCGTGCTCGTCCCGACTGCCGCATCGACTGCTACATCGAAGGTCGCCCCAGCGCTGGCCCTAGCTCAGTCCCGACAGGCCCTCCTCGATCTCGTCGCCAACTCGCGGCCTGCAGTCGACGGCGCTCGACGCAAACACCTGCTGGATACCGATCTCCACCAGCGCATTCGCCCCTTGAAAGTTGGGCCCCCAGGCTCGTTTCAGCATGCAGAAGTCCAGGCGTAGTACGTCTTTGACGCTTATCGTCGAGTTCTCCTGCCTTACTTACCCGCGTGCAGTGTGTGGAAACACAGGCCGTCGGGTCTTTCCAACGTGCTTTACGCAGAGGACACAATCTGCGTCTCGCCGCTCGTGGGCAACACAGACCCCGCTGCCGAGTGCGTCACCCCCCATTTCACCCCCGCTGTTCCCTTTACCCACGTATTGACGGTTCCAGAGCAGTGACTGCCTCTGGTTCACTGAAGCCGCAAGTTTGGCAGTTTACCAGAGTTCTGAAGCGGTTGTATGATAGCGTCTTCAATCCACAGTACGCCAATGCTCTACTGCCATCTACGGTCCTGGGAGCTAAAGATGGCGCCTCTTTGTAGGGATGCTGTACAATCCTCTGAGTCGCATGACATCGTGTCGGAGCGGCCGATGAAGAGGAGGAGATTGAACTTTTGCTGAGGGACAGCTGGGCCCTCCGAGTAGAAGTACTACGGTTTTCTCCTTTCGGTTTTCCATGCATCGTGTATATTTCAGTCCCAATTCTCGAGATCTTGTCCCGGACTTCTGTATAACTGTAGCTCTCAGCGCTGTCTAGATTCGTGCTCGGATCTTCTATAGCAGGCCGCTCTGAATACTTGGAATCGACGGTGAAATCGCTATAAACTGTGAAAGAGGACCTATCTCAGGTCTGAGATTCTGTAAGCACGGGGCCTAACGCGGCTGCCCGTGTCCGAGGCTTCAGCGCTTCAGCCCGAACAACATGATTCGGAGGCGGTGGCGGTGCCATAGACGCCCACCTTTCATTAAAACGGTCATTTCCGTTCAGATAACAGGGCAACCAACCTTGTTGTCCCGATCATGTACAGTGGCGCCAGCCTCGAGGCGCAGAATGGTTGCTCCAGGCGCGGCATTCATGTTCTTTGTTCTCCCTTGACGCGCAAAGAGCATTCTGAAATAACGTAAACACGCCGCACGGATCCTTGAAGTACCTAGGCCGCGACTGGACTTCTCTCGCCCCTTGTTACCACTCACCAATGTCCGACTCCACAATCTGCCCACAGGTCCTTGCAGGCTCCCTCTGCACAGAGCGCTTCTGCACTTTCGCGCACAATCCGCCCAGCTGCGACCTGTGCAATCTCATCTTTCCCACCGCACCGCAGTACACTGAACACGTCGCGACGAAGCAGCATCAGAACCGTCTGTGCGGCGAGTTTGGGCTGATGCTGTACTGCTCTGCGTGCGAGAAGTATATCCCGGGCAACAAGAACTGGGCTGTTCATGTCCGCAGCGCGCGACACATCAAAAAAGCGGGTGGGAGACACCTTGAAGCAGAGGAGAGCGGAGAGATGCCAGGACACACACTCTGCACGACGTGCAACTCGCAGATCCCAGACAAGTCTTGGGCGCGGCACCACCTGATGCCGAAGCACCTGGCGAAGACGCAGTTTCTGTCGTTCCGTACGGCCTTGGATGAAGCCGAGAAAGACAAGAACGGGGTGTCGGTCAGTGGGGCCTTTGACTTCGGGATAGTCGAGCCCTCCCTGGCGGGTGCTGGGGTAAGAGTGAACGCGAGCATCACGAACACCACGCCCTATTCGATTGTGAGCATTGTCAATGCGTCGTTCGCATCTTCGAGGGGAGTTCGGATGTCGACGCCGTGAGTTACTTGTTGCTCGGCGTCCCGTCTAGTTGTGACTTCTATCTAGATTCACACTCGACCTTGCGACTGCTCATCGTTCAATATGCTACAAACAGACGCTGAACTTCACAGTCAGCATGTGTCAGTCCCATAACGGCCGTGCCCAAGATCGACTGGAGTTGGAATTTGAAGATCGGCAGCTCGGACGCCGATTTGTGATAATGCGCACATTGGCTGTGATTGTTGGGGACCGCGATGATCACGAAAACCTGCGACCCAGTGCACCGTACGTTCCGCGCAAACGAACTGCCCGGCAGCCTGAGACGAACGTTGTCGAGGGCGTCGCACCTCCCTCGCTGCGCGTGATTCGCTACGTTGTCGTGCTTCCCGAGTCGCCGATCCCCAAAGCCTTGTCTGCAGCTTTAGCGACTGGAACAGCAAGCAGCATCGTCCAAAACATGCGGACTGTGTTTCTGCCGCCGGTCCTGAATAGTGACACGTATCCGCGGCACTTCAAGCATCTCATTTGGATAGAGGAGCACCAGATGGAGTGAGTGCGTCGGCCAGGATCCAGGGCAGTGACTGATCATAACCCAGGCGCGATCTTCAGTATTACGATATCACAGAGGCCAAGTTGACGGTGCACCATCCGTATCACTAGTGAGTAATGCCAACCGATTTCCCACAAACTTTAACAACAATCTCCCAGCGTCTCAGTCCCTGGACTGGCGGAGAAGCGCCCCAGTGTTCTCGTCGGTCAGCACGTTCCCCCTTTCATCTCCTCTTCTGATCCATCCCCTAGGCGACCGAATCCTTGTGCAGCAAACAGGTGCTGCGGCTGGCCACTGGTTTGAAGGTGGCGTGCACGTCGTGCGGAAGGAAGAAGTCGGATTGCGGTTCCATTCGTCGTTTGGCAAGGCTTCTCCCCTAGCGCGTTTTACGGTGCGCTTCAAACTGAACCGGCACCCTGTTCGACGACAGCATCTGGCCCTCGATACGGCCTTCGACGAGGACCGTGTGCTGTTCCCTGAACAAACGCACATGCCTGCTGGACCAGTCCCCTCTAAGCGCTACCCAGTCAAGAATCCGCTGATCGCACACAATCCTCCTCAGCTGCAGGCCGTTGTGTCCATAGTCGAGCGGGCGCCTGGGTCCGTCCCATTCGTCATCTTTGGGCCGTGAGTGTTTGTATCCGGATGCCGCCGTCTAGCTGAGCACTCAGCAGACCCGGAACGGGGAAAACGGTCACCATGGTCGAATCCGTTTTCCAGATCTTGTCTGCGAACCCTCAAGCTCGCGTGCTGGCGATCGCGCCCAGCAACTCTGCCGCAGACCTCATCACAACGCGTCTCATGTCACTGGGGGCGGAGCAGCTGTTTCGGTTCTACGCCCCGTCACGTCACAAAGAAACGGTCCCTCTGGAGCTACGCGCGTTCACCTTCGCCACTGCGAACGGACACTTTGCTGTTCCGGGGCTGGCGAAGATGAAGACGTACAGGGTGGTGGTGACGACCTGTGTCTCTGCGTCTGTCGTTTCAGGGATCGGCATCCCAAGAGGCCATTACTCACACATCTTCTGCGATGAAGCGGGCCAGGCTACCGAACCTGAAGTTATGATCGGTGCGTATACTCGGTTGTCGCTACTAGTCAGCATTTTACATCTACTCTAGCGATCAAAACTATGGCCGACAAGCAGACCAATGTGGTTCTCTCTGGGGATCCGAAGCAACTGGGGCCGATCATCCGGTCTGCGATTGCGAGAGAGCTTGGTCTGGAGAAGAGCTTCATCGAGCGGCTGATGGCTATGGAGATATACGATCAGGTCAGAGGTTACGGCAAGTCGTGAGTGATGTGTTCCTTGGTTTTGGCCTGCGATGGAGGACCCCCTTCCCAGCGTCGTCAAGCTTACGAAGAACTTTCGCTCGCACCCGTCGATCCTCAAGTTTCCGAATGAACGCTTCTATCAAGGGGAACTGGAGGCGTGCGGTAGCCCGTCGGTGGTCAACGCGTATGTGAACTGGGGGCCGCTGCCCAATGGTCAGTTTCCGGTGATCTTCCACGCGATCAGGGGAAAGGATGATCGGGAAGCCTCTTCGCCGTCGTTCTTCAACGTCGATGAGGTCAGCCAGGTCAAGAGCTACGTGGCGATGCTCCGGGATGACCGCCGCGTGCGGATCAGTACGTTACTGCCGCCCTTCGTGACCTGGCGAGAGACTGAGATGTTCCAGCTGACAACGACATCGGTGTGATCACACCATACCATGCTCAGTGCCTCAAGATCCGCGCGGTGCTGCGTGCATTCGCAGACGGGGTCAAAGTCGGCAGTGTTGAGGAGTTCCAGGGCCAGGAGCGCCAGGTGATCATTGTCTCGACTGTCCGGAGCAGCCGCGAGTTTGTCGAGTACGACTTGCGTCACACACTGGGCTTTGTGGCCAATCCCCGTCGATTCAATGGTGTGTGGGATCTTTTCTGATGACGTGCCCTGACCAGCCACTAGTTGCTGTCACACGAGCCCAAGCGCTGCTCATCGTCATCGGAGACCCTGATGTGCTGGGCCTTGACCCACTTTGGCGGACTTTCCTGAACTACGTGCACGGCAATGGGGGATGGACTGGTCCAGATATCTCTTGGAATCCAGACCAGCCGGTTGACGAGGCCGGGGGCTACGACCAGGCTGTCCGAGAAGCTGCTCTGTTCGATATGAATCAGTTCACGAAGAGGATGGAAGACATGACTGTCGCTGGCGTGAACGCGGACGATGCTGATGAAGATGTAGAGCGGCCATGGCAAGATGTCGAATAGTCCACGATGTCTTCCACGAGGTCGCCTATTCCAGTGTTTGTCTTGATTCACCTGTATGGAAAATCTGATCTTTGTTTGAGTGGGCGGGAAACACATTCTGGAATGGCTAAAGAGCAAAATCAGCGAGAAGTCGATCCTGGTCAAGACCCCTGAGTGTCTGCCCGCGGGTGATCCGGATTTGCTATGGCCGTGACAAACTCGGCGAGATCCCCTAAGATCCTCTTGTCGTGTATCCCTGTCTCTCTCTCGACTCATTCATCATCGAAGAACTACTTACTTACTCTCTCCAATTGCCATCTCTCGTGAAACGGTTTTCCCCGATATGAATCCTGAGTATGAAGAGAAGAGTGAGTTGTGACCCTTCACTGCATTCAGCCCTTAGCTAGCACCTGTCTGGGTGCGAGGTACCTCATGCCGAACCTCGTGACCATTCGTTCCAGGTGCGGCACGAGGCGGCTGGCCCCATACGGCACGAACTGGCACGAGTCACCTCCTGACTGATCACGACCACTCGCTCCCACGTCGACCCAAACTCGCTCCCACGACCTTCCACATACCACATTATCACTGCGGGCGCCTTGTTTCTGTTCTGGCGCATGCTTTACAACCCGGAACGTTACAATTAGAGGATGTTCTTGTCGAGATTCACCTTGTCTTTGCTATCTACTGGCCACTTGTCGCTCCGAACTGGTTGGAAGCTGATATTGGGGAATCGTGTGATATGACCAGCCGGCTCCGGGACCAGGTACCTCGTACCAGGTCTCGCACCCTGCTCGCATCTCCACGTGCCAGTGCCCGGAGGGAGTGACCTGGTCCCACGTCACCAGCGGCCTCGGCCCATGATCGGCACTGATCGTGCCTGCCTCCCATCAACCTCGCATCTTCACGCTCCAGCCGGTGCTAGCCAAGGGCTGAATGCAGTGCTTGTTCCCCTTAACGAGTGTCGAATCCACTGTATCTTGCAGAGATCGTCGACCTCAGTGACGAGGAGCTTGTCAACCTCGGGTTCATGGGCGAAAGCAAGTCCTTTTGTCATTATACATACCCATCCCTCACTCATTATGTATGGCCCTTCGGAATTGTAGACGTTGCTCCAGAGGTCAAAGACATAGTCGAGCAGGTGAAGGCTGATCCCGCAAATCTAGGCAGTAAGTCCCTCCATCTTCTTTTGCGCACATTTCATTTCCTACTTACTGACCCCTTCCTCAATTTACAGGTGTCACCTGTTTCATGGTCGACTTAGTCAGACGCAGACACGAGGCTGCTGAGCCCTCCATCCCTCCTCCCTCTGGCACCCTCACCAATGCCGAGATTCACTCAGAGCTTATTGACGGCTCAGATCCTCACGCCATCGTTGCCCCCGACCTAATCTCCAAATTCGAAATGCGCTTTTATTACCACGGTCTCTCTGGGGATCCTCCCCATCTCATGTGGCGCTCTGATTTCGAGACCAACCCCTTCCCCACTCACCAACCTGGAAGCCACTTCTTTACGATCCCCACTAAAACTGCCCATGGCGTCTTCAACACGCCTCTCAATGGCGTGTGGGATGTCGCTCTTCCTCGGATTATACAATCATTGAAGGAGCATCACCTCCGGTGGTCTGCGATCCATAAGGTTCGCTTCTCGATCGAGGATAGCGAGGGTAAAACCCTTGGTCCTGTTGTAGTGTGGATCGCAGTTCATCCCAACACCACCACCGCAGGGGCCGTTCGTGATGCCACACCAGACATCCTCAAGATCCTCGCTGACTACCAGATCACCGATGTCGTTGTTGAGTGGTACGAGGGCGCTGGCGCCAGACTGGTTGACTCCGTCCGGTCATGAGTGTTGCAGACAACACTAGTGCCCAGTTCATCCACAATCGTCCCCTGACGCGCTGGATTGTCGACATCTTACTCAGGTGTGTTTAGTTCTCTTGCCCGCTTCTCGATATATGCAGCTTAGAACTCTTTCTTGCTAGTCTCTGTACATAAACTTGTTACCTCGCCCGCCCGTGTCATATGATTGATTTTCTCGTATTGACTACCACGACTGTTCCCTTCCCACTCTATGACTCCTGCTTTGTATCAAGACTCACAGAAATAAATGAAGTTCCCCCCTTCCTTCAAGAGCAGATTTAGCGGAAATTCAGACATGGATGATTATGCGATCAAAGCATATGACGCGTCTCAGCGCGTTCGCTCGTGTCTACTACCACCATGTCCTTTTCCGAAAACTCTCCAGCACAATTCTGCGGCATCCCCCTTGAGTCAGATCCGACTATCTTCACAGACCTGATGCACGCTCTCTGCGGGGTGCGATCCCACCCGCTAACCTGCGTTGACCTGCTCTCCCTTGACCCGGATGATCTCGTTCCTGGTGGTCCCTTGGCTCTGCCAGGCAAGTTGCGCGGAATCATTCTGGTGTACAATACCAACCCCGCGTACGAATCCTCGATCGACTACGAGCGGGAGAAAGCGCGAGATGCGGGGCGAGGGTATGCTGGTCGAGGGTCCGACGAGCCGATGTTGTGGGTCGAGCAGATCGTCCCCCACGCATGCGGGTTCTTCGCACTGATGCACATCGTTTCAAACTTGAGTCGATTGGGTGTAGATTCGCCGTATATAGGTTCGTTCGTGACTTCTCGTCCTTCTGGTGTAGTGTCCGCACACAGGTCATTGCTGGCTGACCACTGGTATAAGACCCAGATTCGCCCATGGGAAAGTTCATCGCCTCTGCGCTCCCCATGTCGCCTCCCGACCGGGCTTCGTTCCTCGAGTCCTTCTCACCCATCGCAGCGCTGTACAACGACTGTGCGCCCCTCGGTACCAGTCAAGTGTTGCATGCCGACGATGTCGTTCCCGGGCACTACGCTGCGTTTATCCCTTCGCAACTGGATGGCCACATTTATGAGATGGACGGCGGCAAAAACGGGCCAGTGGATCACGATGAATGGCTGGATGGGGAGCGAGATATATTGATTGGTGGAACGCGTGTCGTGAAGGAGATAGTGAAGAATCATCTGGATCCTGAAAACGCGCACTTTCATGCTCTCGCTGTCGTCGAAATGGAATCGCGCAGGGAACAGTGAATTACGTTGTCCAAGTTTAGGATAGGGACAGCCGAAATGAAAGTATCTGGGATGGTGCGAGCAGAAAAAAACTGATTCGACCCGGGCTCGAACCGGAGACCTCCCGTGAAACACAGTCCTCAACTGCGGGAATCCGAATGTGAGACGGACGTGATAACCAACTACACCATCGAACCGATGGGCAGTTTCGGTGCGACTGTATTATGATTTTTGCCGTGAAGTGTCTATTTGTCCTTTTTCTCAGAAGCACTGTCAACGGTCAGAGAGTCTAGTTTGAATCAGCGAGACAGAATTGAGGGCAGATGAGCTCATCCTTGGATTCCTTTCTGTTCATAGGCTGGATTGCCATATCCTGCGTGAGGAAGGGAGTAACGTCACACATCAGGGGATACGCTGGGTTACGGTCATTCTACCACTAAACACTGACTCGGAGGTGAAACGGCACTCAGACGGGCCGCTCCCACTTGTCTGGTCTTGAGTCTAATCGCGTCTGACTTCAAATCTCACTGAATCCTGCGTGCTCCTGTCGCCAAAATGCTGCATGTTGGCCGCGCCCTTGGACTGTCGACCAAATTCGAATTGGAACAACCTAACAGCGTCGTTGGCGTCATGATGGCTTCCCAATTCTTTCAGCTGGCATGTGTTCACGCGCATAATTGCTCTCGGTATCGCTCTTGAACTCCCCCCAGTGATGCCAGACGAAATAGCGATGGGCTGTTTGGTGCACACTCATTGCCTAAGACTCGACACCTCGTACTGGAAGGGAACCGCGGTCAAATAGTCGGAATGCGGGATGGCGGGTGGTCTCGTTATCGCTTTCGACTGTTGGTGTGTCGCTCGGACCCTGGGGAATCATCGGACTACTCTCCTGTGTCGCCCACGGAGCAGATTCCCTACTGAGATCTGGGGATGTGCTAGCATCTCTGTTCGCTACGGAATCGAACGGGATGGAGAGGTACCAACGGGAAGGCTGCCAAGGCCCAATCATGCAGTGCTGCATCGAGATATCTCTGGATGAAAGTGCTTCATGAACTCGCGGCGAAGACCTCTGTGCCAACCAACAGGTCATGGTAAAACTTGAGTCTCTACGGTGCACGCAGTCCTTGAAGCTTACATATCTTCGCTCGTCGCTGATAGCGAAAACAAGAGCCTTGGATCATGCACCCATCAGCCTATATCGGGAGGACAATGGTTTTCCAGGCTTGATTGCGCACATCCGGTGCTGTAACGTGACTCCAGTGGATACGCCCGCGCTCGCATTGTCGGGCGGGGTTAGGCGTGTCCTTTGCCTCTGCATCTCACCACCGCCCAAGTCATACACATGTCTTCCGGTAAGTAAAGCTCTGTGCAACACCTACTGCGATGCACTGACATTCCTTTGAAGTTCCACTGGCCTTCGGTACCCAGCCGCGGCAGCCTTTGATCGAAAGTTGCTACAAAGTCCGGACGGCACCGCCCAAGAAACTGCAGAACAGTCTGCTAAAGAGTATCTCGCGACGCATACAGATCATCCCAACCGAATTCGACTTCCTACCATCGTCGGAGCTGGCTCATTCGTTCATTGAGCTTTACAGCATGCGTCAGTCATCGTGGGAGGCGTCGTTCGAGCCACACGGATCCATGTACCGGTTGGTTTTACGCAAGAAAAGGGATGCGCGTGTGCTCGTCCCAGTGAGACGAGGTGCGCGTCTGATCTTCTTTCGATCTTGTTCTGAACATCCTTCCTCGCAGCGCGCCCAGTTGTGAGGACGAAGAACAGTACGTGCCGACATGCTCGTGGAAGCTGTATCGCCTGACACATTGCGTGAAGATCGAACCAAGACACTAAAGGAATTGCGCCGGGACCTCCTGGCTCTAAAGGCTCCGGGCCATGGGAACCAACCCGCCGTCTGGGGTATCCGCCGCACTCATCTGAAGTACCTGGAGCACCATCGCATAACTGCACGTCTTCCCAATGTACCAACTAGGTTCTTCCGGTACAACGGCATCGAGAACTAGTGTGTCGCGAATGTTTGACTGTGAAGTCAGACTAACCGACCAACTCCAGCGTGTGGAATCGGAAGCCCTCTCCTCTCTCAAGGCCGCTCTTGATCGAAGTGGACGACGACATTCCTCTGGCGCAATCTCCCAGCGAGATCAACTCTCCGACTGAATTGACGCCAACGATGACCGAGCCATCCCCAGTTGAGAAATGCTCGTGAGTGCTCGCGTTATGCCCTATAGTCTACTCTGACATCCGTCCTAGACCTCAGCTAGAGGCTCGGCCTCGTCGTGCACGGAAGAAACCGAATCAAAGGAAGGAGGATGTCAGTCAGCGGTAGGTCTGCCATCTTCGTCGAAAAACGCTCAGATTTATGATAGTTGTCTTCCGCAGGGAGTATCTTGAAAGGAAATGCAAAAGTCGGAGAGTTTAGATTCGTCATGGAGGCGTATCTTAGCATTCTCCTCGAATGGACATCTCCGCATAGGGCAATCGACACCCATGTCCAGTACCTACGTTCTTACTTGACGGAGCAGTTGATTCAGAGCATTGACCTCACGATAAGTGTGCGCATGATGCAGTGAGTGTCCATAGTGCACCTTGCATGTTCGTACGCTGCAGGGTTACGAGCAAAACTGGTCTCTGCTGTTCATGTGATCAAGGCTTGCGCAGCTTCTAGAGGTGTAGCACGCGGTAGCTATGCATATGGAGGTCTACACGACTAAGGTGATTACGTGAAGATAACAAAATGAATCGTCCGCTAGCGAAGCTCTACACGCGGAGAGCCGATGCTCCTCAACAGGATCGAACTGTTGACCTCCAGATTTAATGACAAGCGTCACACATAGATGAATATGAGACTGGCGCTCTAACCAGCTGAGCCAGAGAAGCGACGGGCCGTGGATTCCGCAATCAGATAGATTCTTGTGATTTCCAATCATGACGGATATACCCAGCGCGCAGAGAATCCGTTTCAATGTCCATGTGAGAAGGACGGCGATCGTGTTCTGCCTTGACCCAATGCCGATGATACGTAGATTTCGTCCGGGTTTGGGTTTGGGTTCTTGAAGAGTATCATTCTCGTGTCTCTCGCCGTGGGCAAATTTAAACTTAGAAAGCAAGAATACGATTCGAAACTGGATATGTATGTAGACAAAACCGCCGCGCACTAGCTGGACAGCAAACCCGCGAACAAGGAGACAAGTAGTAGTTAAGATCTCCGGATTTGAATGCAAGATAGATATTCGCCCCCGTTCCCCTCGCACCACCCATTGATCGAGGTGGAGTAGTGAATAAGAGGGCGGTTATGAGAGTGAGAATGAAAAGGGAAAGAAGAGAGAACGAGAAGAACCTTAAATCACACAGGAAACAGAACGAGCACGGTGAACATCATAGGACTACTGATACAATCATGCACGGAGCTGGTTGCGCAAGTTGGTCTCGAGAGGGCCCTTGGGCCTGATGAACTGTACGTAGGCACCATCCCTACATGAGGTGTCAGCGCATTACCCCGTGCGAATGAAAGAATGGCCACATACTGCAACACCTTCTTCTCCTCCTTCAGCTTAATGTAGTCCGCCTTGTTGACATTCGTGAATCCCCACTTCTTGGAGACGATGATCTTTTGGCGGCCGGGGAACTTGTACCGGGCACGGCGCAGCGCCTCCATGACGATGGGCGCGTTGGCCTCCTTACACCGGATGGAGAGGAGGACCTGGCCAATGTTCACTCGTGCGACACTGCCGTAGGGCTTTCCCCAGGCACCACGCATGCCCTGTTGCAGCCGATCGGCACCGGCGCAAGACAACATCTTGTTGATTCGGATGACGTGGAAGGGGTGGACACGGACACGCAAGTGGAAAGAGTCTTTGCCGGACGTCTTGGTCACGTACTAGAGGGCCCAGAATTGAGTCAACAAAGGTGGGTGCAACCGAGGCCAGCGTACTTTGTTGGCGCAAATACGAGCGGCTTCAAGAGCCTCCGAACTCAATTGCTCGTACTCATCAGAGACAAGATGGCAGCAGAAGGGGAACTCGTCGACAGAGGCACGCTTGCGTCCAAGATCGAAGATACGAATCTGCGAGCACAAAGGATTTAGAATTCGCAAGGGAAGGGCTGAAGAGACACCCACCTTGGGATCGGGGACACCACGGTTGTACCGACTCTTGGGGTACGGCTTGTTCTTGCAGTAGCGGTAGCAGCGAGCGGGACGGCGACCCATGATAGTTTCTGAGAAGAGAAAGTTTTGTCAGCACAGCACAAGGGATGAAAAAGGCCCCTCGAGCGCAAAATTGCCCGCGACGCAACGCCTGATATGCTCGATTGGAGTAGCAGGACGGATCGTCGGGGAAGGCGGGATGAAACAAGATTGCAGGGCAAACTCACATTTCGGGGAGGTGAAAGTAGGGGATCGGTCTGTGGACGGCTTTTTTAAGCGGCGTGATGAGTAAGGCAGTTTTGATGAGTAAGCCATCTCCGGCGGGCGGAGTCAGTACTTGCTGACGGTGCCGATGAAGTGATCCGTGTCATGTGATTGAGCATTGCTATGACGCCACGCGTCTGACATCCGCTTCATTATCGTCGCTGACGGGGCAACTACTACGTGGCTGTACCTGTGACTGTCTACGAGTGTTATAGATACAACTGATCTTGAATCAAATCGTACCAGTTCATACGAGACCGTCACAGAACGCCACAGGATATCTTGTCGGGTGTTTCCCCCATTCTGTGAAAGTGAAGCAGGGACGTATAGTTTGAGATAAAATTTCGCCGATACGTGATATAATGAATATGATTCCCATGTCCTCTTCTTTGCATACATTGGTAGAGCCTCCCGGTCAATATCGTCAACTGATACCTATCGGCTCCCGTGGCATTAATCCAAAGTCTCTCAGGTCGCCATCGCGCGCCATCGGGCGGGAAGCGACATTTTAAGAAGGGCACACATTCGAAACCATAAGCGTATGATGTTCTTGACTAAATTTTCGTGAATTCATGACCCCGAAAGAGCTCTGGTAAATGGCCTTGCGTTCACGGACTCCAAGGAACCAAATTTCTTGCAGGCTCACTTTCGAAACAGGGAGTCATGGGAGAAGCCACATGGTCTGCATCATAGCTTATTACAACTGGTATCTAGTCGAGGATGTTCGAAACCACTTTCATGATCGCGTTCGTAAAAAGAGAGCATCTTGTCTACGATACTGTAACGAGGAATTATTTGTCAATCAGCTACCGAAAGGTTGAGTAGATGCACTCAAAAACTCACCTTGAGACTGGTAGATCTTTTTTTCATGGTGAGAAATTCAGTAACCCTGAGATCTGGGAAGCGACCGTGAATACGACGAGTTGAATTTATCTGCGTAAGCAGCCGCATCTCTTCTCGAGGATCGCTCTGTTGTCCCATTTGAGCTCCTTGTATCTGGTGGGATATGCGGTCGCCGTCCGCAAAAAGTCGATATGTCATCAGAGCATCTGCAAAAAGGGCTTCGAGCATCTTTTAGTTGCTCATTGGACGTAGCCTGCTCCCCGCAGCGCTGGGAACATGTCGACCTCTGCGTAGCAATGTATACAGAATCAAACAGCACCGGCCTTCTGAGTGGTGTTCACATCAGCTGTCAGTCCCGGCCAAATGAACTTACGAAGTATGTATAAGGTTCCTTTTCAGAACGTATTGAGACGAGGGAGTGTTTGCGACTGACATCATCCGTAGTGCTTTTCTGCGCCGTAGATCATTAGCATTGAAGGCACCACGTTCGGAAAACCTACTTCCGCAAGAAAGTCAAAGATGTCTCTGTCCCTCTCCTGCAATTGTGTCCCTGAATCCTTACACTGCTGTCTGGTATTGGGCGTGAGAGCTCGAAAATGCTCGCCAAGCGCGCCTTTTCGAATTCCTCTCATGAAGCAAGCAGCTCTTTGCATGACCTGTCCGGAAAATCTTCAACAGCCGCCTTTTCTACTACTCGTGTACTCTGCGACTCCACCTCCTCGGTTTTCCGCACGAGTAAACACATTTAGCGGTTCATACTGGAAAGACCCTTGACAGACTAAAGCTACTGGCATTTCGACCTCTCGAGCTCCAGAAATGTTTCTATTCGTCTCTGAGAGTCCCCTGGCCATGAAGATATCCTAAACACTAGCTCTGAGTCCTGATCAATACTCCAAACCTCTTCGATGTCCATCTGGCAAGAGCCCCTATGAGTAGGACAGTCATGACCTCGTAGACGGATGGAGTCGAGTTTCATGATTTGTTTCGGGTGGTTTGGAATGAGATGGCTGAAAATTTGAATGCCGTCGAATATGGAGGGCGACGTTCAATTCGGATGAAAATCAACTGATATGACGAGGAGTGTTTCGGTTGATCGGATCACAGCCTCGGACGGGACGGACACAAACAACTGGCCTTTCCTGTTCCTTCAGCTGTTCCTTCAGCGAGCCACACATTTCCAGGCTTCGATTGGCCTCGTTCTCGTTCACACTTCATGCTTTCTTCTCAGCAAGATGCTCCGCTAGTCCTCTAATTTGGCCGCGCCGATTTTCCTCAGTAACTCGTGTGCGGCATTGTCAGGAAGTACCCCCACATGCGACTGAGACCGAGGAATCTCACAGCTTGGAAGTCGAGGACCGAATGCAGCACACTAAATAGTGTCGTGAAAGCTTGCATCTAATGAAGTCTTCTTGGTCGCGGGTGAATCCAGGGGTCTGAGTCAATGCATGGCCAGGCGGGCTTGGTAGCTTGGGGACGATCTGGCTGACTGATTCTTTTCTTCACGTCTCTCTCACGCCGCGAACATTCTGAGGGAATCGGAATGTGTGACTCGACTCATACTTCACTGCTACAGAGCTCCGTTCGGTTCAGCCAGTCCTATTGTACCCGCAAGTCCTACTGTATCCGAAAAGCACATTGGCAATGAATGGTGGAGCCAAGTCGTCACGCAAGATTCAAGGCTCATGGGGAGTCACTCACAAGCTGATGAGTGTTGTTCGATAGAAGTGCGCAGTGTAGACTTCCACGTGTGCGATCTACCGTCTTGGCGCATCAGGACTGTGCGGGTGTATGCCCAAAGCAGCACCCATCTGGTTCTGCAACGCATATCGTTTTTGAGCTATCGAAATGTCTGCTTGTGTGAGAAGAGATGTATTTTGCACGAAAGCTGGAGGGACATAGTCGAAAAAAAACTTGAGCCAAAAGTTATGAGCACCACCTCTCCGATCCTCACTCGCCCTTGACCACTGACGCAAATTCGCCCGTCTCTACCATTTCTTGGACAATATCGAGCCCGCCCACAAGTTCCCCGGCCACGATAAGCTGAGGGAATGTCGGCCAGTCGTTGAGGCGTTTGAGGCCTGCATGCCACGCTTAGGTCCAGCCCAGAGACAAGCACAGCGATAACGACAACCCACTCACCTTGTCGCACCCCGTCGTCACTCAGGATGTCGAAATGCGCAAACTCGACACCTTGATCCCGGAGGAGGGCAGAGATCTTGCGGCTAAACCCGCACCGGGGGTCGTCCGGGGTGCCCTTCATGAACAGCACCACACGGCTCTGCGTCATCAACGCTCGCAGACGCACATCCAGCTCTTCCTTGGACTCCTCCTTCTTCTTCTCTGCGCCGTCGTCTGCGGTCACCGACGCCGGATCGAGATGCGTCGCTATCGCCTTTGTCAGCGCCGCCCCATCCGCCCCGCTGATCCGCCCAAGAAGCGTGTGCCCGCGAAGAACGACGAACGCAGGTACTGCTTCGATTTCAAACGACTCGGCGATGTCCGCCTGTTCCTCGGCCTCGACTTCCAGCACGAGCAACGTGGGGTACTTGGCCGCCAGGGAGGTGACGACGGGTCTGATCTGCTCGCAAGGGGCAGCCCATGGTGCCCAGAAGAAGATCAGCGATACACGGGCAAGATCTGCGGACAACGCCTCTTGGAATTGTGCTGGGGATGCGATCGGGATGAGGTTCGGCGAGGTCATCGTGGATAGGAAGAAAAGCGTAATCGCAGGGAAATCAGATAAGATGAGATCAGACATCGGGCAGATTGGTCAGACTCTCAAGCACACTTTACTCAACGTTTTTACGAATCCACTTCGTTGTTCGGTGGCCTTGTGACCGACTGACTACTCTTATGTTATTTCTAGACACGGGATACCCCGACTCTTCCCGATGATGCATGTATCCCCTGCTCTTCAGAACACGGCAAAATTCAGGACGAGCCGACTGGGGACAACACCAATGACCCGCCGCAGAACCCAATCATATCCTGCGCTGCCTCCTCAGCTAGTTGATGTCAAGTCGATCTTCTCTCCGCTTTCGCCGTTGGAGACTCGGAACGAAATATCCCGTCCCAGTCTTCCCTCACCATGGGATTACGCATTCCGTTGCCACATATGTCCCTGCGATTCTTACTGTCCACCGTCAGCCGGATCCACGCAGGGGTGATACCACCCGACACGCCATCGCTCGCTGGAATTCTGCACAATCCCACATGACCGCCGTTCTCGGAAGAGGGAGCCGATACCAGTCAGGCTGCTTTCTTCGTCCTTCGATCGAAGTGTTTCTCATCAACATCACCCTCGTGCTCATCCCCGTTTACAAAGTCATCGCTCTTCGGCACGCAGTGCATATCGGGCCGTCATGATCATCCATCCCTTGCTGGGACTGAACGACATTATAGCATCCATCCCCTTGATCGTTAACGGATCCTACGAACTATTGTCGTGCGGTGCATCAAACGTTCACACTGTCCCCACGCCTGACACTAGAAAAGCCGACAATCCCCGCGCGCCAAGTCGCATGTGTAATGGCCCCAGCATGGAAATGTGCGGCGTCGTCACGGACATCCATCTGCCCGCAATGTTTCATGACCCAAACCCATATGTACAGAGATGCGTCAAAGGAATGTATTCTCGACAGAAAGAGGAGAGACAACGTAATGTAATCATAATATAAACACACGAAAGAGACAGGCCATCCATCCCAAGGGATCCAATATGTATGAAAGGCGCATGGCAACAAGTAGTAATGCAAAAGAACAAGGAAGAGATCCGGAGGTCGTAGAAAGTGTCGAGCAATTATACGTATGTAGGGGTAAGTAACAGAAACAGAACCATTCTATAGCAGTCCGCACTCCCGCAGGTGGAGCTGCAGCAGAATGTCCTGGATCGCACTCAACACAACTAGACAAGCAATCAGTCACCAGTCAATCTCAGGACATGACACCAGACACATACACTTGATCTGCTGTGTATCTGTCGCACAGGTATAATGGGCATAGATCTGCTTCGTTGCGGCGCTCTGGTTGAGCGACACGAATCGGTGCAGGAGGTATTCACATGCGGCGTCGTAGTTGTCGCCACCTTGGTAGTCGGGGAAGTAGTCGCCCTGCACGCTACACGTCAGACACGTTGCCCACGGCCCATACTGGCACAACGGCTCACAAGAGGACTGCGCGGCAGCTTTTCGGCGAAGAGATCGATCTTGTTCAGGAACAAGATGATGCTAGTCTTCACAAACCATCTTGAGTTGCAGATGGAGTCAAAGAGCGTTAACGCTTCTTGCATACGGTTCTAGCACGGAGTTAGATTGTAGCAAGCCAGGAAGCGAAAGGAAGAAACACGTACGACACTCTCATCCTCATAGAGCATCTGGTCGTACTCGCTCAGGGATACCAAGAACACCAGCGCCGTCACGTTCTCGAAGCAATGTATCCACTTCTTCCGCTCGGAACGCTGTCCACCAACGTCGAACAACCTGTACGTCAGCTCGCCGACCTAGATGCGAAGCACTTAGGCAATCATTCAAAAAGTCAAAAACTGCCATCAATACCTTGAAGGTAGTCTCAGTGATACCCGTCGTCTTGACACGGGAACGGAGGATGTCCTGGTCAGTGGGCAGGTAGTCCGGCGTCGACATCCGGTCGATAGCGTTGAAGTAATACACAGCGCTGTCGTTCAGCTGGAACTCCCGGGATCGTCGAACTGCCTCCTTCACGCCTGGGTCTAGACGTGATAGATGATTATTAAGATTAGTCACGCTCTCAAGGCAACGGGACGTACCGCGCCATAACCCCCGAATCGCATCCGCCAGATCTCGCGGAAGGGAGTCAGCCTCAATTTGAGGCGGCAGGGCAAGAATGGTGGCACGGCGAGCATCGTTCTGGGGGGCAAGCGAAATGTCCAGCTGGGGCATGGCCTCGAGGATGGCGCTACATGACGCCTGTCAGATACTTTGCCCCCCAAGGTGAGAAGCGACCACGGCGCACCGCATGCTCTGGATCGTGTTGGAGAAAATGATCTCCTTGTACGCATCACGCTCTTGCGCGTTGTAGCCATCATAATAGATAAGCTTCATCTGTTTCAGCACCGTCGATTTGCCGGACTCTCCAGCACCGAGGAGAAGCATCTTGATTTCGTTCTTGGCGAGCATCCGGTCCCGCTTGAGTTGGTTCTCAATTTCATCGTTGCCTAGGATGCGGTGAGAAAGGGGTCGCGCAGTTAGGTGAGGAGAGGGAGGGATCCAGACGGACGTGAGTGAGTTTCAAGCACTCAAGAGGAACGGGTGGAGCGAGTGGGGGGAAAGCACAAGCACGAATGAATGCAAGACACTCACGAGCCTTCGCCTCCTCATCAACGCCAGCACTTTGAACGCAGCCCATTGCAGAATCTGATACGGGAGCAGAGAATAGGGATAGGTAAGTGGTGGTAGATGCCTGAAACGAGCGGCAGGTGAAGCAGTAGCCGGCTGAGGGCGGGCTAGTGACGGCGGAGGAGGGAGGAGGGGGAGGGAAAAGACGAAGGCGTGATGGAGATGAGGGTTCTTTCTCCTCTTATGTCAGCTATTTGCCCCTGTTGATTTTGGAAATCGGCTGAGACGGCTGGACGCCCCTTTCGGCCCCCGCCGCCCCCTGAGCTCGACGCGAGGCGTCGGGTGCAAATGACTTTTTTGATTGTTTCTATTGATCAGCGCTCCTGTAGAGGGACGACTGTGAGCCGTAATAGATATTGAAGGACGCGGAGGACAGCGATCGAGGCGTTCGACAATTTTACAAGTAGGGAACACCGAACGCAAAGCCGGAGATCGTGGGGGCTCTAAGAAGGAGACATGTATATGGAAGGTCTCGGCGTTGTCCAGAAGGATCACAACCCAGCAAGAGCAAGAATGAGAGCACTAGACGCGGCCTTTACGAGAATGTCTCGAGAACTGCATCATAGCTGTCCCTGTTGCTAATAAGCGCCTGCTGCCAGTAAGCGCCATCATCCGACATGGACAGACTCCCAGCCTCGGATTGAAGTAGATGGAACTAGTTATGGTACAGTGAATCTTCAAGCCAATTTCGTCTCTGCAAGCTTCTCCACGACGTCGTCGTTGTGGTGATGCATGATGGACGCATTCTCCATGATCTCTTTCTCTGACTCCTCCTTGTACTGCCGGACATTGTCAGACAGCTCTTGGGCCTCCTTGTCCAGATGGGTGGCACCCGCAAGCGCCGTCATGCGTTTAACCGCTCGGATGCTGAATGCCGCCTTCCTCCAAGCACGCTTCGCGTCGAATGCTTTCTTCACGTAGGGAAGCAAGTCCGTCGGCCCGCCTGAAGCTGTCGACACAAAGTGTCTCCCCTTCAACCAAGGGTGCTCAAGAGCCTCGGCAGCAGTGGGCCGCGCGTCGGGATCGATCGTAAGGCACGCCCGCACGAAGTCCCGAGCCGTGTCAGACACGTTCGACCAGTATTCTTCCGGCTCGAATTTGTAATTGCCATGGATGATCGCCTCCATCTCGGCTTGAGGCGAGTCCTGGTCGAATGGCGTATAGCCGGCCAGCAGGAAGTAAGTCACGACGCCCATCGCCCAAACGTCCACCGGTTTCCCATGTCCGGCTAATCGGCATCAGCAACGAGCTAGCCGATTCCTACGGGAGCACATACTCTTCAAGAATATTTCTGGAGCCATGTATCCCGGGGTCCCGCATACTTCCGTAAGCTTGCTCAGCTTGTCGTCCGCCATGATGCGACTCAGCCCAAAGTCCGCAATCATTATGTCCGCATCTTCAGCTGGGGTGCGGAACAAAAGATTCTCCGGCTTCAGGTCCCGGTGCACGATTCCACCCGCGTGGATGTATTTGACGGCGGTGAGGATAGTGCGCACCAGATCTGCCGCGTCACTGCTAGCGGTAAGCCAGGTCGAAGACTGGAGGCACCCAAATCGACGCACGCTTCATAGTAATTGCCCTTGGCGCATATGCGGTCGAAGAGTTCCCCGCCTGTGCAGAGATCGAAGCAGAGGTACAAGTTGTGCGAGGTCTAGGACGACGCTCAGTAATGATGTTGAGTCACTAGACGTATGCCCACACCTCAAAGTAGTCATGCAATGTCACGATATTCGGGTTTCCGCTCGAAACCCGCTTCAGGACCGCAATCTCGTTTCGGACCTGGTTCCGGCCCGTTGGTTATCATCGTCTGGATACATGTATGCCTCGCACTGACCATATACTCCCTCCCCTCCATCAGCTTCTTGTTAATGACCTTGCATGCGTAGTATTTTCCCGAAGTGATGTGGATCGCCTCCTTCACGATGGCGTACGTCCCACTCCCAAGCGTTTTGCCAGTGCGATACTGCGGTTGCGATGTGATTTAGCGAGGGGGGCAGTGTGGGCATGTGCGTGAGGAGCGCGTGATGTCGATAGCAAGCGGTGCCGATTACCACGATGGGCGGTGTCGCGAGTCACATCGATCCGGCGCAGCAGTGAGTTGCAAATAGGCGAAGGCATCGGCCCAAGTTGAAGTAGAAGATGGGAGGAGTCGGCGATCCAATCGAATCATGAGTTTGAGAGAGGACGACGACGAGTAAGGAAAAGAAAGCAGTTCGAAGATCAGACTGGCAATAGTCGATTTACGCCAGAGACACATACCTGGCATGGCACGGTCGCGTTCGCTGGCATCAGGAATTCGTTCTGGTGCTTAACGGGATCGGTGTAGTCGTGCGCTGCGTCGTCTTCCCTTTGTTCCTCGAGAACACTATTGGCCTCGATCGAGACTGAGAGCTGAGCGGGTAGGGCTGTCCGGGCGAGAGTCTGCGCAGATTCAGGTGCAGACGTAGGTGTAGGTGCGATGGAGGGTATAGTATTCCGTGTGTGTGTCCCTGGTGGTCTCAGCTAAAAGATGTTATATCAGTGAAAGTAGATCACAGCACAGCCGCGATGCTGTGCCCCCCGACGACATACCGCCGTGTCTAGATCTGCTTCTGACTCTGATGCCGCGGTCACTCGTCGCGCGAGCCAACGCGGGAGCTGAAAGTAGTTCATGTGACCTTCAGGTGTAGTTGCGCGCGAACGCGATCGTCGGGACGGGGAGGAACCCATTTGGATGTGTCTTCAAGTTTGACTCGTAATAGTTTTGCAACTCTATGTTTCGCCAGTTCTGGCGATCGACAGAGTGAACGAGTATATAGGAGGATTCTGAGTCCGTGAAGATAGTATAGCAGTGGGCAAAGGCAGAGAGTATGGAACTGCCTCGAGGACGACACGCGCTGTTTTACAGTCCACGGCATTTAGCGAAGACAGGGATTTTCATATCAAAGAGGACGTTTACAACTTATCGGAAATATTCATTTGGCTAATGTTCCATTGCTTTGACCAATGCTTCAGCACCTATCGGTCCAGGGTGAGGACTAGGGTTACCCAACAACCATCGCACCAATAACGGCCGCAGCCAAGTCTCCTTATCCACCTCCGGCGCTTGATACTCTGAAACGGAACGAGTCTTCGTTCCACGCTGTTCTCCGCAGCTATCTTATTTTTACTTCCAGCTGGTTGTATCTCATGTCGTCTTAGCTACGTCCCGGACCAGCCGCCGACCACTGTCGCTCTCATGGTCAAGTCCATCTGCGCTTTGACCTCGCCATCGGCTCAAATTTGGTCCTGGTTAACGCTGAGTAACCTCGCCGAGCTCGAGAGGTGCCTGACACCCCTGGCTACTTGCGGCTTGCTAAACTTGGCGGTAGAGAAGTGTGATGTGGATCGCAAGAAGGACGGAGAATAGCTACCTCCGTCCTTCCTGAGCGCTGGGGCTACGAGAGTGCTAGAGCATGCCGTGCATTGTCCGAAATCCACGAAAGTGTGGTGCGAGATAGGGTTTCGTGTCTGACAACAGACTGTATGCATTGCATGTGAACCGGAGAGTGGCGACTCGTACAGCAACTTCTGTGAGCAATCACCTGTCTATCGAGACGCCCGTACGGGGCGTGCAACGAAGATCTCGATATACTGCATCCAGGAATTGCGTAAACAGGTCCCAAGCACGATCGCGATGCTCTTGCTGACAAGCTGGGAGACCCTGAGCTGCATGCAGCGCTTTCATAGCCCGACCACAGATTCGGATGGCGAGGACCAGCTTTGGTGTCTAGACGCCGCGACATGTGCAGGATCCAGAAACGCGTGAGGCGCGTGGCCAATGAGTGGGCGGCAATCTCACCGGCACTTTCAATCTCGGCATAGAACCAACACCCGGTATCGACCAATGGCGAGATCGACGATGAGTCACAGAAACGCTCGAGACCTGAAGTAACAGTGACATGACTCGGTCGAAGGTTTCCTGCTTCTTATCCTCTTTGTATCCGGCAGCTTGCCAGTGATTGCTATGGGAGCGATGGGGATCCCGATCGACATGGAGCACTGAGCAAGATACAGCTCATCACACGCACGCCGGATCAAGCGCGACTTGGAAACCTCTTGGCCCACCCGCTCTTCAGATCCGGCCCTGTCCATGGCATGATCGGTTTCCGCTTGAGAGTCGCCTGAACCCCATCCATTGACACCCGTGGGACACCGATCACACTGTAGCTGCCACCCAGTACCATCCGTGTTGTGCGACAAGCGACGGTGTTGACAAGCCTTCCAGAAGAGCACGTGTTCATTCGTAAAGCTTGGCGCGCGAACGAGAAGAATGCGACATGCAATCTGTTTCGCAAAAGCAAGAGAGCGCCCGAGTTGTCTCAATCTGGAACAGTGCCAGGAGCCGCCGTTCATTACTCGCGGCTGGGAAAGGCACCTTGATGAGACATTGGTCAGTCGTGCTGCACAGGGAACAGCGATCGAACACACCAGCATGTCCCTGCTCGCCTTCCGCTGCTTGGTACTGTGTGATGAATCTGCCGCTGGCGTCGAAACTGCAAGCTCTGGCCGGTCCAGCTACCTCAGCTGAAGCAGGAAACGAGGGAGGACATCCTTCGTAAGCTGTTACGCGGATGGAAAGATTGTTCTTGCGCTGGCTGATTGATGACTACGCTCATGTGTATCGGTGAATGACAGCGTTCTGTCCCGTGTGAGAGTGATGGAAGTGCGCGGTGGGTGAGAGTGGTCTCGCTGCAAGACGCCGAGAGGCTCATGCATTGATTCGTGTCAAGCACTGAAGCCAGACACCGTCAGTTGAGCGAAAGCTGACGACGGAGCATTGTGCGCCCTGTGCACTTGAGTGTGAGGGCTCGAGCTAGGTGTAGCACGACCTATTCTTCGTTTCGCAATCACGGCCAACCCCTCCACCGCTGCATTGAATCCATCAGTCGGCAGAAAAGAGGATGCCTGCCATCGTCCCTGCTGGTCAAGCTGTCGCTCGCCCGATGCGTGGGCACTGATCCTGGACCCAAAGAAAGGCGGCCAGAGGGAGTGCACTAGTTTCAGCACAGAGAGCGGGTTCAGCGTGGTTCCCGGGGAAATGCAGTTGACAGCCGGAGGGAGCAGAGCAATCTTCATGGCTTTGGCTGTTCGCCATACGTGGCGCCCCAGAATTGGAACAAGATGCGGGCATCCTTCTTCATCGACTTCTTTCGCCGAGATCTCCGGAACTGGGTCAGTCTTGCTGAGTGCTGCAGTCTTGAGGTCGGGAGCTATTTCGGACATCCAGGCAATAAGGAGGAAGTCTGTAGCAAGACGATGAGACAGACACATTTCATACGTAGCAACCAAATGTCACCCAAAGTAGCGAGGCATAAAGTGACGGCAGACGCCAGCTTTAGAGGTGTTCGTACTTGTGTAGGTCAGGATCGTCGGTCCGCGAAAAGTCTTGCATCCAATCATTTAGCAACGAGGCCATTTAGACGGACTTCCGGAACATATGCCGCACTGCGGTCAAAAGAGTAAGCCGTCCTTATCGTTTTTACTCTGCGCAATCTGTCAAGTGATCGTGCTTAGGAGCTGGTAACGGATATTAGTTGCACGCGAACCTTCAGAAAACGCATCCACAGCATCGACGGTTATGAGACTGACAGTCCCGTCCGATCCATGGCCGCGCAGTCAGGATTCTGCTCACTGCCCCGTCAGGGGCTATTCCGGCGTGAGAGCATCGACTGTGTGAGAGTGATTAGTTTGGCGATTTGGCGGTAGGGTCGATCCCTGCCAACGTACCCTTTCCATCAGGGCGTCTGAAACAGCAAGGCGTGCATGAGGTACAGCTTTGGTACATCTATTGCTTGTGAGATGAAATCCGATACATTCACAAGGGAATGCTGCGGCTCACCAGCGTCACATAGCCTTGCTGCGCACACAAGCCCAGACAAGATTGAGACCCCCAGTGTGCTCGGAACCGGCAATCTCCAGTGCGTTGGGTTCGTGATCCTCCGTGCTCCGAGACTACGAATCTGACAGATCCACTTGCATAGCTTCTCCACGCAGCAACACCTCGCGCCAATTCCACCGCCTCACATAGAAAGACAACCCTCGGCATCCACTCGCGCGCGCAAGGCAATTGATTCAAGACGGAAGTTGCAGTCACACGGATACGAGCGGGGCAATGCTCTCGTGGACAGGTGGAACGACTGAGGCGGGCCCAGCGCGAAAAGAATGATCCTAGCGTTGTGGGTGTGTTCTCATGAGACAAGGACATAGATTCGGGCGATCGACGGGGTCTGTAACCGCGCCCCCGGAGTTTTTATCCGGTCTTGCTGGGACGAAGATTTCATAAGTAGAGGTTGTGGCTTGAACGAGGGCCGTCTGTGACAGCATCTCTGTGACATGTTAATGCTGGAGTGACATGATGTCAACCACACGATTAAGTACCCTGACGACGACCCTACTGTCCTGCAAGTTCGAGACACGATTCATATATAATGGACACGCATACGCAGAAAGAACTAAGAGTAGATTCTAACTAAGCTTTTTTCATCTCTCTGAAGAATAGAATAAGAGAATATTGGAACACTTGGCATGTTGAGCAGCGTGATCGTACAGTTGAATATTTCGCCGGCAGTCTCTGTCTTTGGAACAAAATACCGGCGTAGTTCAGGAGGGGGAAACGAGAAGATGCAGCGATATCAAGCCTGATCTCTAGAGACCAATCGAACTGGAACCTCACCCAATGCAAAGGCTGTCCCAAACATGCTTGCGCCGGCCAGTATGCGTTCCATAGCACCCTCATGAGACTCCCCCGGTTAATCACCGTCTCAATCCGCCAATCATGGAGCAGATGCGCCAAAAACACGACGGCCTCGGTTTGCGCAAACCGCCGGCCGACACAGCTCCGCGGCCCGGCGCCGAACATGATCACATCCGTGTCGTTGACCGAGGACCAGCGTTCAGGGTTGTATTTTTCCGGAGAAGGAAAGTCATGTGGATTGTGACCTGAAATGAATCAGATACCGGGGCCGGAAACGAGCTGGAACGCAAGTCTGCTTACAGATGGCCATGATGTCCAACATGATTCGGGAGCCCTTCTGGATGACGATGTCGCGCTGAACCGGACGTTCGCTGCGGAGCACGATATCGTTGGGAACGTCTCTGGTCAGATTGATCGTGGCCGCTATGCAGGTATAGTCAGCATCGAAACACGAGAGTGATAGCCAAATATAAACTCAACGAATGAGACGATGAGCCTCGTTCATGCAGGCCAGGACGTATTTGAGGTCTTGTATCTCGTTGAGGTTCTGTTCGGCTTGCTATCAATATGCCACCGACATGCGAGAGAAAATGATCGGACCAGATTATCGGGCGAGGAGACGTTCTGCAGAATCTCCTGATAGGCAGTCTCTTGAATGTCCGGGTGCAATCCAAGCATGACGATCGTGGACATCAACGCGCTAGCTGTAGTTTCTGTCAATCGATTTAGTGAAGTTTCACACGCTCATAAGATGTCAGGCACCCACCGTTGCCCGCGAATAGTAGCGAAAGCATATTCGCAGTGACCTCGGGAGGATCCAGCGAATATTTTGCGTCGCTTTCCAGAGTGGATACCAGCTTGGTGAATATGTCCGCCACGTCATCTACTCCCGCAGCCTTATCTATCGAATATTCCGTCTGCCGCTGTGCAGCCAACTCATTGGAAAGGCTGATGACGGTCGTCCACGATTCGTTGATGTCCTTGAGCCTAGAGGCAGTACGACAGGTTAGACGGACGGCTGAGGCAGTCAGGATCGAGCGCACGTTTTGAAAGGCAGCTTCCAGAGCCATTTCGGAGAGATAAGGCGGACGATGAGGGTCTTTGAGGCCAATGACAGGGCTCGATCGAAAATGGAGGCACTGTTCGAGGAGCCGCTGCGCTGCTTCCAGTCCACTTCAATACCGAAACCACTACGACATATCATGACCAGGGTAAACTGAATTTTTTTAGCACATTAAAACGGCCGATAAGTTGTTCGCGAATGCTAACCCTCAGCAGCAGAGCATGCAAGTTTGTGATGGTCTGACCCGAGTGAAACTCTTTCTTCATGTCCGAATACACCGAAGAAGATTCGTTAACGATAGAGGTAAATCTCACGAAAAAATCAGCGACGGAGACAAAGCGAACCGATGAAAACATTAGATACATGTTCTGAGTAAACGCAGGCGCGACGATGCGCCTGTGCCTCCTCCAATCATCTCCGTTCGCAGACGCGATGCTGCTGCCCCAGACGCTGTGCGAAGGATGAGTACGGACTCTACTGAAGAAGCACAGGACGCACCCATCAGTGGTAAAATCAGCCGGACGCTCCAGGCCATTCTTGATCTCGTTCACCCAAAGCTGGCGCGCGACGTTTGTCGAAGCTGCGATGTACATCGGATTCCCGACAACCAGCGGTATAAGCGTGGTAAGATCGTTTTGGTGGTTGAAATGAGCTAAATAAAAAACATGGTCGATCATCAGAGCCCACGCGTGGCACTGAACGAGCGCACTGACCAGTTTTTCGCTGTATCCACGGCCACATGAAACCCATGCTCCATGAATTCGCAGGAAGAGTGTTTCCGGGAAGACTGTGCGGATCGAGGAGAGGACGGTAGCCTTTCAGGTGTCCATGCGTCTGTTGAACTCGGTTGAGAATGTGCGGGGTGCATACTGTAGCAGATAAGCAGGACGAAGGACATACCCTAAAGAGGCGAAAGAGGCGCAGGATGCGGTAGGCAACGACCAAGGCACCTAAACAAAGGGGAACAGAAACCATTCTGGCAGAGACGCGTTGTGGTACGATGTAAGTACGAATGCTGTGAGCATGTCATACGTGCGAGGGAACAGAGGACACAGCCCCGGAAGGAAGCTAGAAATCCGGCATGGCATCTCGGCATGTTGAAATATGGGATCCGATCATTAAATGAGGGAATGATCATCGAAGAAAATGGGTTCTTGATTGAAGTAAGATCGGGAATGAATCAGTTTTTTGAACCTTAATGGTCGAACTAGGTTGCCATGGATGAAAATAGTGGTGATTGCTCGAGCACAGTCATAATAAATAATACACGCCTCATCTATCATAGAAGTGTCAAACCATTGACTCCAACTCTAACATTCCAACCGATCTCACTAATCAGTGCGCACGGTCAAGTTGACGACTATATCGCGTGAGAAATCTGCAATCACGTTTCCGCTCCCGGGCGCCAGCTCCGGTACCTTCTCCGCAGACGAGAACTCGAAGCTTTGGAGAAACGCAATCGCCCAGACCTTCATGACGTGATGGGCAAAGATGCGGCCCTTGCACTTGTATTGGTCGTTAGACCAAGCTTCTCAGATGATCGGATACCGGGGCGCTTACCATGTGAGCCCCTGATCCCCAAGACATAATCTTCGCGGTCGGTGCCGTGTCTGTTTTCTCGACGAAGCGATCGGCCTTGAACTTCCCCGCGTCTGGATAGACATCGTCGTCGAAATGATAGGGCCGGTGATTCGCCATGAGCAGGTCACCGACTCGGAGAGAAATGGAGCTCCCTCTGTCCTCCGTCGGAAACTCGAAATCGCGGGCGACGACTCGGAGACTGCCAGGCAGGGTGCACAGCCGAAGCGTTTCCGTGACAGCCGCATCCGCACACGGAAACAGGCGGAATAGCAGCTCTTTGTCCGCAGCAAGCATGCTAAGGAGGTCTCCGTCCGACTGCTCCTCGACCGTGTTTCGAATCTCAGCCACGAGACTCTCCCGAGCTTCAGCGTCGTTGGCCAGATAGGCCATCATCCACCAGATCGACTTGAGCAGATTCGAATTGACGCTCCACAGAAGGCTGAGGAGACAGACAGCCTTCTCGTGGAGAGGCAGGGTCTCAACAGATTTGAGCGCGCTGGAAACGATCTCGACTGAGGTGTCCGCAAAGGGTCCATTCTCCTCGATGTATCCGACCATCACCTTCAGCAGTCGGTTCCGCGCGCTCTTGGCTCCCACGGCCGTGAACGCGATGGGACTCATCAGGGTTGTCATGGCGTCATCGAGAGTGATGAAGTCGTCGTATGTGTCCAGGGGGAAGGAAGGGCCGAATATAACACTAGTTAAAGTCGAATACAAGGTCCTCCCGATGACATCTGCCAGTTGATGGGACGTGTGACCGGACTGGGAAAGCTCCCGGAACCGCTGCCTCAGCTGCGCGTAGAGCGGAGTGCTGATACTGTTCGCGATTGCCCGCCGGGACAGGTTGCGCCCGAACGTCGGTAAGAATTGCTCATGCACAGGCACTGAGAGCAGCTCGACATCGCCAGAGCTTCCCAGCGCGACAAGTGCACGGAAGTGCGGCTCGCGGTGATCCAGGGCATGGTTGAAAAAGAAGTCCTTGAACATTGATGTCGACGAGAGAATGTAAAGATTCCGGAGACCGACATTCAGCTTGAAAGTCGAGCCGTAGCGCAATCTGCCAAAGACCCGAGAATCAGCAGCGAGCTGGAACATGAGCGCATTGCAAACCTAGATCGTTCTAGGAAAGGGATTCGACGCAGGTAGAAAAGCAGGCCAGTATCAAACCCGAAGAATCGAGTGGGAAGGGAGGGGACAATGGACCGGGGACGGTAAGAGTCGTAGGCCAATAAACCGAAAAAGCTCAAAATGAGGGTTCCGGGGACGAGATAAGTTGAGCTATCCATGCTTGTTACAGCCAGTCTCCACCTTCAACGGCATATATGTGTTCTGCTCTCTGGCAAGCGCCGTGACTAGATAGGCTGTGTGGTGTTACTCAGCGGTCCCGCTGCATACACGTTCACTCTGATTGGATGCCCGGTTTCTACTGAACGGACGAAGCATAGTTGATCAGACAGATGTCTTCAAGGCAGTCCCCTGATCAGATTAGCCAGAGCGGAACAGTATCAACTTGCATTGTGCGCGAAACCGAGAACTTAATCATGGGGTTCTAAAAGAAGAACATAGAAGCTCGTGTACTATAATCAATCAAGCCTACATCGCACTAGCAAGAACTTCGATTCTATCTCTCGTGATCAGCAGGCAGGCACACGAACTGACAATGGCGGCCGCAACGCTGAGGAGAAAGACCGAATCAACAGACCGAATATAACCCGTGAGAACAAGGTCGCGGATCTCGATTGGGAAAGAGAAAACTGCTTTGATGCTTGAAAGAGCTGTGGCGATCGCGATTGGATCTATCCCGGCGATTTCACCGAGATGATGTTTCAGCTGGGTGGAAAACACCGCTCCACCGATGCTGTGTATTTGGTTGAGCTAAAGCGCGCTCCTCTCCGAACTCTGTAACTCACGCGAGACCGACCGCAGCACCCAATGTCTGCGTAAATGTAACAACCGACGTTGCTCGGGAAAGCAGAGCTTCTTCCTTGGCGAAATCAGCTTGAACAACGACCATCTGTGCGCGTTCAGTGCCACAGCTTCAACACTGCGATCAATCAGTTCACCGTATTTTGGAGCGTCACGCCGAGCCCTACGCCGAGAACGAGCTGATATCCGATAATGCGGCCCGTCGATGAGTCACCATTGAGGGTAAAAAGCAATCCAGATCCGATTGCGCCGACCATGGGACCGAAAAAGAGGAAAGGCCACGGACGTCCGAATTTCTTTCAGCAGCAGCAGCACTCAGTATCTTGAATAATTCTGAAAGCTGACTCACGGTGATGACGATTCCGGAACATAGCGCCGCTGCACGAGGATGTGAGAAGGCTGAGGGCGGGATGAACACCGACCTAATGTTCCTGATCTGTGAAGCAGTTCAGAGATGGATCGAAAGTGGATCAGTCGAGAGGACGGACATCATGAAAGGGATTATATCGATCCCGGATCGCGTCGCGGAATGGCCCCGGAGCTGGTAAATGAAGGGCTATATCCATTCGATTCAGTAAGCACCACGCGCGTTATGAAAGATACATAGCTACATACCAGATAGTACTGCGAAGCGTCATTCGGGGTCAGGAAAATCTTGAGCAACAAGGCTCACCGTTGCAAGTATGAAGCAGATATTCACGAGAAACTTACATGTGGATGTCAGTGAAAGAAAATCAATGCTTGAGACGAGAGCGAAACTCACCCCTTCGATACATGGCCCAAGAAGGTTGCGCCGCGTAAACATTGCGAGAGGGAGAATACTGTTTTCGCCCGTCTTCAACTCCCATGCGATAAACGCCAGCAAGAATAACCCAGACTAGATCGGAGATCAGACTGCATACGTTCACAGCAGTGGTTTTGAACCTACCAAGACCAGTAGCGCGATGACAACAGGGTCGTTCCAAGCGCGCACATTTCCCCCCCATTGAATCGGAATCAGGAACAGAGTCACCATCCCTACGCTGAGGAACACGCCGATCCAATCCAGAGATCTAACTGCCTGCATGGTCGTCTCACCCGACTCAGCTGCTCGAATGGCGGGCAGAAAGGCTACGATAGTGAGCAGAGCAACGCCACCAATCTGATGCGCCGTCAATACTGCAAGGCAGATGTAGGGATAGATAAAGAACCAACGGACCGGGAGATTGATATCTTGACAAACATGATGAGAAAGCGTCAACCATGAACAAAGCGAGGAGCAGTATACGCACAGAAACACCAGCTAGAGTGCGGCTTGAACGAGCCCATACACTACAAAGTACATGACTCACCGCCACGAAACATGGTCTGTTCATGGAAGAGAGGTCCAATGAGTGATGCTTCGTAGCATCAAAAACAGAAACAATCACCTGAGAAAACACCGCCGAGAAGCGGCCCAACGATTGAGGCAATGGCGTAGACACCTCCGAAGACGCCCATGAAAACCGGTCTTTGCCGAATGCTTGTAACCTGAAGAGTATCATCAGTTACCGTCTACGAAGTGAAAAACTGAACAGGGAACAATCCTTGGCTATAATGTACATTACCGAGACCATGAGACCGGAGGCGCCAACACCAGCAAACACTCTTCCGAATATCAAGACATTCACGTTCGGAGAAACAGCACAGAGCAGACTGCCAACTTCGAAAATGCCGACGGTCACCAGCAGAACGGTTTTGGCAGAGAAGATCCCGAGAATGCGCCCAAAAAAGAGCATGAGACCAGCCTGTGAGAGTTGTGAGCGGGAAAAGCGTAGCTCATCCACAAGATGCTGCGTGCCTGGGGAAGAAAGTAGGCACTGGCGATCCACGACAGATCCGAGACTGCATTGAAATGAGAGGCAATGGTTGGGAGCGCGGTGGAAAGGATAGTCTGGTCCAAGGCGGTAAGGGCGAAGGCGAGCATGAAAGCACTAGCACAAGGAATCCATCAAGGCTCAAGTCTAGCGGGCATGAATCAGGGGACTCAACGTGAACACCAGGGCCAGTCGCGCCGGATTCAGCTTGACGGTCGGCCCCTGATCGTCAGTCTGCGAGACGTCGGTAGCGCTAGTATCTTCAACGTCTTTCTCCGTCATCGGCTTGCGTTTGGGTCGACAAAAGGGGAGCAGGAAAGCGATTTGGATGAGGTCGAGTCAACGGAAGGGTGAGAGCTGTGACAGTGGGCTGCGCGCTTCTCTCTGACATCGTGGAATCTTCACAATAACGTTCCAGCGCGGCACGGATTCGAGAAGGCTGTTAGACGTTGGGGCTCATTTCGAGCGGGCACATATCTTGATCAAAGATCGGGAAAGTAACAAAGGGGCGAGAAGCGTTACGAGAGCGACCCAGAAGGACTTGGAGTTCAGCGACACCCGTTCCAAGCACATGAGAAGTAAAATTCTGCATCGTGTTCATCAGCCGTCGTTTTCAGGGTAGGAGCCTAGGAGGTCAAGTTCCGAGAGTTGAGCGATCCATCATTCCGCTGCCATGGGGTGGTCACGTCAGCATCTGTTTTGATCTCTCTCCGCTCCGTCACCACAGCCTTGTGGATTCGGATTCCGGACTCGTGCGGCGAACGAGGGCATCAGCGCAAATGCGTCCTTTGACACCTCTGTGATTTCTTTCCGGCTCCGATCGATCCAAAGTCGATCTGGTCGCCTACGTCGCGTTTCGAAAGCAGTGTCGCTCTTACCCACGGCAGCTTTTTAGGTAAACTGGCGGGGACCTAGGCTCACTGCTTCACTCCTGTGGAAACAGCGATGGCTTTCCATTTCTCTGCGCTCTATCCGGGAGACAACTTCGCCACCGCGTCGGCCAGGCACGAGCAGTATCTGTTCGCCCAATTGCGGCTTCGACCCGGCATGCGCGTTCTTGCAGTAGGATGCGGCTCCGTACGGGCATGCATTGAGCTGTTGCAGTACGAGCAGGTGTACCTAGTCGGAATCGACGAAGACGAGCACAATGTAACAAGCCCATCCTCTTAGCGCCTTCCTCGTCCGAACTGACCGTCTGCGCGAAGGTTCGCGTTGCTCAGGAGAGCGCTGCGAGGAGCGGATTCGTGTCTCGAGCCGAGTTTGTGTGCCGTGAGTCCGCCCTTCATTTCCTTCACAGTACTAATCTCGATCCTTTCCAGTGAGTCCTCATGCCTGTGCAGACTACTTCGGGCCGGCGTCCTTCGACGCCGTTTTCAGCATTGAAGCTCTCAAGGTCAGTCGGGAGTAGATCTGATAAAATGTCTGACATGCATCCAGACGGCTTCATCCTTCCTTGATGCCTATGTACCATTGGCCACCGTTCTAAAACTTGGCGGAATGGTACGTGCGCTCCAATCATCTCACACGCGAGGATAGTGACTGGAACTCAGATGGGCCTTTACGAATGGTGCTGGACATCAAGTGCAGACCCGATGTTTCTCGATCACATCCGGCTGGCTGAACAACTGGAGCACCAGACCCACATCAGTCATCGGCCACTCGGTGATCGCACATATCAAGCAGCTGCGGCTTCCGTGGAGCGGACTCAGATGTTGAGCCTTATCGAGACTGAAGATCTTGCTCAGCGACGCTCCGCGCTGTCTTGGTATGCACCGCTCCTCCGGGGATTAGCCACATCCTCCACTCGCTGGGCATCTGACTCGGACTGCGATGGAACGTTCGGGGCATTAACTCGCGGGGGGGCTGCAATCCTGGCCCGAGCTGGGCAGCTCAAAGTGAGTACTGTCTCGTCATCGGGTTTCAAGCTGATTACGATTCCCTAGCTTTTCACGCCAATGCTCCTTCTTGTTGCGCAACGCGTTTGACTCGGGCCTGATAGTCATATCGCCAAATCTGACTGAATCTAGTTCTCCTTTGCTTCCATCACTCCGTCAGGTTTCATGTGGTCTTCCTTTGTGTACTAGCGTTTCTCTTCCCGTGAGACGATGATAGTTCTTGAGCTTAAATACTTGGGTACGATTGTATTATACATCAGTCGTACGCGCTTCCATGTCTAATTCTACGTCGAGCGAAAGTCCAGCCGCATTGGAAGCTGCCCTCCAGCTCATCTTCTCCGAAATGGAGAAGACGCGCACGGAGAACTACTCTCAGCGTCCGCAGCCCATCATGTAACACGTGCACAGGCTGACCCGAGCCATCAGTCTCATCGATTGCATTCCTTCTCTACGACATCATCTTCCGGATCGACAAGGAGGTCAGTCGAATTATAGAAGCACTGGCGTCTTTGATGCGTATGACCTGCAGTATGAATACGTCTGGAAGAGCCGTGGTTCAATCGTCAAATATCTCTATTTCTTTGCACGATATTATGGGCTCCTTTATAATGCGTGGGTTTCGTGACTGTCCGGTGCGCACTAAAGTACTAATCACGCATGCAGGACCATCTTTGTCGGTATGATCCTTCGACCCTCCGGTTTAGAACTGCACGATAATTATTGCACCCTAGTCACCAATATCGTCGGCCTATCCCCTTCTGTATGCAACTTCTACGTGCGTTGTGCCCACAAAATCTCATCTCATTTCTAGTTGTAATAATTCCTGCATTCACCGCTATCAAGCGAAATCTGATGAAATCACATGAAGCTGCGCTAAGTGGTTCTGGTACGTTATAATGTGTGTCGGTTTTTATTCCATACCCAAGCTTCCACTTATACGGCCGTCTGGACAGGGCCGGCGACATCATATTCACAACCGTCGTGAACATCATCCTGATCATGCGGATCAACGCGATGTACATGCACAGCAAAAAAGGCCAGTAATGACCTCGTCGATGCGTTCAGAGACAAGTGTTAACTTTCAAGGATCATACAGTACTGGCGTTCCTCATTAGTCTTCTTGCCAGTGAGCGACTTATATTCGTTTGATCTGTGGGTCGGACTGAACACTTTCAGCGGAATTTGGGGTACGTTCATCCGGCAACGGAAAGATGCAGAACTTGAATTGTCTTGCTAGCTCGAGCTATATTCTTCCATCAAGAGCGGAATAACTACTGCGGAAACAGTCTTTTCCGCTCCACTCGGAATGCCTTGGCCAGGATGTTTCGCATATCCCAAAGTCAAATTCACCTTGATCTGTTGGTCCGTACACCGTTGTCTGGGATAGCAAGTTGACTGATAAACTGGACAGGATCCCAACTGCCATCATTGCAAGTGGGTGGTTGGGTTGGGTTATTTTTCGCACTCATCACTGATTATCGCAGCGATATTCTTCTTGATGACATTGGCCACGATGTTCCGTCAGAATGCGACAAATCTGCGATCTATGAAACGCATTTCGCCGTTGTTCGCCTCCTTTGTCGGAGATGGTGTGATCTTCTTCTTCTTGTATGTGTCTATGTCTGCCGTTACAGTCGAGCACCGACCCAGAATCTCCAGGATCTTTGCAATTCTCATGTCCACCATGTTCATGACACTCTTATTCAAGAACGCGCTCGCCAACTTTCTCGGCGGGTCAGTATTCTCGTGCCTTGGCTGTCTACTAGACAATGCTGATAATCGTGCATTGCACAGGTGGCTTATCGCAATCTACTCTTTCTCCGTGCGTTCATTCCCATCGGTTGACCTCAAGCAGGGGCTGACAGTTATCTTTTCACTCGATTACAGGCATGTCGACTGATTCTCAACCTCCGTGAAGTCTCGCAGCGGTCTCTGGAGGATACAGTGATGCTGCACAGCACAGCTTTCAACGAAAGTACTATCCGGAGTCCGGTCTTCGCATCCGGATCGACCATCAATGCCAGTCGCGGTCACGTTGAATCGTCGGCGGACCTAGAGGTGCGAGACATGCGATTCCGACGCCAGACTGTCGATATGTAGTCATTTTGTCCATGTCTTAATCGGACCGTCGGATCGTTATCGTAGCCCTTGTGATGACACTGTACAAGCTATGCGAACCATCAGTTCTCACCAACAGCGGAGAGGAAGCAGACTGAACCGTTTAAACGGCGGGCCAACGACCCTATCTCTGAATCGCAGACTGCGCTCGATCGATCACACGCTGTGCGCTACGAACGGCAGAGACACAAACGAACAACCGCATAACCAAGTCAACAGGTGCGGGACTGTACTTCATTCAGGCGACTCATCACAGATTGCAAGAACTGGCATCATTGTAACCACGTCGTGGATTCTATCAGGAGGGATAGACCAAAGCGCTAGCAAAGTTCAGTATCTCGAGGTCAAGCCGGCTGCGTGGCTTCGAACACTGACCCAGCCCCCTATTGCCAACACCAGACAGGCGTCTCACACTGTACATCTTATCACACAACTGGCTGCAGGCTGAGGAAGGCACCGCCGAATGCTTGCAGGGTATTGCAGTGGTAAGGAAGAGGGAACTGGCTGGAATGGGAGTGCGCCCAGATGTGTAGCCCGCAGGTGAGCCCTCACACCGCCCACCTTGAGAATCACTCAGATTGAGGGCTGATGAGAGGACAACGCGCGCTAGTGGGGTCGTCTGCACCAAACTTTCGCTGCCTGCGCAGGCCGAGACGCGAGCGACTCTTAGAACATTGGTGAATCTATTTGGCAAGGAGGCATCCGATCGGACGAGAGTGCGCTACACAGAAGGAGCTGAGGCGGTAGGTTCATCTGCCTGTCCCTTTCTCTTGTTTGCCAGAGTTATCTCCAGCTGTTCAAAGGCGCTCAGCGCGGCGCTTCGACTATCACCTGCTCCTCCCCCAACCGCATTGACTCTCTTCTGTTCCAATCTCACTGAAGAGGGCCAATCTATTTCCGGGATGTGTGCGTCGGCGAGCTGTATGCGCAAGACTTCGACTGACGCGCGATACGTCGTCATAGATTCGTCGTACAGATCGTAGACGCAGACGGCGCAGCCTGACATGCAGCATTCTGTCCAGGAAAGACGTCTCAGGCATGCATCTGCGGACAGAGGAGCTTGAGAGAGCGTACCATCCGACTCAGGCGCTTTGGGCATCTCTGGGACCTTGAAGCCGCGAAAGTACCCATCGACACCCTGTCCGATCGGTGACGCTCCGACGACCGCGCCCATAGTGGATTCAGCATCTTCCTGGAGTCCGCTGAGTCGTGACATCTCGCTTTCTTGGGCTTCCCTGCCCCGAACGGACTGCTCCAGACGGCGCCAGCGGAGTGTCAGGTTCTGGCCACCTCGGACGAGATTCTTGCGGCCGAAAGTCGACGAAACAGGAGATGAGAGCGAGAAATAGCGGCACACGGGAGGTGATCCAAGCAGAATAGGTCTGAGCAGTATGCGGAGCATAGATGCATGATGATGCGACGGGAGTCAAGAAGAGAAATCACTTGTAAGCATAATTGACCCATACTGATCACTTATTGAGAGGGTGCTTAGTCAGGGACTTCGTAAAGACGGCCGCAGTGGAGTACAGCTCAAGGTACGGTCGCAGATAGAGATTATCACGTTATGTGCTCGAATTAGGTGGATGGTAAATAATAAGGGATTGATAAGTATTTAAGATTCAGGTCGCGAGACGGCCATTCAAGCTCAATGCAGACAGTAGACATGCGTATGGCGTTCACATGAACTCTTCACCTCAAGCAGGGGCCACCTGACCAACGATCCATCGATGCTCCCCAGGACCTGCCTCCACACTCGTTGTGGCGCACGCAAGTACCTCAAACTGAGAATTGAAGGAATAAGCACGTCTGTTGTCGCCGGCAGGCTCAGATCTTCAATGCCCTGGTGGTGTGCGAGGAAGTCACACAGAGCCTGGGGAGTAATCTGGAGATTGCCCTGAAGTAAGACACGCCGGAGATGGTGAAGGCGGAGAGATGCCAGAGGGGTGGAGAGGTCAGCGCGGGGGCCGTATGCAAGACAGTCGATCTCAAGGCGCTCGAGATTGGGGTTCGACTGCAGCATGTCGAAGATGGGGGCAAAGACGCTGGACCGTGTCGTTGCCAATGACGGAAGCGAGGTCACGGTGAGGATGAACGTCTTCAGCTGACGGAAGTGAGAAATCTGAATGACTAGACTTGAGAAGGGGCATCAGTGTTAAACACTGAAGGACGAACCGAGCTTGCGTCGAAAGATCCCCCAATGCGCAACTCCACCTTCTCGAGAAAGGAACTCGCTATCCCCAGCGACTGGAAAAGGCCATTCGGATTGAGGTTTGCATGTGTGCCGGTGTGATCAAAGGAGAAACGCCGCAAATTGTGCATGTTAGGTATCGCTTTCACTAGCCATGTACCCTTGTCTGCTGATCCTTGCGGAGTTCCAGATATTGAATACATCTCATTCAAGAGCGCCGTATATCCCCATCGCTTCCTGTGGGCGGTGCGAATGTCGATGCGGTGGACGCGTGCAGCAAGGTATGGCCGAAGGGCTAGCAGTGTCCACACAGCGTCGTCCAAGTCAGCTTGTATCTCTCGAATGTACAGGTGCCCTGGTACAATGACGCAGTGCAGGTATCGGGACGTCTGTGCCAGAGAGAATAGGTCCGCTCGTCGCGGAAGGTGTGACAAGATGAGTTCGAGGAGCTCGACGGGGAGGGCAATGAGGATCGTCGGTCTGGTGAGCGGCATGGTAGGTTAGAAACAGAGGGGCATACATTTTCGAACGTTTATATGCGTACCAGTACACTGCCCGTCTCTTTCGATTGTGTCGCGGTCTGCCAGCCCGCTGCGAGACTCCCGGATTGGGAAGATGTGTGTCGCGACAGCGGGGCCGGCACAAGGATGAGAGCGATGTCATACGATCAATATCGAGAGTGAATCCGTTTGAAGCGTGGTCTGACGGGGAGGCTCTGGACTAGGGAGCAGAACCCTATGCTGTGTGCGCAATCGAGGTGGTAAGAATGACAACAAATATTGTCAAACCCGGTGATGGCCGGGACACGAATCAAGAACCCTAGTCGGAATGTATAGCAAACAATGATTAATTTTTGCTTCAAACGCCTAGAAGCAACACTATTCAGGATACTCTACGATTATGGAATTAGGCTAAGAAAGAAGTTTCTGGATGCTAGGGTTCCTTTTCCAAGCTAAATGACATGAAAATGCCCACGCAGACAAGGACCAGAAGCAAAGCATACACCAAATAGCCCCCCAACCAGTTGTTCTGAACGGAGACAGCAAAGAGCGAAGATGCCATGAATGGTGCCATGGCACGGGTGATTGTCGCGACCATCTGACTGAGAGAGTTGGTTTTGGAGAGCGCCGAGGGCCGCGGCACACTCCGGACTATGAAGATCTGTAGTGAAGCTGGAGTCCAATAGTCAGTGCCAGTCAAGAGATGTGAATAACAAACTCTACCGAATGTTGTGCCCACCCAGAGCCCAGCTGTGAGCTGGATCGTGATGACGCACCACACCAAGGCATCGACCCGTCCTGCTCGCGTCGCCAAGAGCGAAAGTATTGGGAAGGCACCAAGACAAATTAGGAATTGTGAAAACGCGGTGATGTACGATGTACGCGCGCCATATCGTTTGATAATTCGAGCCGGGACAACCAGTGCAAAGACGGTACTGATGACGCCAGAAATCCCGCGTGTCATTCCAATGTCGTATGGACTGAATCCAAGTCCACCATTCGCGATACTTGTAGCATAAACCAGGGGAAAGAGCACTTGAGAATCATGGATGTCACAATCAAAATTCTTCGAAGAGCAGATTCGATCCAGACCTTGGTATGAAGTATGAACGAGAGAGAGAATTGCGGAATTGACCAAGGGGATTGTTAACTTGGGGGTGAGGAGCTCCCAGACATCGGGAGCAGCGTCCTCTGCCTTGGACGTTGGCGATATGGATCCATACACATTGGTTTCTGCGGCCGTATCGTCTCCGAGCAGCGGGCCTGCTTCGTCAGTGCGTTTATTTTGACTAGCTAAGATGGCAGGCGAAGTCTATGGTCGTCATTCAGTTTGGATTAAGAACTGCAGCCGGCGCACTTCCGCTCACCTCCTTCAGAGCAAACAATGCGAACAAGAATGTCAGTAGCGATGAAAGGCCGACCACGGCACAAGGGAGGAGATAAGGATTCTCCTGAAGGATCCGAAGCTTTCCGAGAGATTCGGGGAATCGCTTCGCTGGTTCAGAGAGTAACCCGCCGATGACAGGCCTATTCGCGCTATCAGCGATGCGATCGTTGTCTAAGACCGATGTATCGTCACCCGAATGTGCTACTGGAGCTCCAAGCGACCGGAGTGAATGACATCACTTGCGCGAGATTCGACTTGTCGGATAGCTGCTCCAAGTCAAATCAGAGCGTTGTATGTTTTTATCCCGCTCACCTCGACCAGCACAGTTTGCACAACGCCTAGCAAGAACCGCTCAGGTTATATGACGAATAGGTAGACTGAACGCACCCAAGTTCCCGTTGAAGATCCCCTGAGCACCCCGCCAGAACAACAGCCCCCAGAAGGTCTTGGAACAGCCGAATCCGAACAGCGATACGGCGAGACCGAGAGGGCCAATGAGAATAATCGGCCTGCGTCCGAATCGATCGGCAGCCCGAGCCCAGATATACACGGATAGGAATTTTGTGATGAAAAACAATGATTCCTTTGGATTGCGAGTGAACTCTCTCGCCGATTGGACTGGTTGCCTAGCTCACCAACACGCCGGCCCAATACCCAGTCTTGCGCTCATCTCCGCCAGTGATGCCAGTGTCTTGAACGAACTTTGGAACAAACGGGAAGATCACTGTACTGCAACGCAGGGCGTAAGAAAGTCTGTGCGGGATCGCAAATCACCTCTTACCCGGCAAAGCCCTCGCCAGCCTGGAGAAGGGCCGCAATGGTGATTTGTAGCTTTGGGAGTGGGGTCGACGGTCCAGGATTGAGCGACATCGAGTAAGGCTGGAGCGCTCAGACTGCGTCACTTTCTTTAAGTAATGGGGCCCAGGAACCTAGAAGCCGAAGTCATTTTTGGCGTCGCGCTAGTGATGAATCGGCGGTAAGTGTAATAGAAGCCGCCGAGGTCGCTTCCCACCTACGGGCTGTCAATTTCAATATTCAGATCCGAATTGGCCAACAAGATGTTTCTACGGAGCGGGAGCTTATCATACTCGGTATCATATCACGTTGGTGACGCAGGCCCCGGTATCTGTCTGAAAATCTGAAAAAAGCGACAAACGGTACCTACTGGTCTCCTTGATGAGAGCGCGTGCCGGCGTCCCACTCCTAATCCGTATCGCACGCCGCAGAGCAACCAACTATCACAGAGGGTCTCAGAGATTGATCTCTTTTGATTAGGCGTGTGATGACACGGGGACGCAGCACGTACTGTATTCGACACCCGTGATAGTATGAAATACCTCGGAATTTCATATCACAGTACATCGTAAATCGTATACTACAGTGTGCGGAATCTTAGATTTCCCGCGAAAAAGTAGGCAGTCTCATTGTCCTCCTCGATTATGCGATGGTCCTGCATGCGTTGCAAGAGTCCTTATGCGTCAAGCAGCATTTGATACTAGTTCCTAGAAAATCAGCTGAGGATGGAACCAGAACTTGCCGCACGTGTTCAGATCTCGGCTGTGAACCAGCTGGTGTAGTCGCACTAGCATTATGCGACATTGAAGCATTATCCTGAGTTCTGGTTGCAAAGTCCTACTTAGACTCCTAGTCCCAAGCACGGCCGGAGAATCTGGTTACAACGTCTGCTATGACAATGGCGAGGCCATCGAGCCACATTTCACAATGGTTTATCAGGTCTGGGACCCGACTGAACAAAAACCGTTGCGAACAGAACTATTGTCACAGCTGCTGATGCACTCCCGCCACGACGAGAACGCATTTCTGATTGCGACGCCAGCAGGCCCACTGGGAGCGCGGAGTCAAGTCGCGCCGTGAAAATGCCTTCCGAAATCTGCGACTATCTGATACGAGTAGGGTCTCGTACGACTGGGAGCATAGCATCAAGATGTAAATTATTTGAATCGTTCGAGCGCTGATTAGATACATCCGTCTATCGGACATGACATCAGTACCATATCCTGGACACGACAGAGTCACTCACTCGGGACCGCCTTGCCCGCGGCATTGACATGCGTCTTTAACGTGCTGCTCCCACAGAGCAGACCGCGCACGAAGGCCTCGGCGACGACAGTGGCACCTGCGACAGACGTGTGAGTGTGGTCTTGCGGGAAGTAAGTCACGACGGTCTGTGCACGGGAGTCAGGTCTGGACACTCGGGTGCAGGGAAGCTGGAGACACCTTTTGGCCGATCTTGCCATAGGCTTGCGCAACGTAGGCGTAGTGGTCGACGTAGGACGCGGTCGTGTTCCCTGCAACCTGTAGAGTGCATCAGGAACGACTCGGAATTGGGCCATCTGGAGCAAGCGAGAGTTACCTCTTTCATGTAAGGAACGAATCTTCAGGCGAAGTCAGTATCAGCACAACAGACGAGCCATAGAGTGGGCCCTAGTACGAACCGTGGCGCTATGGGTTACTCAGATCAGCTGCTGTACAACACAAGATAGTAGCAGAGACCCACGTGGACCAATCACCGTGTTTGCGCTGTTCCAGTAATCATCTAGGGTAGGGCATCAGACGATTTCCGAAATGGCCACGAGCCACGTACCGGGAGTTTGCGAAGCGAGGATGACATGGGCGCCCTTGGCCTGGAACGCCTTCGTCGCGTTAGTCATGTAGTAGTTGAAGGTGTGGCTGCGCTTTCCGTCTTCCATCGGTTGCAGACGAAAAAAACAGCACTCACATCACATGCGTGCTGCCATCCGACTCATCCACGACCGTCGTGGCTGTCAACGAATCTCCGTAGGCGTCTTCTCTTCCGTTGTCCTCTAGCCCATCTTCAGTAGCGGTCAACACACCGACCGGGTCGATAGTACGCACTGATGCCGGACGACCCGTCATTATGCCCAAACTCGAGCACCACAAAGTCTCCAGACTTGACGGAGCCGAGGAGCGTCGTGAAGCGGCCTTCTTCGGTGTAACTGCGTGCACTGCGACCCGCAACAGCCTTATTCACGACGGGGAGAGTGAGCAACTGGCCGAGGTATTCGCCCCAGCCTGGGAGGAGTCAGTGATTGGCCGAGTACAGTAGCATGGTCATTGGTCAAGCACCGTTAGTCGACCCGCCTCCTCCACCGCGTGCCATCGTCGAGTCTCCTGCGAGATACACCGTCTGGGCTGAGACGAGAGATGCGGAGGCGAGTATGAGAGACGTGAAAGTCTGTGCAATCATCATCGACAGGAGGGGGTGTTGCGAAACAGGTCCCTCCGTGCACTGGACCCCGTTCCTTTATGGAGTGCGTGGGGCTGGGACGCGTTTCCAAGCAGCGGAACGATGTCATGGCGGCCGATACGCGGAAGCGGGTGCGCGTGATCCAATAGACGAGAGAGAAAACTGAAAAGCCTCCGCGCGCGGTGAAATTCGAACACCAAGCCATTGGGCGCGGTCTCCGCCATCTGACCCTGTCGGGATCACTTGAGTGCGATGCACGGGCCGTGCGGAGAGATGTAATCAGTCATATGGGTGGCCATCCGCAAACTATGATTTATCCGCGGCTACTCTTGTCAGCGATAGAATGTCCGGGCGCAGAAATGCACCATTCGATTCTCGAATGAAGGGTCAACTTCTCTCGAATTCAGACGACCGTCGATTGGTGGCGACGATCATAGCGATGGTCGTGTCACGGTCACAAGCACCTCTACACGTGCGTAGACCCGACATGATCATGATGACATCGATCAGGGAAGGAGAACATTGAGAACGACCCCGGAGGAATTCGACTGCTGGAAACAAATCCTTATCACAATGAGGGACGCAGGCCCCGGCACCTGTCCGAGAAATCTGGAAAACAGAAAAACGTTCATGAGGCATCCCAGAACACATCATGCCGTGTCAAATGTATTCAGTTACCGTGCTGTGGAAGTTGAGAGACGGGAGGTTGAACCGGCACTTCATTATTGACATAGTAGTATCTATCGGCACGCCAATTTCCAAGCTTAACACTTCGGGGGACTAGTATATGTATATTTCCCCTCCCAGATGTGATCCCATTGCAAACGTGGATCCTGAGCTCATTTCTCCATGAAATTTTGCGAAAATTACATCCACATGTAGCTTAAGGTCCCCTGGACCCGGGATCCATATGGATCCATGGGTCTGAGGGGGTGGGGCTGCTGCGCAGCCCCACTATGAAGGCGTCTTTTTTGGCACCCTAAAAAACTGGCCCGATGATCAGAGGATGGATCCCAACCGCAGTTGACTCAACACTCACAATTTTTTTTGCGCATTCTAACATAGACATATGGAGGATTACACATGCCAAGTTTCATATTTATTCAACCAGCCGTCGTGTTGCAATAACAACATCTTCCTGCTGTGTAGTCAGAATCACTGATGCTGATTAGACGGTGGATCCCAGAGGCAAACCTCCTCAAATTTATTTGCTCATTTGAGAAAGTCTGTACTAAAACACGTGTAATATGCAGTGGATTACACAAAACAGCTGTCCCTGCGTTGTGGAGGGATGGGGAGCTAGAGCAGGGCGAGGAGACAAGAAATGATGGGAGCTGTCAACGAAGTCTGGGAGAACACGGCAAGAATCGTGGATCCCAGAGTCAATTCCTGTACAACGTAAAATCCTCGCCACTAAAATTGAAGGTCAGCATGAGCAGAACATTTCTGGTGACTCAAATTTGCCAGAAAGTGTGCCCAGAGGCCAGGATCCACGCACCAGAACAGCTGACGGAGGGTGTGACGCCGTCACCACAGCCTCGCACATCCTCGTCTCGCACCCTCACGGACTCCGCGCACGACGGGCACTAGAACGCACGAGCTAGCACAATGGCAGCATAACGGTAGACGGATGGTGGAATCAGACAGCAGCGGGTGGAAACGGAATGGGAAAATGTCCAGGCTTGCCAGTGGAACATGTAAGTCGTTGTCGCGGTCACGGAGCTCACGGGGACGCCTCGCTAGGTACATGCGCGAAGCCCCGGCGCACAAGACCAGAGGAGCGAGATGTGTGCAGGGAGAGGGCTTTGGAACGCTTTCCACAGGTGCGTTTCATTTCTGCACCCATGTCCACTTGACCTCCCTCTGTCCGCCAATAGCTCTCGATGTATCTCACCACATTGGGCGTTCGCCATGCACCTTGGAACCGGACACGCACTCACCGCAAGTCGCTCTGGGCCTTTTATGGCATCTCTTGTACCGCGCTCTCATCACTTGCGCAGTTTGCATAACCGCAACAGGGCAGCTCTTGGCGACCGAATTTTGGCGATCAGACCGGCGAACAAAACGGGGAGCACAGGGCAGACAAGTTGGAAGGGCGAGTGGACGCAGTGTAGGCAGAGTGTATGCGCACACAGTCCGCAGGTGCGTTTCCCAGCACCTTTACCCCCATTGTCCGCCAATTTTACATCTCGCGCCGCATCCACACCAGAGCCTCTCTAACACTTGCTCAACCGGCATCGCCTTATGCAGCGGATCACGGTTTTGGCAGTAGCGCAAACCCTTGCTGCACCCTGAAATCAGACGCAACGCATCGTCATTTCGACCTCATGCGCCAACCCGCTCACTTCTCCCGACGCAACCTACACCGCACCTGCACATCCTTGTCGGCCGACACAACAACGCACACTGCGTTCTTTCAGACGTCGCTGGGAAGTGCAGGAAAGAGACGCAAAGTCTTGGGGCTAATCTCGGGAGCACACATGGCAACACGAGCTCACTTGACGACTGCGCAGCACGAGCAGTCCGCCCACCGCCCTCCTTTGACACTAACTAGGATTCGTCTCGTGCGTCCCAAAATCGGACGCTCTGCCTCAGCTCACAGAAGACATCGCGGACTCCGTGGCATCACAAACGGTGCGGCGGTCCGCTCTTTCATCAGACACCCATTGCACATCTTGAATAGCAACACACGGCACTTGACGAACGCAATGGGAGCATGAGTTGGGGATTTTGGAAGGTGGAGGGCACGGATGAAAGGGGGGGGAGCTCTCTGAGATCGTGAATGGGGGAGCAGTCTGTAGGCAAGCTCATTTCACTAGCTACCTTTTACTGTCCGCCGTTTCGACATCCTGTACAAATACACTTGTCATGAGCGCGTCGTGCTGTTTCACACCACCACGAACAGATTCCTGGTGCCAGGCCGACTCGTGTAATTGCATCTCTCTGTTTCAGCGCGCGCCCTTCCCTCATTGATCATGTTTTAACCCAGTGACATGCTGAACAGACTGATCCACGCAGGTGAAATGATCCATGTCAGCCCGGACGGGGCTGTGCCCCAGCGAGATCACCAGCGCGCCGATCCTGCCGTACGCGCGTTGCTGGTTCTCTTGTCTGAAGGTGTCTTCACGTTTTGCAGACGATCACGGAGTGGGCGCGGTTTTTCACGGACAATGGCGTCAAGGGCGATTCGAATCTGATCTATGCGCCGTTCCGGATAACGGACCGGTGCTACGCGTCATCAGCATTCGCGCCGTATGCCTATTCCACGAGTGACCAGTTGTGCCGCCGGATCTTGGGTGCGCTGCGTCGTTGTCCGATTTCTTCCACACTCCGGACTCCAGACCGGATACTAGTGTGTGGTTCCTGGATGTCGATGGTGCACGACGAGACGCTGCCCTCTGTGCCTTACACGTGCGTCCGCCCGATTGATCTGGTCGACTGGGTCGCTCAGAGTCTTGCACACTCACAGGTACACGCCGAATTACGGCTGGGACTACGCTGGGAATCCAATCACTCGTACTCCTACCCCTCACTACTACTGACGTGGTGTACACGAGTATATATACCCATTATTTAATATTGAGAACGCATGCATGTCCGTGTGGGGCGACATGAGCTAGAACTGCACCACTGTCCCCCGCCGCTCGGAAACGACAGCGACGACCTAGCTCGCCATGTCGAACACCCTGCCGCCGCGGTACGCAACGAGCTCCTCCGTGCGCGAGTCCAACCCGAGCGCGTGGTCAATGTTGGTCGACGCCATCGCATGCATTGTTGCGCGATAGATCACCCCGGCGGAGTTCACCTGCGTTGTGGACATTTCGAATCGGGCGCTAGGGCGAGGTAGACCTGTTCGATGCCGATGCCGACGTTTACACCGTGTTTGAGCAGGATGGTGAACGACGAGTCCTGCGTGAGTGGCGAGCCGGGGATGCTTTGTGTTAGGGTCAGCGCCTGCAGGTACGTACATACATTGAAATATGTGGTCCTCACCTCCTGCGCATCTCGAACGTCGCGGGGAACGGCTTCCTTGGGGCGATGACGACACTGACCCCGGCCTGCGTGATATCCGTGGCGAGCAGGTGCGCCTCGAACGCCCCAGTGAACGCCATGCGCAGGACGCCCCCCTGTGCGCTCTTCGGCCTCGCGCTTGAGATCCAGTGCGTCGCCATGACATCCGCGCTGTGCATGATGACCACCAGCGGGATCGCGCCCTGTTGAGCATGCACGGTCAGCGCGGCTGAGAGCGAGACCAAAAACCCTCACCCGATTTTGCAAAGTACTTCTGCTGGTCCTCCGTCTTGCCGAGTCCCTGTGCAACGAGTCCGATCACAAAGTCGTTGTACCCGTAATCCAGCAGTCACGAGGCGTTTCTGGTGTTGGGGCCCTCGTTCGGCGGGTTATTGGACGTGTCGTTGACGGGGAGTTGTAGTAGAAGTCATCGCACCAGATGCAGTAGAAACCGGGTTAGGGTAATGTCGATCAGGCACCGCCTTACTTAATTCCAAGCAGCTTGCAACGTCATTCCACGTGACTCGTCCATATCGACATGCTGTTTGCCACCTTCTACTCTCGACTACATTCGCCTGTGTGAGTCCCACCCCCTTTGATCGCACATGCCGCCAGTGGTCTGAGCTCAACGGCGCAGACTGCCACACCGCTCACGTATGGGTACCGGCTATTCAACCGCGAGGAGTACCACAAAACGCACCCACCATATGAGGGCAATGGCGACGCGTGCGCGGTGCCCACGATCGAGGCAAGGACAGTGAAGGACATCACGGTCATGATATCTCTCATTACGGTGCATGCGCTTGTACTAACCCTTCGCGCATCTGGGAATTAGACGCGGTTCCGCCTCACGTACACGCAGCGCATTTTGCACTCATCTCCTCATTGCGCCGATCACGCACCCTCAACGCCCATCGATCGACTCTCTGCCACCGGACCGACAAACGAAACAGGGGCATGGGAGCAGGGGAGGCGGATGGACGAGTGGACGACTTTCCGCGCCGCATACCCACCGGAATGTCGCAAGCATGTGCGTTCGTCCTGCGCCCAAATCTATTTGATTTTGTGCCACAGCCCGCCAGAACCACTTAAAAGTGCGTTCGTCCTGTTCTCGGCGTCGAAGGTGCGACCTCACACCATGCAGCGGATCTGGCTATCTGCGGCATCACACGCACGCGCAGCTACACAGTCCTCTCCCACCTGCACCGATCGCACACCTCGCAACAACTGACTCTTAGACACCGGGAAACAAAGCTGGGAGATTGATCCCAGGGGTATAGGATGGAGGAATTGAATGCGCGTATGGGCGGAGCGCATGGAGAGTCAAAGGGGACTCAATCTGCCGGTGCGTTTCTTCTCACCACCTACCTCCCACTGTACGCTCTAGCTCCTGCTGTCCGCCATCTCAACATATCGCGCCGCAAGGGGCGTTCATTGCGCATCTCGGAACCGGATGCAGGCCTGCCTCATGTAAACTCCGCGCCGACTGCGGCATCACCAGGCTGCGCAGCCGAGCTCGTGTACCTTTCTATTGCATTCAACGCGCACCCTCAGCTTGCAACTTGCGACGAACGACTTTCGGCAACCGGACCAACACAAAAACCCGGGAGGTGGATGGGGGCCAAGTCCGCAGGTGCGTTTCTCAGCACCTCCACCTCTCACTGTCTGCTCGCCTTACGTCCCGTGCCGCATCCACAGTGAAAAGTCACTTGCATGTGCTCCGCTCTGTTTTCGAACGCTCATGGTTAAACCTAGCGCTGGAAAGTCGACGTCTCTGTCGGTCATCGGTGGCCTTACTGGTCGCACGAGCGGACAGGTCGTTTTCGAAGGTGGACTGGACCGGCCGCCGCGCGGAAGGCTCAGCATTGTCCCACAGAAGAACGTGCTCATCTCCGAGTTGACGTGTCTACAGACGCTCCGGGTGTTGCGGGCCGTCAAATGGTCGAATGCTGCGTCGGCGGACGAGGATCTAGAACAGCTCCTGAGGGATTGTGACTTGGAGCACAAGATCCATGCGCAGGCAAGGACGCTGTCGGGGGGACAGAAACGGAAGCTGCAGCTTGCTATTGGTTTGGTTGCGGGATCTGAAGGTGCGTGGCGCATTGGATGCAGTTCCATCGTTTTATGCTTACATCTGCACATTGGTTCTTGTGGACGAAGTGAGTGTTTCCGATCCGTGGCACTATAACACACTGCTCATCACATTTTAGTGTACATCCGGCGTCGATCCGTTATCTCGTCGAGCCCTTTGGCGGTCCCTCATCTCAGTGCGACAAGAACGCACCATCGTCTTCACGACTCATTTCCTCGACGAAGCGGATCTACTGGCCGACAACATTGCCATTCTCGCTGCGCCTGGCAAACTGGTCGCGGCTGGGTCTCCCGTTGCTCTCAAGGGCGATCTCGGCCAAGGCTACAGCGTCCAGGTCTCACTAGCGGCGGACAGCGATGCTGCTGCCGAGCTGCTGCATCGGATCCAGACCGTTGCGCCGCAGGCCCATATGTCTGTCGCGTCCATTCGCCAGTCACTGTACCATCTCAGAGCCAAGGATAGCCAGGTTGTCGATCGGGTGCTGCAACTGGTGGACTCGTAGGGCGCATATTACGGAGTCACGTCGTATGACGTGCTGGGAACTTCCATTGAGGACATCTTCCTGGATCTGATGCAAAAGGAGGAGCAGCAACATGTTCTAGTAGACATGGAGAAGAGTCTGACTCCTAGTGCCGACTAGGGTTAGGGTTAGGGTTAGGGTTAGGGTTAGGGTTAGGGTTAGGGTTAGGGTTAGGGTTAGGGTTAGGGTTAGGGTTAG